TATATATATATATATACATACATTCGACACACCCAATTTTGAAACCCAAAGTAAAATGTTGTGATCCAAACAAAACAAAGATAAAAGCAAGGAGCGGACTGACTCTTTCGCGGTATATGGACAGTATGTGGCCATCAGCGAATGAAAAATTGCAAAGGGGCAGTAATACACAAAAACGATACTTATGCACCGATCGTATTTTATTGTGAACATTGTAGTTTCCAAAATATTTAAACAGAAACTCTTTAAATAGCCTCTGTACATTTTATAAAAGAGATTAATTAACCTCATAAACACCATTTTACATTAGTTTGTACCGTGTGCTCCTGCCATTGCTAACGGTGAATTCGGAAACATTAATCACTTATAAATATAGTTTTCGCCAATCAGAATGCGCGACTGTAAGACGGCATTATCTCAAGGAGAATCTCATATATCTGACCTGGAGCATTTCGCGGAAAGATCAAGCAATAATTGACTGCCAAGGCCATAGGCGCCCATAAATAAGAACCTGCCATATTCACATTATATCCATTCACTCATTCGTTTCACCGCATGTACTACACATTTTACATAACGTGACGTCATATGTTGCACATTAATAATGGCTCTATGCGCGGTTTAATCCCGCGTATATACATATATATATACATACAGTATGAAGCAAAAGAGGATGTCAGGACGGCCGGAAGTCACCCATTCGCATTATGTAAAGAAGAGAATTAGCAAAAAGCAGATGTCTAATAGATTGCAGGCAGACATTAGTTTTGAGGATGACTTGTATCTTAGATCACCTGATTTATACGGATGATTTCTAACGTAAACAAGCAATCGCACGGAAGACGACACAAAAAGTCATTTCGTTGCGTTTATATTACTCGCCACTTTCAATGAATGAAAACCTAAGACAAAACGGCTTATTATGACAAAGTGCAAATGTGTCCTTACTTATTTGTTACCTGGTGGATTCACTTAGTCAGTTCTTTACAGAGATGCGTTCACAATACAAACATGTTACTATGAGTATTATGAGGTTAAAGTAACATAAACAAGAAGTAACAGATGCGATTTCAGTGCAGTAAATATGACGACGCCCTAGCTTACCAAAGCAGATTGCAGCGACCTGAAGTTAGAAACCAGTACGCAGCATGTGAATGGGCTGTGAAGTTCTACAATTTCGGTAATCTTCATGTTTTAACTAATAAGCCTCAGTAAGCTAAATAATCGTTTTCAATGTATTTTTTACCCGAAAATTTATTAAAAAAAAAAGTAATGCAGTATGAGTCTCACGCTAGGGGGTCGGAGGCACATATCGCATTAGTGAACCGTTTGCCGTCTCCTGGCGTACCACATCATCATCAGTATATTCACATGCAGATGATTACATCATATTAGTTAATAACTTACCTGTATTTTATTTCACAAAATTTGTGTTACTTTATTACAGCACACGTATTATATTTGGTAAGAAATGAAGTTAGCTTAGAATCTCTCCCTTACGAGCTTCTAGAGCTCGTTTTGGATTTCATCAAACACACCTCATACCCGCTCACCTTTTCGTCTTTCGAATCTCTTGCAGCTATCTCAAACATAAATCCTGCTTCATACATATTTCATAAAGAAGGTCTTTACATGCCCCTGTCTTAATTTAGCTTAACGTTCTTTCAGTAAGGCCTTTGGAGCATCGCGGACGATGGACACGCGCAGCCTTTTTTTATGCTTACAAAAGGCTAACACCTAAGACAACAGAACCTAGTTTCCATTCGCGACCATTTTCCTAACAAGGTTTGATTTTTTCTCCATCTACTTCTTTTCCACACAGATTGCTTCTTTTCCCTAATTGCCCGTGGTATAATACTCGTATTCTTGTGGAGCTAGTAATCTTCACCTTAAAAAATCTAACGGCCATGACTTTTTGCTGGATACCGACATGTGAGCGTATCCATTGAAAGTGAACTTTAAAGCAGATGAGCTCGAGCTCTTCAGAAATGCTCATTATAACTTAACGGGTCAGCCTTTTCGAACTCGGATCTTTGATTGGGCACAGGATAGTCTCATGAAATGCAAGAGACTCTGCTGCCTCTGAGATTTTGCGGTTTTATATGAAAGTAGCAGTTTTCTTCTTTAAGTATTTTGATAGATTTGTTACTACACCTTGGTTGCAAGAGGCATCCATAAATATGATCCTCCTCAAATCAGTGAGCAGTGAAATCTTCAAAATATTCGTGTCGGAATCGATGCGTACTCCAGAGCCGTCAGAGAGACGATGTGTTTCTCTAGATACTTGATGCCATTGCAGAACTCCGCGATGGCTGCCAGGCTTTATTCGATCCGCGAAAACAAGCGTCGTAGCTAAATTGCGCTTAGCGCTAAGCCTTTTCACTAGTCTCAGTATCAGACACCAAAAGACTAGTTAGCCTCGCGGTTCTGCAGGCGACAGTCTATTCTCGGCGAGTACAGTCTACATATGAGTCACCTGTAACACAGGTAATCCAATCGGGTTCTATCACACATTGTATTTCTTAGGTCGATTGCATAAATGTCTTTCTTTTTTTCTGTTTGATAAAATGCTTACTGAAACAAAACGTAAACCCACTTCGCAGAAAATAACGCACTGGCTACCTTAATTACACGTACTTGATGCAGTTGCCTACGTTGCTTTATCTATGAATATTCTCGATTTTCGTTGTACGTTTTCATGAAATTTCCATTTCACTGGTCCATTTTGTTCCTCGTTAGAGATGAATCCAGAGAAAACAGGACTTCGACTTGACCCGCCATATCAATACACTCTTAATAGTGTGGCTACACGCTGCTGTTGGCTGACATGGAAAGTTTTTTGGTTAAAGTCATCATATTTTTTGCGTTTTTTTTTTGGGCATTTTCTATCTCGTTCTGAAGCTGCTATCGGGTTCACTGAACCTGCCGCAAAACAAACCCAGAGGGCTTCTAAGAACTACAACGAGAAAATATTTTTTTGACATATTAGCAGGTATCGTAGCTAGTGCAATCCAGACAAGGTTGCTGATATGCTTCTAGAAACTGGCACCAAAACCAACAGATAATCATTCAAGGCGATGCACCCTGGGTCTCTATAATAAGCTACCAGGTATTGCCTACAGGGTTCCTATATTAGATCCAAGTTTCGTATTGTTATATACAGACAGCTATTGTTTCTAAGCAAAAACGACACAACCAGGGCCAAACCTTCTTACCGTCATATCATCTTTATTAAAAATGTATATCTAATAAATATCGTTTCACTTCACGTATGTTTATATACAATGAGACTTGTATTTTATGATACGACAATCTAATCTGCTGTCGCTTTCTTTTTTACAAACATGCACCAACCTCTGTATTTGATCGTTGCCGATTATGGCTTTATACAATGCGTTTCAGAAGGTTAAAAAGAAAAAATTATATACCATAAACATACATATAAAAAGTGCGCAGCTAACTATATCTGAGACTAGCAAAGCTTTCCGTGGGCACTAGTTCAACAACAGGCCATCGTTTTGGACTATTGTAATTTGAGGAATTTCAAATAGTAAATTATTTAGACTGTATGCCTAAACGTCCCATTGTAAATCGAACTTTACTACACATTCATTTGAGCAGGTTGTTTATACCGCTAAATCTGCATGACCCATATCAATAACCATCATAATACACGGTTGTAAAGATTAGGCTAATATACTTCTAACTCGAGTTTTTCGGCTCCCACTTCTTTTTTGTGCGTTTCAAAAAGCTCCTTGAGTGCTGTTACGTACTTGGCATGTAATTCACGCACCTCAGATTCGCTAGGGTCAGGCTTTCGAACAACCGGGATCGGAGAACCAATCACTGTCGTTATGGGCTTTCGATAAGGTAGAAAACCGTACGAGTATTGGAAGACACCACGTCCGTGAAATACCGGAGGGGAAAACCCAACTAGCTTCGTGAAACCTGTCTGAATTTTGCGTAGAATGGAGCCAATCGAGTTTGGCGCTTGATAGAAGATGTCGTTCTCTCCGAAGGAAAACACAGGGACGAGATATGCCCCGTTTATGATGGCCATTCGAACGAAGCCCAGACGGGAATTTAATTTGAGGCGTACAGTAGATTCAAAAGTGCTAGGCACAGCGTCAAGCGCTTCTTGAGCACCACCGATCACAATTATGGCCGCATTCCCTTTGCCTTTATAATTTAGTATATTAACGATGGACTCTTTAGCTACCGAATTGATTCCACAGAAGAGCATAAGTTCTCGATGAAACGGGCAGTAAAATTGCCCCTCAAGTGTAAGTAAATGAGGTACAATACCTGGAAAAAGCTCAGAAAAATTAGTAGCTTCAGTAGCGAAATTGCAGAAAGCACCAGCTGATGCTATACCGTGAGGATGGTAACCGAAAATGTAATTCTTAGTTGGATCAAGATTTGCGGTCTTTATGAGACGGATGGGGAAATAGTCCCGGAACCAACGCCAAATGCGCCACGAACGCACCCAATAGCTTCGTCGGCCACCTGCAAACAAAAACATCCAATCTGATCACTTGTGACGTTCTTTTTTTCCCATAATTGAACAGTAGATAAAAATAATCTTAAAAGTAATGTAAAGTGCCAGTAGCAGCATATCCCGATGTGTAATAATGCGCTTATGCTGTCAAAGGAACTCAGCGAGTAATGGCGGTAAAATGCCAATTACTATATTTTAAAACGAGTAATTTACATTCATTTCTATTTATCTATAATCCTGAAATCGGCCTCAATAGTTTCGGTTTCTTTTTACGGGTACGCTTCGCTCGAGGAAAAAGTCATATTTAGAAAAATTAATCCTCCCGTTCAAATCAATTATTCCGAGAATTTAAATTAGGCGCGCTAACTAGCCGGGCTACTAAGTTCGGTACGTTCTTTCATCATTAGGACGCCACGAGAGTAAATGTTCAGAAGTTATCTAGTGAAAAAACAACACTCATTGAGTATTACCAGTTGGCATTATTCATCTTCATTACCATACAATGCTGAAGTAACTTGTGGTAGCACACCACAACTCAGAGTGATCAGACGAGCGGCACGTTGCCATCCTATGCTGCTAAGAAAAACTGAATCTGCTGCTGTTTGAACCTAACATTACGGTCATAAGCTGTAATGCAACAGTGAGCTTAAGAACTTCGCGTTTCCGAGCCATTTGAGATACTAATGATATATTCAATATTTCTCCGTTCTTTGCTGATGGTGATTAGTTCACGAATAAAGTTACTGTTAACTGATCATCAGCGGTTCATGGTTAAGAGCAAAACGCATACACATTATGTAGTCGAAAATCATACCTCGTATGCAGGTGTTTATGTCCCAGATGTACCAAGCTAGATAGGCAGCCATTAAGGACCAGAGCGGACCACTCGCGTAACATATCACGTAAACAGAGAGAATTATCGACGATAGCCCACAGAGGAAAAATAAGAAGGAATAATAAAGAGCTGCCAGTGTCTGAAGTCGTCTCTCAAGCGGAATCCGGGCAGGAGCCACTTCGATGCCCAATTTCGAGAACAACGCGGCCCTATTTATCAATATGAGAGAAAGCGTGCGAAATAGTAATGTTAATATATAGCAAATTGAACGAATTTGTAAATTACGGTTGGCATCATCCTCACAGGTATCTTTAACGCTGTTATTATTGGTTGGGAGGTTCAGATTCGAACGACAGCTGTTCAGCTTTATTTTGTTTCAGGAAGTTCCCTTTATTCTCTTATTCAAATAAAAAAAACATCATAACAGAAATGTATTATGTTGTAAATAATAAAAAATAAGGTGTTCAGATCGTTTTCCGATTTAAACACATAATACGTTTCAAACAGCAAACATTTTTTGAGAATTTTTGTTAATGGCTTTAATTTGACCACTGAACAAGCTGGTATTCCAGAATTTAATTTCAATCGTAATCTCGAATACGATAACCTTGCTTTTTGTTCATTCTGCTGGATTGTAGCCAATTTTGACATGTCTTATCAGGCAGTTACCTGTAACTAGGAGTTGCCGACATCTACCGTCGTGAAATAAATGGATTCAATATGGGACTTTGAAGATGCCCTTTCCTTGAAACATGTCATCCGTCCTCCAATTGTTTCTCGTTGACAATGCCCCATCTTGTACGATATCTCGCTTTCTCTCTCAGTCACTCGAGTCGAGACGCTGAATTGCGATAAGGTGGAAAAAACAAACTTGTCTCGTTTACTTATAATTAGAGAAGTGACTGACAAGTGTTTGGAAATTATATAGGAAGCACGCGACTGGAGATGGAGAGAGAACGTGATATTCCTAGATGCTTTACGCTCGGTGAAAGACAGAGTCCTTTTTTTGCGATGGAACCCTGTCACTCGTCTAAAGGTACGTTATTTTTATTTTGAAACGCAAACAGGAAGCCCCTTGATGATGACGGTCTACCTTTTCCCGTCGCAACGACAATAACGGGTGTTATCAAACTGCAAAGTTACTAGCTGTGCGTAGATTATTTGATAGGTACGCATACACGCTCATGTAGTAGAGCGATGCAGCAGGCACTATTGTCTTCGTGTCGACTTATACATGAACTCGAAGATATTGACGGCTAAAAGTCAAACAAAATCGACAGAGTGTACGTGAACAGGTGAAATGGCTGTCGATAGTTAAAACACGGACTTAAAAGGTCAGCCACGTTATGAAATGATACGTGTCAAATACACGTGTTAGATCCGATGAAGATAATTCCAAAGCATACATCCTAAGTTTAATACTGTACAGCGTATACGAAACAACTTCGTTCAAAAACGTCGCTGGTTTTAAGCGACGTCAGCTGAAAATGGGTATTTTATCGAATAGGTTTGTTATTGCTGACACCCAACTCGTTTCAGTTCCTGGCTCCTCCAGCACTGATTAGGTAATGAATAGAACATGATATCCTACTGTTCATCAAAATCACACGTAAAAAGATATTGCGCACTAGCACTCAGCACCACAGCGCGCTAACAAGTGTCGATAGGTCATAACAAATAATAATTTTGTTATTCGCTACACAGCAGTTTGTATAGCTAGTCAATGCGTAAAGATCGGGTTAAAAACTGTTCGGTAAAATTTGGACTCAGCTTAGCGAATAGCAGTTACCACAGGAACAATTTTTTTTTCATTGAAAGGCTATTTCATTGGAAAGAAAAAAGGCATCTGAAGGATTTAAAAAATGAAAATAGAACCATTCAATCGATTACCACAATGTCAAACCCTCGAAAACTAAATGAGATATTTGTGAAAGTGGCAGATACGATAAACGCCATTTTTTCAAAGGACCGACCGAAACAGTATAATTAGCACGCTATGGGTTCTTTTGACCTCTTTATAAAAAGGACACATTATCACTCTATTTCAGTAAACGTAGTGTTCCATCAATATATTCAAGTCACGTTTTCAAAAACTTCAACGATTTTCAAAATTCGAAACCGTTACAAGCAAACGACCAGAAACCGTACTCACATGTACATTTTTATGGCGTATATAGGCAATGAGAAGTGTAGCACTCGGTAAGATTTACTAGTTCCTTGTGGCTTATATCGCTGGACGATAATATTTTGTCGTTCTATCTTAGTTGCGATGGATGGCCTGGATACTTTTCGTGTTCGCTGGCAAACACTGCTCGACTACGGTCCAGAGAACGTACAAATATTAGAGAGATGGCGGCGGTGGCGGCGGCTGTTTTCGCGTGTTGCTTTCCCCCGAAGGAGGGTGTCTTTCACCGCTTTGTCTAGTTTCCACAAACAAACGTTACGTCAAAATCGGCCGCATGGACACGTACTCTCGTAAATGAGACTCAACCTAATACCTATTTTGATAACTGGTGCTCGTATGCGCGATAAGAGGTGTTTTATGCTTAGCAGGTCACGAAATAACGACGCCGTTATTGTTTCTCCTTCGAGTAATCTGCACATGGTGTTGTCTCATATACATATAACTTGTAACGTGCACCCGGATGCAGGCTTGTGTGATTATCACACCACTGCTTGGCAAGTATTAACTACAGATTGACTTGCTCTGTGATCGATGCAGTTGTTGTAGTAGTTGATGATATTCAAATATAATAATAAAAAATGCTACCTATTAATCTTATCTGTTGAAGTTGACCGACGATCTGTCTATTGAGGGAAGCAAAAGTTTCAGTCATACTGCAGAAGTTTTCACAGTTATGATACCGCGAAGCTCCGATCGAGACTTGTACGCACAGTACCTTATCTATAAATAGAAAATCATTGGCAACAATCCGTGAGGGATCTCTTGTTGATGCACACGAATACACTAATGACTAAGATAATAACAGATTGCACAATTAAGTGCTTTTCTAGTGTAATCTTATTATTTATAATGATTCCTAAATTTAATGAGTGCGGTACCAGGGTTCAGGGAGTTCCGCATAAACAACTGAAAAGTTGTTTATTTCGACACAAGCCTTTCAAACTTTCTTCAATTTCATACAAGTATCACACTGATGAATTAAAATCCAAGAATGCATTAAGTATGTAGACTATCTGTTTACTTTATTTCTTTATTATTGCTATTTACTTACCTACCCATTTAAATATCTATTCTCCTTGCTGTACAAAACTCGGATTAACTTTCGAATGCCATTTCGGCTGCATATGTCGCCTACATTACATACAAACACCGTAAAGATTAATACATTTTTCATTTGTTACATAATACAAATTAAAATACATATATTAATATAGTACTGAAGTCAGTACTCCAACTTGAGGGGCAAATCAAGGTTCGCTGAAAAGAGTATCTGTCTGTATATAACCTGTTTATATCCGAAACGAGACGTGCAAATGAACCGTGACTGTTTGGTTGGCACGCCCAAAAAAGCGCGCTTCAAATATATCTAACCTTGAAGGATCTCTTATATTTCGTTCCGGTCGCTTTTCCAACCAAAAGCTTTGATGCAAAAAGTAACATTGGGCCCGAAGTCATTGATCTATTCTGCATAATCCTAGCTCTCTATTAACGAAGTCGGTGCAAAACATCCACTTTGCTTTTTTTCTTTCTGTTTGCCGAGTCTTAAGCAATTCCACTCCTCCACCAACCAATTTTCGACATATTCCGCTTATTGTACATATGCCATATGCTTTCCCGTTGTGTTTACAAGTAGCCTTACCGATAAAACAGCGTTTCGCGTAACCGGATCGGGCTTACACGGTCCACCCTTGGTCAAGTATAGTAGCACTACACAATGGCTTGTGGGAGTGCGCCGCAAGTGTATTTGAAGATGGCAGATGGCGCTGTCCATCGTCCAGCTGCTTCAGTGGCATTATGTATGAATGATGTCATACGTTGCATGCGGACACGGCCATAAGAACGAGTACTGTTGTCGCTGCATGAGCGCTTTCGTACAGACCCTTTGGGCTAAATACCGACCAGACAAAGATATGCTTACGATGAAATATCATTACGATTAGATACCACGTAGTAACCAGCAGCTTAATGCACAGCATGAGACTGGTTACGCGAAGCTTATCCTTTGGGCCGAGGTTATAACTGGCTCGACGCCAGAACATGACCAGCCAATGTATAACACCAGAATAAGTATGGCAGTACATTAGTAAACCGACAAGCACCGGCTCATAGAATGAAACGCCGATGTAGCCTGACGCGACGTCAATCGTTGATAGCTTGTTTGAGTTTCCCTGATGAAAAAAGGCCGCATTTGAGAACCACATATAAATGACGGCGCGTACGGTCACAGGGAAATCGCCCACTGCTGAATGAACCGCATTCTCAAGAAAGATCTCCAACCCGAACATGAACACGTTCTCAGGTCGCTGCAAAATGAAGCCCAATAACATCCAGCAATTAGAGAAGGTGTTCAATGGGTGTAAATGACGTTCGCGAGCAAATTCGCCCTGCGTCACAAACTCCCAAATTCCGGCCACGAGGGTGACCGGCAAAGCCAAGTATAGCCATACGGCCATGCCTGAATGCTCGCCTGTGTGAACACTATATAATTTGTACAGTAGAATGAATCCTGACGCAGTGCTGGTGACGGCGCCTTGCAGTGGCGAGTTGCGCATACGGAACATGCCGATAGCATTGTGTGCTGTCACTATAATAAGAGCGGACGCAAGCGCCGGTTGACGAAGTACATAGTCTGCGTACACCGGCAGATGGATCCACTTGTCTCCCGTGCGATTCCATCCGCGCAGGATGCGCGACAGTAGCAGTACTCGAAACACCTTGATGAGTTCTTCTTTGGCGATTTTCATCGTTGGCGCGAGCAGTGCTCCGGCCACACCGATTGTCACGCTGAGAAAGTACCACGTCTGGTGTTCCTCCTCCACAAAGCTGCTTCCAACCAAAGACCCGGCGTGTAAAGCCAACCCGATGAGCTGGATGGCCGAAAGTACGCTCAGACCACCCCCAGCCATGTACGCCTTGAATGCTGCGATGCCAAAACCCTGCAGAGAGCAAAGCAGTACATAGGTGGACGCCGACAGGAACGCCAGGCTCATGAGTTCGGTGGGTAAAGTTGCGCCAGCCAGCAGAGTCGAAATAAATGCTGAAGTCGAGAAGCCCAGTATGAAACTGGAAAGAAGAACCCTTCGATCAAAGCGAAAATGCAGATTCTCTGTAAAAGCGCACACGAGAAGAGCTAGGGCGCAGTATGCTGCCCCGACAACACCTGTGACAAGGGCGTGCAGGCTGAAACGTGATCGATTCGCGATGAGCATCTTCTTCATCATCATCATGGAGGTGTGAAGTGCGCGCTGCGAATTCTCTACGGCTTCTGGCTGTAATGGCTGGTCATCTTTGATTAAGCGCATATAGTGACAGATTGTAGCTCGTACTGATTGATACTTGTCCATTTCGGCTTCGAAGTTCTCGCTAAATACTTGTAGCAGCTGGTGAGCGTTGTACTGCATGCGGAATAATCGCTGGTCATCATTCAGACGAGGATGCCGCGTGAGAAGCTCAGGTAACACAGAGCCGTACGAGCTGTGAGGTACTGGGAGACCCATAAGAAGTGAAAGAGTTGGTGCAATGTCGATCTGGTGGACGCTCGGATCCGACAGACTGTTCGCTGATGGCTTCTCATCTAGGAAGCGCTCGTTGCCGGTCAGAAGGAAGAGAATCGGCGTTTCGATTTCCTCGTGCGACGTGCCTCCGTGATTGCCAGTAACACTCATTCCGTGATCTCCAGTGACGACGATCAGGCTACCAGCCGGCAGTTTCGTATGCAAAAGCTCGATAACTTCGTCCATCTCCTTGAGTTTCTCGGCCACGAGAGGGCTTTCCGGCCCTACGATATGGCCCAAATGGTCGAGACCAAGGTAGTGAAGGAATAGAAAGTCCCATTCCTCTCCAGGTTCGAGACTAGTCTTGACATTACGAGTAACATTGGTGTCCACCTCGGTGTAATCGTTCACGTAGAATGATGTTGTGCCCTCATATTTGGCGAAATACTCCGCAGGAAACAGTTTGAGCCAGGTGTCATCACCGAAGAAGTAACTTCGTTTTAACTGCTTGTGTGCTTGATTGATGATATTATCGGTGCTCATACGAGACGCGTCGAGATTGACCACAATGTCTACATAGCCGGGTACGACCCCTGACAAGATGCTTTTAATGCGAGGCAGCGTAACTGTAGGGGCGAAAGCTCGACTGCGGAACTTGAGCGCCTGCTCCGATTTAAGAAGGCCGCTGGCATACGGGAAGCGTTCGGCGTCGACGAAGTCATAGCGCAGCGCGTCGACCACGAGCAGAACAAGCCGTTCATGTAACGGGGTATAGGTTGTGTCATGGACCGTATTTGACGGTAGACCGCACAGTGAATACGGCAATCCTGCATCCGTGATAGATGCCACCCCGGGCAAGGTGCACTCAAATGGAAAGTAACCCACTAGAAAGTGAAGAACGTTTAAAAGGAACAATCCCGAGGCGCACCATACAAACAGCCACGATCGCCCGTAAGCCATTACGGGGTTAAGTGCGCACGTTTACGTACTGAACAAAACCATTTCCACAACACTTTGTCTATCCAAAGTACCGGTTCCACGCGATCAATTTCTAAGAAGGCGTACAACGCAACCTATCCAGGCCTGTCACACTGACACATCACGCAACTGTACCCGAAATTTTCTGTCCGGCAAACTTCGGTCAGAACTTGTGTAACCAGCAATTACTAATAAACTCTCGTCAGCCTAGAATATGATGAAACAAAACAAGCAATACGAAAAGGCACATACATCATTTGATAGAAAGTTAGGCTGTGTTTCGAAATTTTCGAAAATGCCCGCCATGATGCATTCACTATCGTTCGGATCTGATTTTTTACTTTATTATAATATTTTCTTTCTAGTGCATAACAAACCCACCAGCTGTGAATTTGTTTATTATTTTTTTTTATAACATTAAATCAATTCAGAAAGTGCTTTTCAACAGTAAGTATAATGGTGATTTCTGCATACTCTCGATGCAACCCTGAAGCGCCACCAAATCACTGATTTACGAATAGTATTGATGGCTTCTTGATGGTGAACGGAAGTCAAGTATACACTTGCCATCTGTTTGCTGACACGTCAAGTTAGTTATTGGGCAAAAGATTTTTATTTACTAGGTGTTTGACACACACACATTACCGACACTGTGCTAAGAGTGACAAACTTTAAAGTCAGTGACGAACTACGATGAAAGGCACATGGCTGCGAGGCACCACGATGCTGGCCTGTGTGATTGCGGCATGTCATGGTCTATACTTTCACATCGCCGAAGGTGAACGTAAATGTTTCATTGAAGAGGTGCCTGAAGAAACTCTTGTGGTTGGTCATTACAAATGTCAGCTTCACGATCCGAACACGGGTGGTTTCATGCCGTCGTCACCTGGAATTGGTATGCACGTAGAAGTCCGCGATCCCGAAGAAAAGATAATTCTTTCCAAGGTACCGATGTTTTACATTTTACATATATTATTTTACATATATCCATCATACTGCTAGTGACTTATTACACCTGTTAATCCAATCAAACTGATATTAAACCGCGTATTGCGTACATATGAATGAACTCCACTTACCTACTTGAACGCCTTAAGTTGCTCGATACATATATTGCCTGATTTAGCGAGCGGTTTTAATAAACGTAATAATACCGACTATTCTAGGGTTAAAGTACTATTATTGGTGTAAATATATATTAGTTGATTTAAATTACGTATATTTTGTACTTCCTCAATAAGCAAGGCATCTGTTCCCATCCAAAGCATTTGAAGCACAATCTCCTGCTGAGCACCCACAAATGTCGATCATTGAAAAAGTCGTTTATAAGAATGCGTAACAATTATCTCGTCGTTTGTCTTGTTACCGTATTTCTTCAGATCTATTCCTCTGAAGGTCGATTTACGTTCACGTCGCATTCACCAGGTGAGCACGCCATATGCCTATATTCGAATTCGTCGAAGTGGTTCTCTGGCAGTCAACTGCGTGTCCATCTTGACCTGCAGGTGGGAGAGCATGCCATAGATTACGCGTCCGTGGCTCAGAAAGAAAAACTGTCCGATTTAGAGGTTCGAGTGCGGCAGCTGCTTTCACAAACCGAGCAAATCGCAAAAGAACAAAACTATCAAAGGTATCGAGAAGAACGTTTCCGACAAACCTCAGAGTCAACAAACTCACGTGTTTTTTACTGGGCTGTAGGTCAGTTCTTGCTGCTGGTTGGTATGGGGGTGTGGCAAATGAAACATCTCAAGGGCTTCTTTGAGGCCAAAAAGCTTGTTTAAATAAATCTTTTGGGGAACGTGGAAACTGATCAGGGACATCATGGATGTCACGATACCATTGGCGATTAAATGTGACAGTCGTTGCAGTTAATGGGAGGCAATTACGCAACGTCCCAAGGTTTGCAATGGATCCTGGGCAAGATTGAGTGAAAGTTACGATGTGAGTGTAAACCTTGTATCATGTGTAATGTATTATTCATATTTTACTAATAATATTATGCCTATTTGTATGATTATTTTAAGAATTATTTTAGTGAAGAAAGGAAATAAAGAACAAGGTTGGGCCAATTATGGCCATGTATGTCTATTAAATTGGGTTGTTTTTGTTCACTTCTGCTAATGCATATAATAATAAATCTGATAAGAAATATCTCAGAGATAACTGTAACGCAGCCATGCCCAATGATTTGGCACGAAGTATTTACTTTCCGAATGCTGGGACAGGTAAATTTGGTTTTCTTCAAATTAATTAAACATACAGTCCAAAAAAACATCTGAGAAAAATATCACCATTGCAACATAGTCTAACGTTTTGATGTATTAAGCGTAAAATTCAGCTCGTAGAGAAGTCTCAATGCTGTTGGCAGTCTTGATTAGATAGTAAAATTGATTTATAAAGATTTCATTTTAAAGGCAATAATATTGATATTCTGTATGGAACTTTAAAATTTTTACCTAAGGCTTTATTCATTTCAAATAGCACATCGCGTTCCTACATGAGTTTTCAGTTGTTTGACAGCATAAATTTAACCCCGAAGTCGTGATGGGAGCCATATGCGACCAAAACAATGCTACGCCTTCCCGTTTGTACTACCGTGAAGCTTTGCATCACACGACTGGTTTCCAGCGCAAAACCAGGTGCGTCTACGCCCGGTTTCGAACAGGTGTTGTGTTTTCAAAATATCAGGCATAAGCGTTTCAGACTAGATAGCCAAAAATTATGTGTAAAAGTTAGTGGTTATGATTAGTTACATGGTACACAGCAAAATAAAAAACGATTCATCGGCTACAATTGAAATCATTTGGAAATAATCAAAATTCTGCAATCAATAATTCTAAGCTATAATAATTGATAGAGATCTTTCAATAGCCCAAGAAATTATCTAATTACTTTTTTTAAAAGGATCTATCACTTAATTTAGTAGATGCCGTTTAAACCTGAGGCTAGGTTGTTGTTGCCCTTCTAGTTATAATACTACTATATATTAGAAAAGATCAATTGGTAAATCGTTTTATGAATCTAATTAAAAATGGGGTTAATATTGTCTGTCTTAGCTCAGCTTATTTGTACTTTTCAAGGTCGATGAAATTTCCACGTGTGGATTAGTTGTTATTAACACCAATTCCTAAACAACGAGTGCAAAGGTGCTACGCATTTACGAAAAAATATAATAAAGTTCGTGCGGTCAGAGAACGTTCTACTTCATTTACTAAGACAAATTGGCTTCAAGAGCTTACATCGGTTTTCCGCTGACAAAGAAAGACCCAGCTTTCGAATAACAGAACAAGACAAAACAGTACACACCATAAATCCAATTATTTTCCTTTGTAATAATATCGCGACCCGATAGTCATTTTCGGAAGCTAAAAACATGTCAGTTAGTGTTGATGGGATGTTACCCGTTGCTAGCAGGCCCAAAAGTTATGTTCGTTATAAAGGATTTTTAAGAGGTACACACGAAATTTATATTTTTTATGACTTATTGTTTTTTATTTATGTAAAAAGCATTTCGCGGTTTTATTATTTTATTATTATTATTATTATACTTCTTATGATTTATTTATTTTATTTTATATAAAGAGCATTTCGCATTATTATTATCATCATCATTATAATCGCCACCATTGTTTGCTGTTACTATCATTTAATTTTCCCATTTTATTGAATCCCTTGAACGTTCCTCTCTTTTAATAGCCATGACCGAAAATAAGTCAAATGGAAATATTGTGCAAACGCTAGCGAACATCATTTTTTTCTTGCCTTTTTCCTTGGATTCATTACTTATTTTTAAATAAAATTTCAACTTTCAAGAAAGTTATACCATCTCCATCATTCATTCTCCTTAAAAGTTTTATGACATTTTTTAACGATACAGCATTAATAGCAAAAGCATTATTATTATTATTATTATTATTATTATTATTATTATTATAAGTATTATTGTACAAAATCCATCAAGAACTTTCCAAAAGGCGGTTGTCTCATATCACCTTATAGATATTAGATATAAATAAATTAACATAAATGCCTGCTATCTGTTCGTTAATAATAGCCGTACTACACATCAATATTCCCTGTGAATTTGGTTATACCGAGACCATCTACTCAATCGTGGCCGGTTCCGTGGGGGACAGAATGAGCATCAACGTAGAGCTCCAACATTCTACGGCATTTCCTATTTTGTTGATATGGCATTCGAGCATCATCTTCGTACGCGCTTTGAGCCCTGCTTAAGTTTAGCGCTTAACTACAGGAAATTTTTTTTACTTGTTTATTTTATTTGATTCATACATGAAAAGCTTGTTCATAATTGGCACTATCTACCACTTGATTTCGCCTAATGTTTGCAACAAGCCGTACCCGAAACTGCACTAGTTCAGCACGCATAATTCTACGCACAGAGTAGTTTGTTGCAAACTCATAACTATCCCTACCCCTTTTCATACCATGTCACGTTTATTTTTCGTTTTTTGATCTCATTGCGTCATCGTTCTGGTTCGATCACCACGCTGCCCACATTTTGTACTGCTATTGAAGCTCTAACCTTCACAAAATGCCAATGGAAGGTTTTACTTCGTGAACAATTTTCCAAGCACACCATTTTACAGTTATACCTAGCGTTTCTACTACAAATGCAACGCACGTCGATAAAACACATGGTCTTCGTTCGCTAGCAACCTATAGAAAGAACGTTGGAAGAAGAGGGTGACGCCATAGTGGTCAATCATCTCGCTGCTGCCCGAATAGTAGTATCAATCACAGCTGAAAATAGTCAGGAAGCTAACTAAATGATGGCACCTCCCGTAGGACCTCTCTCTTCGCAGCTTTTCTTCTACAGACACTTTAATACAGAAATAGAGATATACCACTACTCTGAAGTGCCTCTTCAATACCTTTACGCAGGTCGACAGCAGAAACAAACCGGAAACAGATGAGAGCAACAGAGATTGTGGGCGTTTTATAGTCGTCTTTGAAAATCATGATATTTAGAACCGTCATGACCCGACAAATTAAAACAGCCTATAGAACTTACCTGCAGTGATATATGTATTATTCACAAGGATTTGTGGAAACTAATCATAATAGTATATATATATATGTATATATTCGCAATTAACTTTGGCAACAGTCGCAGCACAAGCGAGTAAAGTATTCCAAGGTGGTCCAGCGAGTAAGTTATACTATATTGCTAAGGCGAAATAACAAGCAATACATCCATTGCTAATGCGATTCTCCCCTACCTGGTTGCTTTTTTGCACACAGTCTAGCCTTAACAGGTCCTAGTCTTATCTTTGACTTCTAGCTCTCTCTATTTTTTCTCGTTTGTAAACTATCGTTACTCCAGACGTCGACGGCGAGATCACGAAACGAGAGCCGCTGCCGGCGGGGGTGCAGGTGCCCTCCGCTGGTGGGGCTTCCTCGCTTTCTTGGTAGGGTATTGCTTGTTCGGTGTAGGATCATACGCTACTGATAAATCATTGATATTGTGAAATCCAAAACGCGACTCAACGCCAATGTTGCCAACGCCACCTAGGCCGACACTAACGAGATGTGGCTGCGAACGTGAGTTTGTTTTGTTAGGCGGAGGAGGTGGCTTGATGCCGAATAGTGGAGTAGGACCTCCTCGTGGTGATGGCTTTTTTTGCCCCAGCGCCATTGCGGGCGGTACAGGTGGCACGGGTGGTGGCTGCCGGATATGTAGCTGATGGATGTTACTTGGTACGCTTATATTTCGAGGTGGAGGGGGCGGCGGTGGCGCTGTTTGTGGTTTGCTGACGCTGAGTGCGCCTCCTGTTGCTCCATGGGCGTCACTTGCACCTAGACTTTGTCTTCGTGTCAGCTGCTGAGTTTGGCTCGGTCGAACATTGCCTTTCGAGGAAGGGTGGCCAAGCGTGCTAAACTTAGCATTGGCCTTTGGAGGCGGAGGCGGTTTATGCGCCGGACGTTGAGTCCCAGTAGTTCTTGACACAGAGGAACTGCTTTGGACTGGTCGGATGGGACATCCCATCGGCGAGGCCGCTGGTGGTTTCGAAGGTAGTGGCGGACCCGGTCGCAGCTTATGCTGCGAAAGTTGTGGAGGTGAAACGTCTTTGGGAAACGTTGTCGAACAGTCTTCGGTTGATGGCGATGGCCTTTCTCGATCGGGAGACGGGCTTTGTTCCGCGATAGCGTTGGCCACTGGACTTCGTCCACTATTTATGACCTAAAATACAGCACCGAAGTCATTAGCAAAAACATAAGCGTTCTTTTCCGAAAAAATATATAAGCACGCAGCTACCAAAATCTTAATGGGGATAGCATTTTGATTAATGCTTGTCAGAACTGCGTGATCATTAAGCGTTCTGTAGATGCAAATAAGGTAATGATTATTGTACCTTGCTGCTGCTAGTTTGGTTGCTTCCTGCCTCGTTTAGCTTGGCAGCTTTACTGGCAATAGCGGCAGCGAAGTTTGCATGGACATTTCCTTGGCCAGCTGAATGCGCTCGCGGAGGTGACGCCTCCTTTGGAGGAGATGCAGACGACGATGACCTTTTTGCTTGGCCACTTGCATTAGAAGGAACACCAAGAGCTGCTCGCTGACCTGTTGGCTTTAACTTTGGCATTCCTCCAGCGAACAATCCACCAAGACCTATCGGTGCAGTATTGCCTCCCACTCCCCCTGAGACTCCTCCTGATCCAGATGAGCTTCCACCACTTGTTCCTAAGGTCGTATGGTTAGCTTTATTATTACCTGTTTGAATGAAAAACATTTATAATCTGACGAAGCAGCAGATATTATAGAACATGTAGAGCATTATGGCTTACATATTCGTCCTTTTTAAAGGTAACCTACGCCTTTTACTTTAACGCAATTTAGTTACCACGATAGCAGAGAGTATCTAAAGGAACAAACTCGCACGCAAAGAGCACTAATTCAGTTTCCGATTGAGGTCTTAGTAGCTTTTTCAAATTATCTGAGCTTTCAATATCGGCTTACCATTCAGTTACATTTGAGTAACGTGAATATCATTACACAAACTATTCATAATTAATTCAAAATAATTTCGCCGTTCCACGGACTTGGTTTTTAACAGCAGTATGACTGCTCAACTAAAATGGTTTAGCCCTTGCAAAACTTCGCAAACCCTTGTTGTGTATATGCGCCTAAAGGCATTTGATCATCAAGTAAAAAAATAGGCTAATAGTAATTGTCAAGGGCTCGTTATTAATTAGCGCTGAATACTTATGAGCAGTAATTAGTATCACTGCTACGCACCTGCACTTGTTTTGAAACACCGAAACAAAATTAATTAGACAGAAAATTAGTCCGAGTTTCAGATTACCTGTTTTTATGCTATGATAATATTAATAGTAATAACAGAAAATATAAATGAACTAGTAAAAAGACAAAAGAAACAAACTATACGGACCAACAATAGGAGCACTTCTATCATTGGTTACGGTTTTTTTCAGTTTGGTACCGCTACGAATTTGTGATAGTAAAGCTCCTCTATCCGGAACAACCCCCACTGGGGCACTTCCTAAAGAAGGCATTGATGGCGGGGCCGGTCCGCTTGGAGGTGGAGGTGGCGGAGGTGGTGGCATTTTCTGGAAAATTCACAAACCAAAGCTTGTTAAAAATGCTGAATTAATAATGCTAGTAAAAGTAATACTCGTTCATAATTCAACCATGAAAAACGACACGCAAAAAATAACTATACAAGGTCGTAACGTTAACCACATTATTCGTATCATATAATTACCCTCTTTTTTGAAAGAAAGCAACTTCATTATATAAATAATGCAAGAGGTTACGTACATTATCTCGTATTTTTTGTACAATTAGATTTAAAAGGTGCAAATCCTTGTTTAAATATTATGGACATTATTCACATTTCGTTGCATTAATGAAGGCTGAAAAAGCAATTCCGTCTTTGAAGCACTATGGTTAAGACCTGCCTGTTAATAAATAAATAAAATAATATATTTTAAAAATGATATGCTCAAGTGAATTGTTCTCAAAACGAAACGAGATGCAACGACTACTGTATGTTGTATTATATGAGTCAAATAATGAGTCATTGACATCCATTTATTCTGAAGAGTTTTAGTAATGGGAATGAATGTTTACTGCCGCAGTATAATCGTAACGTTCAAAAGTTCACTTGGTTTATTTTTTGTTGTATTCCATAAAGATTCTCGTACCTCGCAGTTATTTAAAATTGTAATGCGATAAGTTTTCGCTGGCTTTGAAAGGACTTAAGTTGTCTCATGCATGCCAAAAGCATCGAATACGAATGTATACATTTGGCGACCGATTCATACTAGCTCTATGACTTCCATCAAAATATTTCATAAAAATTTCGGTAAAGAATGGCTAACGCAAAGCGTGTTTAGTGTTTCCTCTGCAGTAGTACAAAGCCTGAAGCGGAAACGGATCGAGTTGAACTCAATCAAGTGTTGTAGATTACGATAATTGGCGTTTAATGAAATCACGCATTCACTGTGCACGAAACCTGCCATCGGAGAATAAAACGCCTTTGCGTAGCGTCTTTTTATGTAGACATTAAAGACCCCCTAACAGTTGTAATTAGAGATACAATATGCATAGATGAAGTTTCCCTGCTGAGTGATTTACACAAAACAGCCTTCTCTATAAAAGGTGCATCAACTAACTGGAGTGACAAGATCGTCATAAACGTCGTCATCATTGTTGATGACCGTGGATGTTAGATCATTGCGCAACCGATTCCTTTAGTGTGTATATATACAAAATGTAGTATGCAACGGATATCTCGTCGTTTTTAAATGCGTTTATCGAGTTGATTTGCTGCAAGTCAGCTCTCATGGACGTTCCCACATAATATGTCGATTTTATATACCCCGATAAATTTTGTTTCTGCTTTTATTGATGAAGACAATAACATCACCATATGATACAATATTCGAGGCTCGCTTGTATTCAATTAACACTACCTGTACGAAGAATATCTTAGCAGTGCTTGGAGATGTAAAAAGTCCAAAAAAAGGTAGCTATATACTGGTATTTCTGACAAGCCTCCAGGATTTTTGGTAATACCACCAACTAACAAAGGCATCGGTGGACACAATCGAAGCTTGAATGTTTTTTCTTCCTCAGTCTGATAGGGTCTTCTCAAGGTCACAACACTAGTTAGCAGACTACCAAAATTAACACTTACGCCTAAATATAAAAACAACACTTCAACATTTCTTTCCAAGTCTATGACAACATCACGAGATTACAACGTTGCCCAACTGAGCAACTTGCCCGATGAGTTCATTAATGTTGGATTGTGGGAGGCATATTGGAAGCAGTTCTGTCGCCATTACGGTGGTGACATAACTAAGGCATCGTCTAATTGTAATAGTCATAGCAGTAAACTCTATATAGCTACAAGATGACAGCGCCCGAGTAATACAAAACCGCCACTTTTTCGACGGATTTTAATGATTTAGTTACCGCCAACGTCTGATGTCCGAATCGGTCGAAACAACTACGGTACAGGTTGTCAATAGCAGACTATCACTGACTGGCCGTGCTTTCGCGCGTCAACAGCAGCTTACAGAGCCATATCGTCTTAATACATCGAATGTTATTCTAAGAACGACGGTTAAAATGTACACCTTAGCACAAATACTTACTGCGACTGACTCAATCGGTTAGCTATTTAAGCAATTTTGCTTGTAATGATAATAATAATAATAATAAGTAGTACAACGTTTGCACCTATTATAGACAAAATGATCTCACTAAATATAATCGTAATAAGCAAGTTCAACATAATGTAAAATCTAACAACTGATTTAAATTAATGAAAGAAGCGAAGGCCACATATTAGGTAAGCTACAACATTTTTACTCTAATTTGCAGTACTTCGGTTAGTCAGGCAATAGAGTGCTGTGAACATGTGTTGATTTCCATCCCGACTTCGATTTTGCAAAAGCAGTTTTTAGTATAAACGTATAGTAAGCTTATCTATTGTAAGTTTTGGTTTGTAATGTGTGCATGATATTTCTAACTTTGTGCCTAGTTTAATTTATCAACCCTTTAAACTTCAGCCTACTAAGCGGACAACCTTAGGTAATTACATTCCTAGAACGGAGATCTTTACTCTATAATTTATTATAATTTAAATTCAGTTGATAGTTGCGCTCAAAACAATATCCTAAATTAAATAAATACCAACGGAGTTTTGTTTGCCAGCATAATCAATGTATTGTTCGCTATAATAGTTACTTCTTACCTTAAATCTAGGTATATATGGATTTCTTTGAATTATCCGGACGCTGTACCAAATTGGTCTTCTTTCGTGTCTGACTTTGCCGGCAGCGAAACTGACAGTAAGACTATGTTGCAACAGGACGCTAAACGAGGGCCACGTTGATAAAAAAAATTAATAAGGAATTTAACAAACTTAGAAAAACTTTTCCGATTCTATCATACTGAGTTTCTACGAGTGACTTCGGAGGGCCAAGCTTACTAACACTTGAACAGCACTAAATTTTGTGTATGTATAATTAATTTCTAACGTTACACAACAATCGTACAGGTTTGTGGTACTTGGAAGTTATAATGGCTGACTTGTTTAGATCCTTATATAAGCGCAAACGAAATAAACCACCTGGAACTTTGGGTAAAATAATGAACAATTAAATCGCCATAGTACGCTCTATAATGTTAGGTAAAAATAAAAAAAAGTCAGTAAAAGAGAGTTGTGTTTATTATGACATCGTAATAGATTACATATTCCTTAGATTACATAACCGTATTATGCGCCACTAATTCAAAGTGACAAACGTCAATGACCCGCTATTTCGGCCGCAATATTTGGTCTCTCGCGATCGACAGCTTTTCTTTAATAACAACGCAGGCATCGAAGCAAGAACACCAACGGCTAACGGAGACGCCCTTCGCCTGACAACCTGCTGTTCCGAAACTTCTTGTCCTTGCTTTTCTCCTAAAAACAAAAAGCTGTGAAAAATAATGGTCGCCGCATACGATACCGATGGTAACTACGAGCCTCGATGACAGCTACAGAGATCTTTTCTAAACGCGTCGCTTTGCCAAGTGACATTCTGACCTAGTCGACAATATAACAAAATGAAGATAGAGGCCAATGGTAGCGACTCGCCCTATCTACGACGTGATTTTATGCAACGTATTTGTCAACCTCTTGTCACTTCAAATGAAAAACAGAGAACAAATCATACAAAAAGAAAATCACCTCTTATTTCAGACCGACCTTTGGCTGTTGACCTGTATACGAAAGCTGCAGCAAAAAGAAGATTGGGATACGTTTGGAAAAATAACTAGATAGGTAGATTCGACACACTCAGCCCACGTACTTCCGGTAAGTGCATTAGATCATATTGTAAGATACGTATATTGCGCTTTACAGAAGCGCGTTGACCGCAAACGCTGTAAAAAGCGATAGCAACGGTTACGTAGAGAATCATGCTGTTTCCTACATGTCCTTTTCTATCACTGAGTTATCGGTAGCAATCTATGGAGGAAGCCCCCCACCGAACAAACAAATGCTGGCTCTTTTCTATCGGGCTTCAGGTACTGGGAAACGACGCATTATCGTGAATAGGACTTCAGCGAAATATCGAGCAACAGTAAGCGTTTGTGCCTGCGTGTCTCTCTATGGTCTGATTCCGTGAAACAAAGAACGGACGAATCATTGGTTGACGCACTGACGACAGTAATGACTCAATATATCCATAGCAAAATCGTGAGTTAAAAACACAAACAATAATAATTTTCATTATTACAGGCAATGATCTAGGCCAGTATTTATGAAAGTGTGCATATATATAAATGTATATATGTTGATCCGAACAATCCTGTAGGGTGTAATATAAACCTTGATTATTTTAGGACTCTGGACGTGGCTTAATAAGAAGACTTTGTACTGAAAACCTTAGGGCTCAAAACATTAATTTTCATATTTAAAAATAAAGGGAAATATTTTTTTAATGGCGTAGCATGCCTTTTACTGGATAGACGCACCAGGCGTTTTGCTCATAGCGTGTGGGGTATCAATAAGCTCTGTAGACACTTCATCGTGCAAGCAACATACCTATAAACAAACAAATTCCTTTATGTCAATGTATTTATTAACAACCCCAGGCCGAATGGTTACACGCATTTAATCATACCACTGTAGCCTGCTACACACATGGCATCGCAACACATGAATGTATAATGTCAGCGCATATCGTATGCGCAGAGTGATCGTGTGAATATTTTTTACGCTTTACATCATCCGTATGACCATAGTGACAGCAGCCATACTCTATGCTGAAGCGTTTGTGTCACCACATTCAATATATGTACTATATGTATGCAATTTAACCCGCTATATGAATAAACTTATTTGTTTTGCTGCAACTACCGTTCCATTAGTTGTCCATTAGTTATTCTTAATCACGTTACGGTATTGTATCTTTTATATAAGTCACATTCTAGCACTATTAAACAGGCTTTGGTCCAATGGTAAACTTCTATGGGGCAGACCGTCACAAGAAAACAAAGGTCGAAGCGGTCGTTTAACGATTTGTGTCTTGTATCATTTAGGCACGAACTAAGTCGCAGTGCCATAACTTTATACATAGTATAACGGCTTACTTATGTATTTCAAATTTATGCAACAAGTACCGACATCGTAAGACGATATATTATATACTGAAATATTATTAACGAGACAAGAGGACATAAAATAGACACGGCAAACATGAAAGCTCATAATATCAAACAATACAATGACGTATTTTGAATTGCGTTGGAAGCGAAATCCAGCTCGTAAATTTAGACAAAAGCGTTTATTTGATAATTCGTCCATAATGCACCTCATTTATCTATTTTCCTTTCGAGGTTTGCAGATCTGTCTCCTTTTCTTTTTCTATTACTTTTTTTTTTATATGTAGCCATTCCTGTCCCTTTTAACAATTCACGTCCACCACATATGCTGATTAATCCCGTCGTTTATTTTCCATTTGATTCACCTCATACGCAAAAACTCTAAATTACACTGATTGATTCATATTTAATTTTATTATTATCACTCTACCCATATGTTTATTATGTCACACTCACCTCTTAACTTTGATGGTCAGTTAGGGTGTCCAATGGACAGCGACGAATATGGCGTTGCTTCTGTTGGGGGTTGTGCCGTCCGTATTGACGTAACAAGTCGTGATAATGTTGTTGCGGATGATGATGTTTTGCTTTCTTTGTCTTTCTGCCTCGGTTCTTCTTGTTGATTGTTCGACCGTTTGATTTAATCAGAAGTGTTTTACGCTGTTCAGTGGCTATAACCACTACTCCAATGTCGCCATCATCAGCAGCACCACTGCGACCATCTCAGAGGCCATCAACGACCACTGAGGGCCACTGTTTCAGGGCCTCCTTGAAGCATAAAAATTCGACTACTTCTGAGACGGCCTATGTTGTCTTCACAATGATCCACTCACATTAATTATCCTGTCTTTCTCTTAAGAGCTTATTAGTTGCTGTTGTTTTAGCATAACAGCCAGTAGAAGTGGTGCTAATATTCCTTAACACTCGTAGTATATATATATATATATATCACTGATCTCAGATATGAATGATGCTCAACTTTAGAAGCTCATTCACACACCACATATACATGTGCCTAGACACAAAAAGCCACTCTTGTCTTGTAGATATCACTGTCACAGCTGCTGCTGCTGCTACAGCTGCTGGCAGCGACCAAAAAGAAACAGGACTGATGGCAAGTTTTACAAGTTTAACGCTGAGAGGCTTCTCTTACTTTTTATGCCAACGTCGTCGTCCTATTTCCTTATTCTCCTCGTTTTGGACTCTACAAATGTATCAAAAGTGAAGTAGTTAAAGAGCACACAGGTGCACGGACACTTATAGTGAAACGAACAGTGGGTTTACACATGTCTTTGTAGCGATATTTTGTTTCTTTTTATAGACACATTGCTAATTATGCACTGAGGTCGGGCTGACGATCAGCTGAGACAACCGTACTAATATCGAAGCTGTACTCGCCCAAATGTTGCTCGACACCCCGTTCCTCGGATGCTGTCGTTATTCTATCGTCTGTCGTGTTGACGAACATCATTTGGCGACGCCAAATGCATACGGATCGATCGCGCGTCGTTGCTCATTCCCAGCAATTACAAACGTTAGTGACACCTTTCATGGTCGCGTTTGTCTCCGCTGTTGTCGTTGTCGCCGATGCGGCAACATTTGCCGGAAACGCAGTTACACCAGCAGCATCAATACTGTTTAATGTTTGCACGAGAATGGACCACGGCGGCAGAGTTTTTCGAATGAGAAAACGAAAAAAAATCGAAGCAGAAACAGCCGCTAAGGGGCGAGCATCAGATCAAATTCGACGTTTAGAATACGTGCTGCTGCTGCTACTGCTGCTGCTGCTGGTATTAGTATTAGCGGCCTATCGGCGGCAGTAGCAAGCAGACTGTGTGGTTACAGCCTTGTATCGCTGGCCTTCTATATCTTAGCCTGTTTTATGTGTATGGGCATATGGTCGTCTGTTGTCGATGAATGATGGCGCTGTTGCGGTCTCTTCTGCTGATGTAGACGACGCTGGCAATAATGATGATGTTAATAGAAGAGACGGTGGCCGAGTCAACGACTAGCAACATCGTCGCCGGCAGCGAACGGCAATGCTGACCACCGCCAGTCCGCCCGTCCGTCGATCTATCGGTGGCTTCATCCGTCCAGTCCAAGCAGTCGACCTTACTATTTGTTCAGTGCTTATTCGAGCGCTCTACGGTTCGCGCTTGCTTAGACACTCACATGACAGCAACGCCGGACGGCAACAGCTACGAGCAGCAGCGATCTAGAGCTGGCCACAGATATCATTGCTCACGCAAACATTCAACCCAGTAGTGCAGGGCTATCAGTGCTACTATAACCGCCAAAACTTTTCCTTCTCCCCTTTTCGGTTCGCCCGAATGCTCGCAGAAGAGTAGTGGCAGCGGCCGCCACGCCGCCGCTTCTACTATTCTTCTGCTCGAAATAGAAATGATAGCGGCCGTAGTGGCGGTGCTGTTCCAGTCACTGCGCTGCTGCTACCCCTCGTAGCAGCGAAAGCAGGCACCAGCCAGCCGGCAGCCGTCAGCAGTACGACACCCATGTACATACATAAATACAAGCGGGAGCGGCGACACACATCGAGAGTCGGACGCGGAGAGAGAGGAAGCAACAGGGCCCTGCTGCATCCACAGCAGCCTTATCGGACCTGTGACGTTGGCGGCGACGAGCAGCGAACAATGATATTGATCTATGCTGGAACAACAGCAAGAGCTATCAAGAAGGGGGCGGTCCATTTTTATTGCAGTAACTTCTTATTCTACTCTAACTTTGACCAAAAAATAGAATCGCTGAAGTTACCTAGGTCTTAGTTGTTAGATGAGGGAAGTACTAATGCATTATCCTTCGAAATAAATACAAGTGGATGCAACTAGTTAAGAGAGTGTTAATGGAAGGTTTCAGGACATGAAACTACTATTAGAAATTATAACTCGTTCCTTTTTCTAATGTTGTCTGCCATGTTTTACCATATTTATTTAGGCGAAGACGCGTTGAACAGCGATGCGAGGCGCCGTTATATCAACACAGTCACAAGATCAGAACAGAGTTCGCAATAAAAAAAAATCCGAATACATAACCCAGTCGTGATAACTATTATCTTTCAGATCGAGTTATCTTTATATATTCGTAGTTCGTTCGAGAAGTAGTTATTGTTTTTCGTTGATGAAATATACGAGATTTGATCTGAAGTTATTTGAAAAACTTAATTGTCCTGTATTTTAATTAAGTTCCGTAGTTATTTACTTTGAAAATTACGCGCACCACTGACGAGAATAATATTTCAAACTTGGAATTCAAGTATTTTAGTATGTTTAAAATAAGACATAATACTGTAAGCAATTTATCGACGTGTCCGACAGTAATTTAGCGCCGAATCATTTAATTTTTATATTAACACATGTTTAGAAAGCAACGCTTAATTTCGAAACAGGTAAGATAAAGGAAAATCGAAAAAAATTGTCGAAAGTGTATTAACCTCTGAATATATGATTAGATATGAAGCGAAGTTTGCCATTCTGCAATATAATTTTGGTGTGAAGTGTCGTCAAAGAACTTCATTGGCTTTGAGTTAAATCTGTTCCCGAAATTTAAGATACGATAAGCCTTCGCGGTAAGATTTGTTTCAGCCAAGACCACTACGCACTGATCTTCAATTTTTCACTTCAGTATTACTGCGAACAGACCTGGCTCTTCACTTTACAGAGTTAGAGTTCCGTAGGAGAAAGTGTCAGATGCTTGTCGGATCAATACTTTTCTTGACATGGCAAGGCTTCTGCCGTCTTCTGCTTCCTTTCTAGCTGTACGTCTGGATATCTTGCATTGTTTGTTTTCTTAACTTGTTTAGCCAGAAAAATGGGATTATTTTGTTTTCTTGTTTTCTGCCCGTTTAGAGGACTGCCTCTTTCACTCGCGTGTCAGCGGATGACTACCCTTTTAGTCATTCTGTCTGAGGTTGTCTTCAGTACCAGTTTGCACGAAACCTGTTCGTCGCGTCCGTCTTTGTTAGGTCATTCGTGGAGTGTTACCTCATGGAAGGGAATTTTTGAGTTTAAGAACGTTGTCGTATGTTATGTTGCGCAATAACGATATCACAATGAGTCCTTTGCTATAAAAAAAAAAATGAAAAATAGATTTTCAGGTGCCCCTGTAGTCATAGAGAAAGCAGTATTATTATTCACGATCTTTCTGTCCCATAGATAATACGAAGTCACCCTCACTAAATACGACGTTTCTCTGTTTCCCATCAGAATGCCAAGGATAATTGTACAAGGTTAGCTATTTGCAATCTTCTTAACGTTCAGGAAAACAGCAAGGAAGAGTTTTCACGCCTTTAAAATAAAGCTGTGTATCAGCTTATCTTTGGCTATGAGTCGTTGTGCGTGACAATACTGTCAGCCTGCATTCATGGAAACCATCTTGCAAAACATAAAACTGGTAATCTCAGCATATAGAAAATTACGTAATGAAAATTTTTATTTATTCTTCATGTAAAAACATGGTTTTCTCGATTCAAAACGATACTTTGCACAAAATTTTTTCGATAAGTGCTGTAAATATTATATACCACAAACAAAATTTAATTGAAAGAATCTGGGCCCAATCACTGTTTCAAGCCACGCTACATGTCACAATGTATATTATATAATTTGTGTGAATATATTTTTTTTTATCACAAACTGGTTTATCACAAAACGATTGTAATTTTTTGGCAAGTACAGTTTTTTGACCCGAGGCATCGGGTTTGCGTATGTAGCTTATACGAAGAACGTGCTCCTTAAAATGTTGACGCTGTCATTAGTCTTTCTTAGTGCTTTTAATTCTTGCGTCCGATATCGCCAATAAACCTGCTATCGGATAGCTGGCTCCCGGCACAAAATGAAATCTATGCTCAAATTTGGACCCAGACCACTGCGTGTTCGAAAGATTAACAAGCAACTTTGTTACACGAAGGCCTGGGCGTTTTTCCTATCTATGCCCAATTTGCAGTTTAGAAGTTCCGCATGTACATTAGATTTAATATGTATAATATTTAATCATCCTCTGTTTTAGATTATTTCCAACTACACCAACTATCGACTAACAATTTCAGCTAAACTTTTCGTGTGCCACTAAATCATTTGGATCTTTCTAGAGCTAACGTTGCCATGTGACTTCAAGCCTACTCGATAAATGATTATGCTCTATTAAGCTACTTCAGCTGAATCGCAAATGTGATGCAAAATCTGCATAAAATGTCCTTGGCTCATATTGGACCTTTTACGTCCTTTTTTCCATTTGCTCGTAAAGGAATTGAAGATTTGTTTGTCATTCAGCCCGTATTGACGATTGGTCCTGAAAATTATTCCTTTTTCCGCCAGTATTTCATGTAAAAGTCAAAGTGGAAAACAAGCAGTAATAGTGTTATCTATTCATGATAACCTAACCGAATAATAAAGCAACGAAATTTGCTCCATCAAATTTTAGATGCAAAGGTACCCGAAGGTTTCAAACAAATGAACTGATAGATTAGCCTATTCCTCAAGCATATTTTACTAATAGGTGAATGTTTGCTGAGTACTAATTGTCATATTTATATATGTTATATATATATATATCGTTAGGGAACTTGATGTATAATGAAACCAAATTAACACAAAAAAGCAGAAAATATCATATTTCATGACTTATGCTGTGATCAAATTTGTATGCAACTTTTGATCGAGTTGAATTTTATAATCACATTCATGTATGAAATACCCATCTATATTTCGTCGACTCTAAATATCGAAGTTCTTTCTTCGGCGTTCGCGCTCTTATTTACCATTGTTCAATGTTAACTTCTTTGTTCCTCTGTCCCCATTTCTCTATCCCTCTCTCTCTTTTCCCCGCGCGTGATCAATCTTTTTGTTAATTTTCGTCGTGACCAGCAACGAGACAATGTTCATCTCTGTCCTGGTGAATTATTCACTGCCTGATTTAATATTGGGTCCACAGGACATATGGAGGGGTTTTCTCCGTTTGAAGCATATCGTTTATGACGTTAAGCACCCATTGTATGGTTCCGACTAACTCACCCGATAAGCACCTGCTAATCCTTTTCACCAATCTGCTGTGAAATCGTAATAATAATAGTGATAGAAGATTCGGGTCGGTCTGACGTAGATTTGAGAAAAAGTATTCAAAATATGGGCAGTCGTCTGGGCGAAAGCAGGATGATCAGCCGCCTCCGGGTTCTACACTTAATCCACGCGGAAAAGGCTGGCCGTGGCGATGTCTCGTACGCAAAGGTAATCCTCAAACTCTCGTAAACGAAAAAAAAAAACTAAAAAGATATTACGCTGTTACAAATCATAAGTAATATATTGGTATGTGCGTATGCCACGTATATATCTACATATATCAGGCTAATAATCTTGCCAAATGTCATCTATAACCTGCAGTTGCCAACAGCGATAACGACGTTCTTCACTTTTCGTGATTCGGCGGTTGGCGCCAGTGCCGAATAATGAATGCCAAGATGGCGGACTATGTTAGCGCGAGCGCCATCGAGATAGCGCAAAGCGATGTGCCTGTGTGCGTTGATGACCATCGAGCTGATATCGTCAAATTCCATCAAGCCAATGCGAAAGCTCGGTTAGTCTCAGTCGCTCATGCGTTCGGTGCTGCCTAGCTGGCTCGTCGACTCGCACAGCACTCACTGGCCACCTCACAGCATCAACAGCAGCAGAGGCAGCTCGGCTCGCTCCATCAAGCGGTGGTAGAGCAATGGCAGCAGCAAGCAGGCGCCAGCCAGCCCCTGTGTGCGTTGTTGCTTGTTATGAGGGGAGTGAGCCATAGAAAACCATACAGCGATCGCAGCAGAGGAGGCGGCGGCGGTAGCCGTCGTGGCCGCCGCTGACAGAGCAGCGGCCAGCCAGCAAACAGCAACAGCATAGAGATTGCTGCTGCTACTGAGGTGGCTGCTACCGCTGGCAGTGCTGATGGTGTTGCTGCTGCTGCTGGTGTTTAGGCTGCAGCGGATGTGTTTGGTTTTTGTCGTCCGTCTGTCTGTAGGGCGCTGCTGCTGCCGTCCGTTCGTAGTTCGGGTGGTGGTGATCATTTTCGTCGTCGTCGTCGTCGCAGCGATGGCAATGCGACTGGTGTTTGTGCAGTAGTTTCGCGTATTTTGTGCTGTTCGTTGAATATCATCACGGTGAAAAAGTGTGGCTGTGTTGTGCACTCGCTGCGTCGCTCCCGCAGCTGGGCTGGTTCTTAACAGAGCGCCAGTGCTCACCTCCTGCCATCGACGGAGGCTCCGGTGACAGTGAACGAGCGCCCATTTTGGACTACATCTTACACAGTGTGAACTGGTCGACCAGTTATAATTCCCGCTAGTTATTGTATATGTGTATATATGTTGTTTCGAGCTGGAAACTCTACGAGCCAGACGGCCGACGGACACTTTGCCCACCCACGGGGCTAAACAGCCAGTGTCTGCAAGGCGGGTTTGCTGCCTTTTGTTTCGACGGAAGGATCACTACGAGGCGGATTGTTCAGCAAGCTTGTACAGGAGACAGGGATGTAATCGAATCCGTGCCGCTATCGGTAGAACATCGAAATTGGGAAAACTATAGGGAAAACTCGCGAAAACTAGCTAACTTGTCGTCTGTCGGCGACGTTTACGTCGCTTGTTCTCATCTCAGCACTAGCAGCAGCAGCAGTAGCAGCAACCTTTTGTTTGTGGCCGTGTGTATTCGCGGGCACTGCAGGGCGTCCGCCCGTCCACTAACTCTCAACGCGTTTTGCTGCCCTATCATCAACGGCAACGACAACAGCGGCGGGACAATCTATAACAGTGCACCGAACAAAAACAACAACAAACCGGAACTAAGTGCAACAAATCACAGAGTATCGCCGCTGAAAATTATATCTGAACGGCTGCTGCTGCTTCTGCTGCTGTTGACTACAACTGCTGCTACTCCAGCAGCAGCAGCGGCAACAACAACAACAACAACAACAACAACAACAACAACAAACAGGGAGGGGAGCAGTAGCATAGAGCTTTGGCATTATCAGGTCGGGGCCATGGCCGCGCGCTCAGCCGGCAGTTATTGAAAAGAGGTTCGGCTGCTGGGCTGGCTGTGGCTGGGTGGTCGCTGGCCGCGGCCACAGTGGCCGCCTGGGCGCCAAACAAGCGAGTCGCGATGGCGAGAATCGCTTAGACACGACAGCGCTAGGCTACGAAAGCAGCTGACATGATGATGCAGTCGTCAATGGTGGCCAACCCCCATCACCCAGGCCACCCGGGCCATCACCCAGGCCACCCCACTCATACAAGTCATCACCCAGGCCATCCTGGTCATCCTGGCCACCCTGCTGCTGCTGCTGCTGCCGCTGCTGCTGCTGCTGCTGCTGCCGCTGCTGCTGCCGCTGGTGTTGGTGGTGGTCACGGAGGTGGTCCCCATGGCCCCCAGCCCCCGCCGCCACCTCCGCCTCCACCGTCTTCTCAGCTGTCAATCGGCCCCCCTGCTCCACCAGGCGGTCACAGCCATGGACATCCTCACGGTCCCCATGGGCCACCCATGCATCCCGGTGGACCTCCCGGTGGTCATCATCCCAGCCATCATCAGGTGCATTTGGGATCTCCACTAGGCCCCCCTCCGGGCCTTCCGCATGGCGCACCATTAACCCAACAACCACCTCCTCCTCCCCCTCAACCGCCACCACAGACGATGCAGCCTCAACAGGGCCCCCAACATCAACAGCAACAACAACAACAACAACAACAACAACAACAACAACAACAACAGCAACAACAACAACAACAACAACAGCCATCCACCTCACACTTACGTGGTTAGTACCAGTTTCATGTTTTTCATGTTGCAGCTTTCAGAATGCTCGATATTCGCACGAAGATATAGAGCCCTAATAAAGAACTCAGCTGCATTGGAAATTGGTGTATTTCAACTCAAAAATATATAATGCTATTTTGATGGTAGTAACACTTTTTGGGTAGCACCTTCATCAGATGCACCACGAAAGCCCCAGTGGGTATCTGACATGCATAAATTTTAATTTTGCTTGTTTAAGCTTGGAATTACATATGATAACTTATAATATTGAGAGCCAATGGAAGAATGAAAAAACATATACGCTTAGTTAGAAAAATATTATTGTTATATCGTTCTGCGCAGAATAAGTTTCAAGAATACTATAAACATGTTTTTTAACGGATTTTCTAAAATACGCTCAGTTATTTATTAAGCGAAATTATTTACAATTTAAATCTTTTAAGCTCTTAAGAAGAATCTTTAGGGTTTTATTTCATTTAGCAGTAAAAGCAAAAACTTAAGATGGGATAATGAATTAAATCGCATTCGTCCTATAAAAAAAATTTACGTAATCTAGAGCAAGTTGTTTTCATTTATAGGACGGTGTATTTAAGATTACAAATCTCTATCATTTCCGTAAATGAAGTCAAGCTTGCTTAGTCGAAGCATCTCCTTCTTGTTGAACATAAAACTTCTAGCTCTTACTTATTTATTGTTAAGATTATATTGTTGGTCACTAAAAAAATCGTTGATACAATAATATATCTCTTTTTCTTCTACATATTTCTTGTGGACTCTTAAGATATACACAAAATTGAAATTCGTTTAAGGTCCATCTCGACTTTATTCTAAAAAATAGTAATCGTATATAATAGGACGAATACTAAGTAAGCTCTAATTAATGGACGAAATTATCGATTTAATCGAATCTATTAAGGCGATGCTAATTTTGTGTTTGGTAAGATTGTGTTATATTCTATTGCATTCGTGAACGGTCTAACTCAAAGATTTAGATTCTGTAAACAAAAGAAAGCGGCCGCACCTCGTTATCTTTTGCAATGTTTTCCTCATATTTTCAAGAATGTTTGTATGTCTTTTTTTTAAGTTAATAAGCTATATATTAAATGGGTTTCAAAGGTTTTGATGCGGAAATTTATTGAAACTCATGGCTTATATGAAAATATATCAATATAGATACGACTTTATAATTAAGCTGTAAATAAATAGAAACATTATTGTTCCAGTCCTTTCTGTATATTATCTTTCCTTTACCCGAGAACTCAACAAAACTCATTGATTCAATGGAGTTCGATTGACCGCTTCTTGTCACAAGGGTGGGAGAAGTCAGCGGAAACCTGTCGTTAAAAAAACTCAACTAGTTGGGGTTAAATAATTCGCCTAGAAGGATAGTCGCAGTCCTGAACGATGAGAACATTAAAGAAAAGCTTTAAGCGTTTGGCTCGGCAGTCAGTTAGACTAAAAAGATTTTGAGAGGGAATAAAGAATTAATTATTCCATACAGCTTGTAATCATTTTCATAAAAAGTAATAACAGTTTTTGAAATCACCTAACTTACGAGATACCCTTGTAGTTAGCTGCTGCAAATGTTGAATGTTAAACATCTATTCGGAAATAGTGTAAATTTCATCAAAGAATTATAGCTTAAGGATAAAACATACAAGTATTCAAGAAATTATAGGAAGTTGTCGGTCTATAAAATCAAATGTTAATAAAAACTTGGAGGGTGCGGTGCCTGTGTTGCCCTCTTATCTGTACGTACGAGCCGAGCCGCATATCATTTTCCAGTCGATTCCAATACGTGTGTCAGCTAAACTTGAGCTGTATATATTGTTGTCTAACTGGAAATAGATATCTAAAACAATTTTTTTTTCAGGAAAACACTCTGTTTTGGTGCGTACTAAGAATAAAGAATAATGGTGTATAGCAAAGAGTGTTTCAGAATTTAGCCAGAGTGTATTATGCTAAACTAGCGATTTAATTGGGGGCCTTCTTTCTACGGCAGACTTATCTGCGGCGGTTTTACGATACTAGCGATGCCGTTAATTTGTATCAGGGCAAGAGTGTCACGCAGACTAATCGGGAAATATGTTGGATACCCTTTATGACAGGCTTAAGAAATCTGTTTTAATGTGGACCCTCGATACACTTAAAGGAACCACCGGTTTTTAAGAAGTTATGGGTATAACTTCTGCTTGTCCACATGGACACGATCTTTAGCCACAAATGTTCTAAGATCTACGCTAAATATAATTCTGGATTTGTATTAAAAAAAAAACTCGGACTTTTTGGTGTTAACAAGAGACAAGTTAACTGACGATAATTTTGCTTAGCTTTTTATGCTTTTGTTGTCGATAATCGGTTCTTCCTTTCTATCTATCGGGATGGCGGTTCGACTGGAGTTAATGCTAAACCGAGATTTTCTTCCACGAGATTCTATATTTGGTCACCACCATGATAACCGGTAATTGTAACAAAAGATAGGTAAGATAATTAGCATTGAAACGGACCATTATATGAAAACGACGCAGATTTTTATAAATATGAAGCTATTGAAGTAATTTAAGGGAAGTCAAGAGGATCCCTGAAGAAGATTTCAGTTTTTATTGCGTTTCTTTATCCAGATGACCTTCTCGCACACAGACTCCAAACAATTTATAAATAGAGAAAAGAAGAGACTTTCCTGAAAATTTGTTTCATGTTATTGCTTCTAATCTGCGTACTTCATTTATCACAATTAGAAAAATATTTTTTATTTTCTAAATTAAAAAAGTAGAAAAACGAAGCTGAAAAAGTAACAGATTTGCAGATAATATTAGAACGATTCGGTCTAAAAAGCAATGCAATTAGTGTGACATCTGAATTTTTTTAAGTAGAGTGGCAATGTATTGCGATAGCTAGAAACATTGTAAATTTTCTAAAGGTTTTGTTTACAAATAAGCTCACAGAAGATTTAGGGCTAATAAAATTTTTGAATATGTTTTTATATGTTTAAGAATAATCACAGCTCTGTGCTAATGGTAACACACGATCATTTCGTTGTAGAAAAGGCAGAATGTGATTTCAAAATCAACGTTTTGATAGTACTATTTATGATCAAAAATAAAATCGTAATAACAAGTCAATTTCTATATATATATATTGCTTATTTTAGGAATTAATAATAGAAAACAACAAAACGCGTTTTCCACTAGACTTTTCTATAAAATGGAAAACAACTCATGTATATTTTCATCTCATGGCGTAACCGTATTCAGAAGAATCGGTCATTATTTATATAAAACGAAAGCATTTTTGTTCAGTTTAGTCTGTTATTCACCTGTTGCATTTGACAAACAGCCAGAGCAATATTGAAAACCACATCACTGCAGGATTCCAGTTCAAGTTCTCCTTATCTGGCACTCCTTTACAAACTCTTTGCATAAGCTTACCACACTGAATACGGTGTATCTCAGTAACAAAACTCATCCCCAAAGCATTAAGTCGGTTCAAATTATATTTCACTTTGTACCAGATTTATGTAAGCCTAAACGCAAAAGATAGTATGCCGTTAATGCAGAGAAATGCAATTTGTAAAACTGGATCTTTGCTCAGCTGAGCATATTATGCCAGAACCAAAACTCCCGCGTTATTATCTAGATTACTCTCTTCATCGAGTAAATCTAAGAATCCGTCTGTAAGCATAAAGAATGTGGTAATGCGGAAACAGTAAAAAAAAAAAAAAAACTTATCCAAAACTAACAAAAAAACGTATCTGTTCTGTCTGCAGCGGTATTGAGTCAGCGAATGAAGTTGTTACAATGCCAGTTACAGTCATCGTCCAGTTCGCCAGGCGGCTCAAGTGGAACCTCAAGCTCAGGCGGAACTGGAACTCCTGGAAGCAAGCCAGCTCGACAACTGCCTTGTATCGAAGAGGCTTGGAATATACCGGTCTCGCAAGAAATGGCCTCAAAACAACAACAGCAGAGTTTGTTACACAAAGGAGCTCATGCCTTTGGCACTGCGCTACAACGGGGACACCATGGACAGGTGCGCGCTTAGCAATAACAGTTTGATGAACACAACCATTTTTGTGGGATGCTGGGCCTACAACTAAAGTGTCATTTTTACTAACATCGAAGGCATTGAAGTAATACCTTCATTCGGTCGTCTTTCGGTTATGTTTCATATACGCTAAATTTGAGTACCAGTAATCAGAACATTCATAGCCTTAAAAAACTTGTCAAAGGAATCTGAGTAGAATAAGCACATACATTTTATTTATTTATTTTTATTTATTTATATTTTTATATCAATTTGATTTACATTTCTTTATTTAAAAACCTCATAGGGTTTGTGCATTACCAGTATACAAATTCGAGCTCCTAGCTGTGTTTACGATCATCCTCGAATGTTGTCAAATCTTGAACATTTATATTAATACTATTATTTTCGGTAATCAACTTGGATGTACGCATGACATTTTAATTTTACCTTGTTAAAAAATCTATTTTTTCGCACTAACGTGTATGTACGTATCAAATGTTTATTCATGAAGGTTAATATATCCATGATTAACGTTTGGACAATCAACTGTTATTGAGACAACCAAACTCTACATGCGTTCTGTGATCATTCACAGCTGCAAATATTATTTTCCTAAAAGATCATACTGCGTTTCTAAAGACAGTTTTTGAACGACTATTCTATCAACTAGTTTTTAGTAAGAAATTAAACCACCTCATTGAATGTATTTCATTCAGAATCCATACACAGTTACCTGCCTTGGTTATGCTTTGCCATCGTAAAAATATGTCGAGGTGAAGTACATTGAAACTGATATAGAAAATAACGTAATATCATATAAGATTCATCTATTCTTGGGTGAGAGCATTTACCTACCAGTGGAAGTTGTCTCCGTTGGTTTTTGATTTCAGGGCGGACAAGGGTACAACGGCATGAATGGACCGCTAAGTAATGGCATGGAAAAACCTCCGTATTACCTATCTAATCAGGAAATGCAGGTAAACTATTTAGAGCAATGAGAAAATTTATTTAAACTTTTGGGAAATTCAGGCCTTGGTCTTAAATTAGTTTTAGAAATCGAGAGAGAGGAAAGTATTAATTATCATATTAGGTGTCGGGTGGCTAAAATGCCGCACAACAATTGTTAAGTTCCGCATTTTATATTGAGCTGAAATTTAGCAGCTCTTTAGATTGAGTATTTCATTTTAGCTCATCGCATACATTCCATGTTCGTAGTATATTTGAACTTAACCTCTACTGTGCTATAGGTACTACTGTTCATTGCGGGCATTATTGGCGCTATAAGCATTTATCCATTTCCAAAAAAAAACTGTATCTTAAGTTAGTATACTATGGTGACGATTAAGTATATGTGTGCTTTTGGTGATTCTGAACATTTACCTGTTTCCCAGATGCTACAACAACTGCAAGCAAATGTTGGAAACCTAATACCCCACCAGCGGCAGGTGTTGCACCAGTTGCAGAGTCGACATCGTTTAATGTTGCAGCATAAGAACCAGTTGCAACAACAGCAGCAACAGCAACAACAATATGCCTTTCAAGCTAATACAGAGCATCCAGCGGGAAGTGTGAAGGGAGAGACGTCAATATCTAACGGCCCACAAGCATTTGCTGTGCCCCAGCCTCCTCCGGGTTCAACGGGGCCGCACACGAACGCGCAGAACAGCGCGCTAACAGCAAATGGAGTCAAACAGGAGGCCAACGAGCCTATGATGTCAGACACTGACGGTTCTATCGATGATAAAAGCTTGATTGTCGGCTCAAAAGGGGCCAAAGAAGAATCAAGAGATTGTAAAGATGGCCTTGTTGGATCAGCGACGACAACATCCTCTGCAAGCACGAAAATAGTATACGGTGCGACGGGGACTAGCAAGGCGCCAAGACTAAAGGACGTTGGCAGCAGAATCGACGATGATGTTAACGAGGACGAAGATGCGGACCTAAGCGATGGACCCAGTCAGCAGATTCTGGTGGCGTCGCTAAAGAGCTCCGAGCTTGCCAAGTTGTTGCGCATTGGACCTAGTGCAGTCACGTGTCGAGTGTTTGAGGACCCTTTTGCTAATCCCCCATTGCCTGACGAAGATGTTGAGCCAATGGAAACGGATGCAGCAGTTGCCGCTGTAGTTGTAGGAAAATCAGATGCAAATGAAACCAGCCGTAGCTGTAAGCCAGCTGATATCGCGTTCAGACCTCCGAGTCGGGTGCCACAACTGCTTGGAGGTGATGCGACGTCAGACCAAATCGTGCATAGTTGCAAAGAGACCTTGTCAAAGTACGGCGTGCCTGCCGTGTCGATCGTCCACGGCTATGGAGGCCCTCCCCCTCGACCACCAGCCCGGCCGCCACAGCTGGCACGAGATAAACTCCTGCCTCAGGCGCCTAGCGTGTTTCTTGACAATAAGAAGCAAGCTTTTACGCCGCAGTTGCAACAGTTCTGTAATTCTAATCCGATCACGGTTGTGCGCAATCTTGGCTCAGTGTTAAAACTCGACCTGGGCCTTTTTTCGACCAAGTGCCTGGTTGACGCATATCCTGATCAGCCCGTCGAAGTGCGAACCCAACTACAGCAGAGCCTCGACGAAAACTGGGATGGTCAACGGCGCGCCCAGTTGTGGCGCTGCGAGAGCGGCAAAGGACGTTGTACGCTATCACGTTACGCACAATACCAAGCCGCGTCGTTTCAGGAGCAGTTGCGCGAAGAGCAGCAAGGCAACAATGGAAATAGCTCTCAACCTCACCTATCCGATTCCGACTCCAACTCGTCACTTGGAGTGTTCAACACAGTCGGGGGTCCTCAAGGTGCTGGCGGCGGGGGCAAGTCGAAACGCGCCAAAAAGAGCGCCGTGTTTAAAACACTCAAATTTGGCAGTCATGTCGATCTTAATGACGAGAAACGGTGGCGGGTACAATTGCAAGAGCTGCAGAAGCTGCCACCTTTTACGAAGGTCGTATCCGGTTGCAATATGTTATCGCACATTGGGCGACAAATGATTGGAGTCAATACTGTGAAATTACACCTAAAAGTGCCGGGAGCACGGACCACTGGTCACCAGGAGCATAACAATTTCTGTTCAGTAAACGTAAATATTGGGCCGGGAGACTGTGAGTGGTTTGCGACACCTCACGAATACTGGGGAGAGGTGCACCGCTTGTGCGAACGAGCACATGTCCGCTTCGACGGAGACAGCTGGTGGCCGTTGCCTGAAGATCTAACAGCTCATCATATACCTGTTTACCGATTTACACAGCGGCCAGGCGATCTTGTATATGTCAATTATGGCACCGTTCATTGGGTGTACTCTGCCGGTTAGTACCTTGAAAATCCACTTGATATTCCAGAAAAAACTGTAAGGGTGGAATATGCTTCCGAACAACGCAGGGTGTTGGTTCATAATTAGTCGTCTTACGAAAAAAAAAGAGACGTTTTTATCAAAATGAATTATCAATATTTCCGGGACAAACGTGTATCGTACTAGTTATTTGTACCTTTGTTTAATTAATTTGTTCATCATTTTTAGGATGGTGTAATAACATCTCGTGGAACGTGGGTCCGCTATGCGCCGATCAGTACCTGCTCGCGATTGAGCGTTACGAATGGAACCGCTTACATGGCATCCGTTCTCTTGTTCCCATGCAACAGCTCAGCTGGAATTTGGCGCGTAATTTACAGCTGGCAGACGAACGGCTCTTTCGGTTATTGCGCGACGTGTTGGCGCGAAGTCTCTGCCATTGTGCTCTCTTGCGCGAGTGGCTACGTGGACTACGCAAGGACGTCCGGTGGCACGGCAAAGCGCGCAGTGAGCCCACGTACTATTGTACCCTGTGTCAGGTGAGTGCAAATGCTACACACCAATTATTTTAGGGTAACCTTTTAATAATATAGTTCAAATGTAGGAACATTCATCGAAATTCTTAATTTAAGATTCTTTAATAAGCTATCTTTATCATACTAAATATCTCTCTTTAATAAGCTTATGTTAGCTACGCTAAATACGATCGTTTGAACGATTGTCAATGAAGTCTAATTATCATTCATGAAATAGCTATCTAAACCGGAGCTGTAACTTTATTCTGCGATATACATGAAACGTTTAAGCATCTCCGGGTGGGCGAAAAAGGCTTTTCAAGCTTCCAAGATTTATCAGTAAACATTTTACAGGAAGAAAGGATACTGGTGGTGAACTTGGTAATGCTTGGAAAAAGTCTCCGGCCATTTTAAATTTAATAATACATAATTTGATAATATGGATTTCTTACGTGTTCTAGACGGAGGTGTTCAACATCTTGTTTGTAAAGACCCGTCCGGGAGTTGATGGTCACGGTCTGGGCCCTCTCTCCAAGCGGATGGAGGTCCATTGCTTCTACTGCGCGCGCAAGGCCTCGCCAGGCCTGCATGAATATGTTGTTCTAGAGGAGTACTCGATGAATGATCTCAAGGACGTCTACGATCATTTTCAACTTCGGGAGGTAAGCTTGCAACTCAGGTTATAAAAATAATCTTTGTGTACTTTTATTCAATTCAAACAGGTCACATTTGAAATCGCATACTGCATATATATATATCAAATTTGTTGTGACAGGGTTTAAGTTTATTTAAAATAAAAAATATGTTTTGGCTCGGAAAAAAGGCTCGGAAAGAGAACTATATGTTACCAAAGTAAGCGAATTTGCTTTGCTTTTTTCTTTCAGGTGGCACCTTCTTCATCGAGTACTTCGCTTTCATAGAGAAAGAAAGAATACGAATTTTTAACGAAATTGCGCAAAAAAGGACGGTACATACTGGAGGAACAACATCACAGCAACGATGCAAATAATGCTGATTTCAATGGCAAAAAAATGATGTTATATGCCGGCGGCCGGCCCGCGCGCTCGTGAATGTACATATGTAGTGTAGTAGCCATACTAAAAATAAAAAGGGAGAAAGAAATAGTTGGAAACAAAAAGGAAAACCGATACTGGGAAAAAGAGAAGACTATATCATTAACAACAAAAGCCAGTCACACACTTTAATAGAAAGAAGAAAAATGACGGGGGCAAAGACTGTCCCTACAATTATTATAATTATTATTATATATTGTTATTATCATAACAGGAGGACGCTGTGGACGACATAGATTTCGTAGAGATGACACTCTTCTACATATTCGATAATACCTTTTACTATGACTCCGCGGATCAGTCCTTTCCCAGGACAGAAAACAACTGGATTTGTAACATAAGTTATACATAAATCTTAAAAAAATAAGGAAAAATTACCCTATCAACAACTTGTACCTTGCACGGGTCCTCTCATAATACCACTAGGGTTCTCGGCAGTAGAGCAATGCCACCCGGGTGAAGGTAAACAAATATTAAGACTCTAAGATTGCCTGCCCTGGATTCCGATATAGAAACTGAAACAATTAGAGAGTATTACTAAAAGAATATATATATATATATATATATATATATATATATATATATATATATATATATGAAAAGCAGAAATCCATGCGGACAGAGACACACAAGTTTATTACGGCAGTAAGGGCAGAAGTGGCGGCAAAAGAACTCTACACAAAAAACATAGACAGGAGACCCTTCCCTGCATCACATCCAGTTGGACGGGAGAAGCAAATAGTTGAAACTGGAGCAGAAGAACAAGGAACGAGGAGTGAAAATCTAAATAGTTAATCGCAGTAGACAAAGCAGCCACAATAAAGGGCGACACTAAAAGAGCAAAAATCAATAAAGGAAACTTCCGCTTGTACTCAAATTGACTCCCAGTAGAATACGCAGGTAGGAAATTTGAGACAAAGATTAGCAGGAAACAAAATTAGATAAACTAAAATGATGGCGTTGACGTTAGTGGTGATAACAACCAAAAGGAACAACAACAACAACCAAACTGAGAGAAGAGTTGCGAAGACCGCCTGTTTTTGTGGATGGTATGCGTGCACACGTGGCTACCCCGGTATAGGCGTGTTTATGTGCGTGTTTGGCGTGCGCTTGATTTGTGTTTGATGTGTCATTGTGCGTCAGTGTGATGGCTAGATGTGTGAGAAAATGTTGGTTTGAACCGAGTGTTTTGATGGTATCGTGGTATGAACGTTTTGCTTATCCATCTTCTGTTGTGCCTGCGGGGCAAAAGCAGAATAAAGGTTAAAGCTGAACCTGCGGAGGACGAGGGAAATGATTAACGACAAGTAGCGCCCAGTTAGCAAGATCCGAAACTCAGGCCGGCGAGGCAATGTCACCACGTCTGCCCTGTAATAATTTTTCTTCGGCCAGAAATGTAATTTATTCGCTTAATTGTTTTACGATGACATGGGAAGACATGAGAGAAAAAGTGTGGAAATATAAGGTGGAAGCGACGTCAAGAAAATAGTAAAATAAGGAGGGACAACTAAGAGCTAAATAATAATTATAATAATAAATAGATATAAAAATAACAGTGGAAGAGCGAGCGAACGAGAGAAAAACAAATGTGCGAAAATGAGAGCAAGTACAGCGAGAAAAAGGGAACGAAAAGATACGAAAGAAAATGTTATCAAAAGCAATTATTTGCTTAAATAATAAAATCTAAAAATAACACTTTATTACAAAAAAAATATATGAAACCTATTTTTTGTTCTTTTTATAGCGGTATAGTTAGTTCACATTGTTCATTTATGTCGAATTCTGATACGAATGTACCTAAAAGCTAAAGAACCGTTAAATATTTAGTAAAATCAGTAATCAATAATATCAATTAGAGCAAACAACAAGTGGAATTTTTTACGTCAACCAGCAAGGATCCTGAAAAGAAGCCACACAATTTGTCTGTGCGTACAAGCAGGAGAGAAGCTGTTGAAACGTCGGTTCGCCTAGCGCGGATGTCGCATCTGTCCTTGAGATGATCGGCGTATTGATGAGCTTTTCACGTTCGGTTGTATCACACCTAAGGGGCTATTAACAAGCGTTGGACTATAACAAAAGAGTTGTTCAACATCTTCGTTATACCTGAATTCAATGTCCTGGCCTATTTCCAAACCAAAGATCTCTACATGCCGCGAAGACCTGTTAAATACTACTGCGTGAAATCAATTTCCTTTAGCGTGAACAACTACTGGTCACAGTTCTTGTTTTTTTGCGACCCGTGGACAAACAAATAAATTTTGCTCATGGTCCTCTTTGTCAGACGCTACGATGACACACAATACGACACTGCACTTAAATCCAATTTATAGTTAAAATTACGTTTTCTGAAAATGCATTTTGCCATAGCATTCGTATTCTGCTAAAGTACTATTTTATATAAAGATTTTTAGATGGTTTAGAAATTGATTCGCGTTATTCCAACTTTAGTATACGAAGTCACGACAATTATTGTATTAATAACTGTGACATGGCTTCAGAATTTAAGAAAAATATGTGCGCTTTTCACCTTTGAAAAGTCGTATGGAACAATTCGAAATGAATATAAATGCATTATGTTTGCATAAATCTTTATTTTGTTAGACATTCATTTAGCAGGCGTTCCCATTTGCGGTCTCTTAATCACCTGGAACCTACATAAAATATAAAATGCATAAAACGAGATAGAAATAAGCTGTTGTTATACATTTTACGTAACTAAATGTTGATAGCGGTTTAGATCATTTCATTTTAAATTAAATAGACCGAAAAGAAATAGTCATTCGATTTTAACTAATGCCTATTTGCCTAAAGGCGTGTGCCAATATAATTAGGTTCCAAATCTGACTTAAATTACGCCGAGTTTCAAACCTCCATAGATATTCTTAATTTTATGTTCAGTATAGCCATTAAGCGTTGCTCTAGGCCGCTGACACTCTGAAAATCGTTGGTGAAAAAAATAGGTCTACGTTTGGTCTTGCAACTATATCATTTTGCATGTCCCCAATTTTAGTAAGTAAATTATTTTTCATCTGGAAGCAGTTAACAGACCCTTAAGCTGCACAACAGCTTACAGAGCGAAATCTCCGCTGGTTTCGCATAACTTATCTTAATCGCTTATTTAATCTCTGGTCAATTATTGAAATCAATTATCCATATAACTATAAGTTAGTTTATAAAATGTGTATAAAAAAGTATAGCATATTCATAGCCAGAATTATCAATAATGGATTGGTAAACTTTGATCGGCACTAGCTTTCCCAGCGTTGCGGCCCATTGCCTAAACATGCATTTGTCAATGAGTGCTTTTTTTTCATTTATAAGCTTCATTTTTTATTCTAACCAAAAGCAAGCTCGTACTCTGTCAAAGTCTCTTGAAATTCAGTACCTGTCTGGACGTAAACTCTGTTTGGTTTTTGTTTACCAACAAAAGGCGAAGCTTCTATTCAAAGCGAAAGCATAAGACCAGCTGAGTAACGCTGAAGGCAACCCGGCTTTGAATATCGTTCTCCAAGCTGACTGGTTATCTCTTGACGCTTTTTCATGTCATTGTTTTGTGGTCTTCGTATATTAAAGATGCCACGTCCTTTTAAGTATGTCATTGTCACAAAGTCCGAGTAAAAGTTCGAGTTCTCCAAGGAAAAGATCCCCGCGTAAACTTATCCCACGACCGGTAAAGCGCAAATCTGTCTCAAGCAGCTCAGAGTCAAACCAGGTCCCTAAGACACTACATCATTTTTTTGCGAAACAAACAGCGAAGGCCAAGGCAACAAAGATTCTGCGGAGTAACGGAGATACGTCAAGCAAAGCTCTTGTTATTGGCGATAGTGACAGTGATGAGAAGAGTAAGAAGCTCGGTAAACATTTGGCGCGGAAACTTTTTTCACCCAGTCCGACGAAGAGAACGAACGTAGCACAAGGAAGTGGTGACGAGCTATCGCAAGAGGCAACTTCGACAATATCAAGCGAAGTTTTAACAGAAGACCGAGTTCCTAATCGGGAAAGTGACGCATGTGAATCGAACAGCCAAGATGCACCACGAAGCGACACAAAGCTTCTCGTAGAAATTATATCTCCTTTGAAAGAGCCCAATGTGGAGCTGGTAGACGATGACACCGACGAGGTTATGGGCCGTCTTCCAGAACCTGAAACATCTACTTCGAAACGAGCTACGCAAAATTACGAAGCTCAAACATTTCGGCACGCCTATGAAAAGGCTATCAAAAAGGAGCTTTTTAGTTATAAGGATAAAAAATTATTGTCAAGTTTCTTCGTTCTTAACGAAGGTGCACAGGAACTCTGGCTTCGGCTATATCAGAGAAAGCACCAATGGATTCTACGGTCAAGAATTTCTTATAACATAGACCATATTGACTCACTGCTGAAGGAACTGGTCGAAGCTGGATTTCTCTATGATAAGACACATCTAAATGATCTGAAGATTTTGCTTGACCTTCTACCTCAAAAGAACGTCGTCGCGTTAGGCCGAACGTTTTGTGATCCAAAGAAGTGTACGACAAAGGCAGCAACAATTGAAGAGTTAATAATTCACGCTGGACGAAAAGACGCCTTGTTTGGCGCTCAACGAATTCGACATAACATTGTTAAGTGCGGACAGCAGCTTATAGAACAATGCTATTTCATCGAAGATTCTATCGCTGCCGCTGTCACTAGAATACTGACGCTCGTTTCTCTCGGAAGTCATTTTGACACATTCACAACTGCTGCGGATAAGAGTGACCACGGTGTGTGCAATCTATTTACTATCAGCCAATTTATGCGGGGAAATTATTTCTTCCCTGAATATACTGTTGTCGATATAGTTCCCACACTGTTTTCCAACCCCGAAGAGTTTGCTTTGTACTGTGATGCGCGTCAGTATGTATTTCGGCTATCAAAGCTGACAGAGACTCAGAAATGGGATACGGCACTCACTAAATTTGAAGAAGCATACAAGTGGTTTATGTCCTCCTGCACTAAAGAAAGATTTTCCAAGGACGCAGCTTTGCCAGGGTTTCTGCAACGTTTTTCTTACAGTTACTGCCTAATGCGATGCCTTGTGATCGGCGCAGAGATATTCGAACGCCACAAACGATATCAGGACGCCATTGATCTATATTATACAGTTCTATCGCAGACGTCTCTACAACAAAATAGGCGCGGAATGTATTGGATCAGACTTCTTCTTGATATTGATTCTCATTTAAAACTGCCAAGGAACTCTCTTTGTCTGGCTAGCATTGGGCTAAAAGATAGCATCGCCCCTCAACACATGTTTGATATATATACTAGAGCTAAGCGATTAGCAGAACGTTTCGAGATTTTTTTGCCTCAACTAGAGAGATTTACCCCACCGATCGAAGCCCCAATAGAAGTAATATATGGTCAACTTACTAAACGGGATATTATAGGTAGACGAAATGTATTTGCTACGGTGGATGAAATAGGCGAGAAGATTGTAGGCCCAGAGGCTGTCGCTATAGAGCATTATCTGCAACATGGTTATACAAACGGTGTGCACGGTGAGACCCGGAGTATACATATGCTTTTTGCCGTACTTTGCTGGGATGTACTTTTCGCGGAGCCTTTAGAGACGGAACCCGTTCCTCCAGCGCCAAAAGGAATCGCTTTAACTCTGGAAGCTGAGTTGCAGGCGATTAAACACCTATTTAAGAAGGACGACGTCGTCAATATCAGCGACAACGATGACGAAGTGGATGCGTCTACTTCACCAGCGAAAAAGCGCCGTCGAGATCGACAATCAAAAAGGCCACCGCCAAAGAAGAAGAAGGTGGTACCTGTTGGAGTCCAGCTAATCCCTCATCGAGAATACTTCCGCCCAGATCTGTTCCCGAAGGAGGTAACATCACATCGTCGGAACGCATGGCTACAGAAAGCCTCGTATATAAATGAATTTCAATCGGGTCCACTTGACCTCGGCTATCCAGAGTTTTACCTAAACCGCAAGCGAGCTATAGATCAACATCTTGCGACACTGGAATCAATAACCTCAGACGAAATGGTTTCTATTGCTAAAAAGAATTACGTGCTACACAGCGGCCGCGTCAATCCACTCTTCAGTTGGGAGGTTCTCAGTGTGGATGAGGTGACCTCATTGGTTGCTTGCATCCCTGTTACCGTTATTGTGGCTATTTGCCGTCAGTTACTCGTCGACTTTCGGTTTTATCGTTCCGGCTTTCCCGACATAATTCTCTGGAACGAAAAGACGCGGCGTTGGAAGGTAGTTGAAGTCAAGGGTCCTGGCGATATCTTGTCAACGAAACAACGTTATTGGATGCACCTATTACTGTCCCTTGGGGTAGACTGTGCTACCTGCCGCATTGTTTCGGTGCATAGCAGAAAAATTCGCATCTGACCCGCCAAAATCCGCAACTGATTAACCGAGAGAAGTTTGTTTTCTCATAACTTTCTCCATTGCCATTTTTTACTGCATATTTATATAGGTGTCCGTACATATTCGCACATGTGGGGCACGTTATAACTTTTAGCTAGCTTTTCTTTCTCGAAAACCTATTAGAGTATTAATATTGCAGCTCTGTAGCCGAGTGGTGTATTAGGTATATTCGGCTAGCTTTGTCGCCCTTTGAGGGTGGTGTGGTATTGAGGTAGCCAAAATAAGCTCGCCCGTTCGTAAACAATTATTCATAAAAACTGGTCATTTTAATGGGTCTGTGTAATACAGGTATATACATCTGAATACGTTTCATTTCTGACATTTCTTATACATCAAATATATACGAACCTATAATTTTTGGGCGTTCTTATTAAAGTATCTAAAATTATCTACTAATCATTCTTACAGTGCTCTTATTCGTAGAGAATATAAAATAATGTAATAAATAGTGTGTAAAGGGTTAAGGGATTCTAAATCATCGACAAGTGAATCAAAATTCGCGCTTCTTCAATATACATTCAGCGCCATCTATAAATCCCGATGTAAGAGAGAATGAAGCGGTGGCAGGATATGCCAAATTTGTTGGCTCGTATTACAGGATATTCCAGCACAAGAGGATACAAGTAAAGCACAATTGCAGAGTCACGAAAGATAGTAACTATCTAACCTGGCATATATAGCAATTCTTACGAACACAGTATATCGTTGAAATTTCACAAGTTATCACGCTCTAGTATCCGTAAATATCGGTTACAAAAAGCAAATCAATTTTTTAGGTATCAGTAACACTACATAAAATATACGGATGTGTTCGTCAGTGTGCAACATTTGTTAAACGTATTCAAGGTATTCTATCCCGTCTTCTACTCGACCTGTTCGCATTGCTTGAAGTGAGTCCCACTTCCTTTGATGGAAAATCTGTAAAGCAACAATAGACAGTCATAATGGGGCCGGTTATTAAAAAAGCAGCTGAGGGTTCGTTGTGGAAAATGTAGCAGGTTTTATTTACAGTCCATCAGAAATAACGTAGTGCACAACTATTACCACAATCGGTTGAAAACGGATCGCTTGAAAACCAATTAAATACTTTTTCAGCTAAATATCTTCTCTGCAAAAAAAGAGGATTCGATGATAAACAGGAGTACTCTTTTGTGATTTGATATACAGCTTCATTCAAAAGCCACTGTAGAAAGTAGATAGCACACAGTTTACTGTTTTCTTTAGAGAGTATTCTACTGCTAAATAGATCCTGACTTAATATCGTCTTTCAGTTGTCACTAAATTACATTGTAGTTGAAAGTCAGAACTAGGAATTTGATCGGTAGGTGCCTAATTAGAACGAGTGGTTTATCCTAAAACGCGCACCTATAACTTGAACAAGCTCTGATAAATCATGGAGGATACCTTGCGTTATTCGTAGACGTCATTGAAGCTAAGCGGGTACTGCTAAAGCTGCGTCGGATGACCTTTTCACATACTAAACGCGATTTTACGATATTCTCTGTTGAATTTTGTCTGATTTACCTTTTATTACTACGCTCAGGGCACGATAATATATTCATCCTAGTTATTTTACGACGCAATTGAATGGCTAGTTTGACTAAATTGACTTAGTATAAAAAAATGGAAAGAATTTTTCAGACAACTGCGCACCGACAACGGCTAAGGCGAGCTAACCATGAGGAAATGAGGTGTTTTTGAAACAACGCAGTGCTTGTACTGTGTGTGTCTACAGAATTTTACATTTTTTTATTTGGCGCTAGGTTTTCTATTTTGTAGATATCATAGCATAACGAATATGTATTGCACTTAGTATTCAATAGAATTGCTGCCGCGAATTATGGTTGCTGGATCACTGACCTTGATAATGAATAGGCGAACCTGGACGGACTGGGCAACATTCGTAGCATCGAAACAGCATTATAAATTATTTAATTACTCTAATATAGATTAATCCAATGGGCTTCCGTCGAGCTTAATACAGACACGAACTGAAAAAAGCGAGTTGCAGTTTTGCCGTGCTGGAATATCAGAGAACCCTCTAATCATTTTTGAAAGTGATTTTTTTAAAGCTCTAGGGCTTAAGCCCGGACACCCATTGTATAATAATAATAATAATAAAATGCAAATGAACATCAGAGGCTGTGAATGCACAGTTGCTAATACATCTCGTAAATACGCTTCATTTTTCACATTTTGCTAAAAGATAAAACTAATAGTGCCATATGAAACAATATAGGGACCAAGAGAATGTCGTCAGTTTTGTTACTTATGCAAGCATCACATCTATAACATTCGCTGACCTTTGCTTGTGGTCATTCAGGCTTATGCACTTCTTCGTGACTCATACCGTACAGACGCGCTGGACGTTGCTCAATACTATTATATGATTTTCGCTGTTTCATTGCAAAAGCTAGCTTACACATACTCGGCCTAAACGCAACTTCTAAACCCGAATTTGCTGCAGCTGTTTTATCACCACATTGCACTGTCTTCGTTACTTCGTTACAATTATTTTTATTGTCCTATTATGCTATTTCATTGCTCTGTTATTACCCTATAGCCGTTGTCCCATTGTCCTGTCCTTATGATAGATTAGCCTAATCTTAGGCGCACGTCGTGATCTGGGTTCGAATCCGAGGCAGCCGCCGGATGGAGTCTTTAGCGGCAATGCGGTACCATACGTACAACTTAAAACGTTTAGTTTCATTCAGTTTATTCCTGTTATCCACTGCAACACACTTCCGTTAAAGGCTCCCATTAAGCCGTTATCTTTAACCTGTTATACTCTAATGTAGCCCGCTACCTCACACTGCAACTTCCAAATTCCGTGTAAATTTTAAGCCGCTCGGGTAAAAAAACATTGAACACATTTTTTAGCGGCTCTATTGAGGAACTTATTTTAAGGCTCGACTTATTTCTCCAATTTTACGCCTCTTTCGCACATTTTCAGCCACTGTCGGTTTCTACTACTACTACTACTTTTCCTCCAATTTACATTGGAGTCTACGGTTACCACAAATCCGATGTTTTTCAGATGGGCCATTTTAAAACTAGTGAAGCCTTGTCAAACCGATATGCAAAAAAACACATAAATTGTCACAGCTATTTGGAAGATTGTCTGGCTATGTGCAAATGCTTACTTGAGAGTGTAGAATATATGCTGACAAGAACCTAATTTGTAAATCATTCTCCCATATAATGTTAAATTACATTTATTACGCATGGTAGAGGTCTTACTTGGGTGTGTTAGATTCAGAACGAATATGAATCGTATGACTCTGCTTTTGCTAACTAGCACATAACTATTCGAAATCGTCTTCTATACAGGCACTAGGCCACCTTAGAAATAATTGTAGAAGTGAATTTCAACGCTTCACTGCAGATCTAGGGTCATCCAGGCGGCAACTTGGTAATCCTGTTATATGTTGGAGCGTTTTTTGACAGCGCGCGTCTGCTGCTTGACAGGCATGCACACCTAAACGACACAGAGGCCTCTATGTGCTTTATTTTTGGTACACGTTTCTCCTATAGCTTTCTTTAGTGGTTCTTAAACGGATCTCTCACATTAATGAACTTGGGCAAAAGAAATCTTTACATATCGGTCCTGTTACTGGCTCTTATCACTTATCAACGAATGACATACGGGTGCCTCTATCTTGAAACAAAAGTAAATAATTTTATTTATTATTACTAATCTATATTTTTTTGTATCTAAATGGCATATGTCAGCGTGAATCACAAACTTTCACGTAATATACATATATACAGCTGGTTAAACAAATGATTCGTAAAATACCAAGGCTCTTTGCTCTACATAGTAGTCTGCTTTTCACTTTTCTTTTATGGCGAAACTTCAAAAAGAGACGGAGTAGCTGGCCAAGCTTTGTTGCATTAAAGCGTGTCAGTTATCCTCAAACAAAAATGGGTTAGTGTTGAATAATCCGTACGAAAAATTGCTTGGCATACACTGATTTCGTAGTAAAGGTTATGACTTGAAATTATTTTGAGATCAACAGGACCGACACTAACTGATATCTGCCTCGAAGGGCGTCTCGGAATCACACGGTTGGTACAAAGTATGATCTCTTTTTCCTTTAACGCTAAAGCGTTCAGCAGAAAACAGTTTAATAATTATAGTCTCCTTGAAAATATCCTTGTCTTACAGGCAACTCAATATACGCAATAATTAACCACAATAAACTTATATATATATAGCACATATATAGGCAATCTTTAGGTTTTCCAAATGCTTTCTAAGTTTCAAAGTTATTTTTGCAAACTTAGTAGGACAACTAGTAGTACTGATGCGTCTTTAATTTCCCGCTTAACTTTCATAAAATTAGCTGATTTAAATGCTTATGGCTTTAGGCTCACCAAATAGCTCTGTCAACGAATTTTTCGTTTTAATAAATGTCATTTCACGCACATGATTGCAGAAAAATCTTTCTGGAGTTGGTACTGGCAGAAGATAGTGTTTTAAAGGAAAAAAAAAGGAGCTTACTTAAGTCACTCAGATCGCAATACACCGAAATTCAAAAGTGAGCAGCACAAATGCAAAAAACGAGTACCATTGCTACTTGCTTTTTGCTTTAATAAATAGGACGTCTGAGAGTCCGGATAGATAAATAGGAACTATTTCGTCACAGAATCCAGATGAGTCGTCGATAATTTCCCAACAGCTTTGTCTTGATATTCATTGCTCACTTACAGATAACAAAAACGCTATATTGCTCGCTTTCCGAAGCAATCTAAAATAACTTAGACGACTTACGTACTCTTATCTTTTGTGCTTTTGCAATGCCAGGTCGTCCCCCAATATGACTTAGCTCACATGGGTAATTCCGTTACACAAACAAGAAAGCGCGGATCACTATTCGATCGGGTCCAAGCGCATCAAAAAACGACATCTAGAAACATTTTGAGTTATTCGGATTTCTCACAAAAAACACAGACAAGTGCTATCGAAACACGGTCGAAAACCACAACCTGTATTTGGCAACAGTAGTTGATATATTAATACGTCCAATTTTTTCCTTACGACTACTTTAATATATTTCTTAAGGCCATGAAATGTGAGATTAAACCAAGCTCTGATCCTACCTACTTGATGAAAAGGGAGAGGCAGCTGTCGAAACCTCTACATCGCAATGAGATAATGGACATCAACTAATGGGCAGGTCTCGATGCTTCTGTTATACAAATTTTTATTTGCTTCTTTGTATCAAGTTGCATGTGTATCCCTTTGGTAGGAGAAAGATAAAATGAGCCAGAAGCTGTTCTATTCATGGAGAGGTTGTTTACCTTGAACAATTCAAACAGTTTTGAAAATTATATTTCGATATACTGTATAAAATTTTAAATCACTGACTTTGCGTCTTTGTATCATTCTCTTATTAGCCAAAACATCTGTTTTGCAACCACCCCTAGTGCTGCAAGCTACAAGCATGAAAAAACGCAAAAAAAAATAGAAGAATCGGATTATTTTTGTACTCTAAGGTTGTGTCAGAGATTCTAAACATGCATGCTTCATATTTAGAAAGCAGCTTCAGGTCCTCTTTTTTTTATTTATATAAATACTTGATCAAACCAATTTTTCTTCCTTTGACATATTTCAGAGGGGCTCGAAGCAAGGTAGGAACAGCTACCTAATGATTATGTTGTGTTCTTTTCAATCTCTATGTCGCCGGAATTCTCGGGCAAAAAGGCGGTGGTCAAACGCCGACTACTAACACTACTCGACTGGATAATGTCTATAGAGCTGCAATAAGCAAATAAAAAATCCCTCAGAAAATGTCAATCAGACCTACGTATGTATGACGAAAGGAGAAATCCTGCACCAGAAATATATGTAACTTGCCGGGTGTGTCATCACTGGTGGACAAAGCCGATATCGGACTAAGAAGTAATAATTATGCTGTACTCACGGAAAGATTCGCACAGGGTGGCTCGACCGTGCCACAAATTGTACCACAAGTCGAGCTAGAAGTTGTTTTTAGATTCGCGTTTGGCACTCGCATTGTACAAAGTGGTCAATCCATGACTAAAACTATCTTTATCAAAAACTTGCTTTAAAACTAACTTTATCTTTACGAAAATAGGAAAAACACCAAATTCATGTAGTGATCTGTAAGTGAAGGTTTGTGATAAGCAGGAAATGTATGGTTTATTGCGACTGTTGTGTGTTATGCTTACGTTATAAATTATGCATCAACGTGTCATTTTTATATTTAATTAGAATGTTATGATTCGAATATTAAATTTAAAGTTGACATCTAGTTTTGTTTATACGCATTAAGAGCAAAATACAGTAATAGTTACCAATGTTACTGTAGTAGTGAGGATGTCTCAACGAACACATTAACGATAATCATATATGCAACTCTCTAATGTAACCGCATAAAACTAACGAATTTCAATAAACGATTACTATAGTTAGCTTATCAGGTAGACTGCTGCTCACAAATTCAAGTCAATATAAAACTTGGCGGGAGTAGTCGTAAAGAAATGTGTAGACACGTATGGACGTTCCTTCGTCAATGTTTACGTCGAATCATTCAAATAGTTTTATATCGAAATATCGAATCTCCGGCAAGCTTTATTTTTTTGGTCTTTAGGTGGGACTCGTGGGATTCTTAACACTTCGCTTGTAAATGGCAGATACTGCACAGATTCATTAGATAATGAGTAAGTTAATGAGTAAAGAGATTATAGGATCAGCGATGGTTGTATTCGGGCATCGCGTAGTCGCTCACTGCGATGTTGTGTGGTTCAAATAGGGAATTGATGACCGCGTTGCAGAAGCCAGCCAGAGAGAGCTGAGTTGCTAAACAAGTGAGTGGGAACTCATTAAGTCACTATGTAAATGTAGCAATCTGTAAAAGGCCTTTCAGTTGCATTAGCAGCAATCTCATGCCCCTGAAGTTTCGCATGTGCGCTGTTAGAGCCTTCCAAAGCAAGAAAAGAGAACTTCGTGTTTGCTTCAGTATATCAAGAAAGCAACGTTGTATATCGTTCACCTTTTTCACTAGTTGTTCATTCATTTCTGATAGTCATCACTATGGATCTGCAAACACAAAAAATATGCGGGCAAATATGGAATTTTTCTTCGGTCATCTCGAAGGATGTTTATGGCGGCCAAAAACTATATATATAGTTTGTGGCATACACAAGTTGTGTCTTTCAAAACCAAATCTGGTTGTCAGCTTTGTGATCTAGCCAATGGCTTCACATGTCAATGATGAATATGCCGCGGTACCTGGAAGTTTATTCGCAAGCAAGCTTTTCGGTCTTGCCACTGGTGAATAAAGTTTACAAAATAAGCTCCTCTAATCCAAGTTTAAAAAAAAATAATTCCTTTTTATAGAACTAGTAGAAAAGAGGGATTGCAAGCGAGTAAGAAGAAGCCAGGTTATTCTAGGTTGCTATGGTATACCGTCAACTTCCATTGTTATAATAAATGCGGACGAAGTCCCTGTCATAGAGGTCCTGACGCGACGCCGAATCCTAGGTTAATCCAAATAATTGGCCCATGAGCTAAAACTCGCGTCCAAGAATAGGCGTTATTATCACAGCAAATCGCACAATGAGACGAATGAGCTTAGCGGGACCGATAGCCCTCGCATACATCGTGAGTCGCTACATGCTGTCATCGCCGAAATGCATATCAACGTAAAAACTATATATTAAGCAATCTTGTCCAAAAACTTTTGCACGCTTATCATAACTTAGGCTTCAAACAAAGAACTCTGTTCTTAGGCAAATCTTATATGGTGTGCTGGTACATCTTCTATGCTAACGGTATACCTGAAGCAGTGCGCCACGATTCAACGGGCACGAACTCGATATTCTATTTGAAAATATAAAGGATGGACTCGTTTGAGCAGTGCCTAACCAATCTAAAAAAGCACACGAAATCGCTTTGCTAAAAACATCTCGTCATTCTTCAAGCGACAGCGGTCATCGAAGTGTTTTTAGAGCACCTAAGTGGACGCTCCTTATCCCTGAGCGTTCTGAGTTCTATCGCAATATGGCAGGCAGGCTCCTGCAAACATGGTTTTACCAACAAACTTTGTACCACCAGACTTCTAACAAGAGATTTCCCACATTGTTTTCTCAAGAAACCCACTGATGCTGCAGAGGACTGATATAGAATACTAGATTTACTAAGAGTGCCGGACTGGAACGTCCCCATGAGCACACGTCTGTGTATCTGGACAGAGACTATCCTAGCATATCTACGTCAAAGTATTCAGAAGCACAGGAGACTACAGGACATTCACATACTTCTCAAAGAAACTAAAGGTGAAGATGGCTATGACGGAAAAGCAGTCTCAAGCGATTGTGCTTGCCAGAGAAGCCATCAGGCGGACCAATGCTGCTGCCATTGTTGCGATCAAGGGAAATTAAGTCCATTACTGGCAAAGACTTAATGGATTACCTCTGTGACAACTCAACAGTCAACATGGTCTGATTTGTTGCAGCAAAATAGCAGATTTGCAGCTTGCCGTCTTTCAGAACATCTAGTCATCGACATAACTATACTTACCGTTATCCTGGATCTCATTTCATATCGTTAACCGTCAGAAGCAACAACAACAAATATGTCGAAAACTAAGCGCGCAGTGTTTTCGATCAACCTAACCTCAGTGTCTCCAATACGTCCGATATCATAGCCGTTAGGCTTTCTAGCTTTACGTCCGATATCATAGCCGTTAGCCTTTTTGTTAAACATATGTCTGACTGGCTTCCAGCCATCACGAAACGAAGTTTCTGTCTATGTCCGGGCGCGCACCTAGACCTAAACAAGTCCCTCATATTAACTAGCCAATACGTTGCGCACTAAGCTATCACGGGGACCTATCGATTTACCCTAACGTAATCTGTCGGCATCATCGTGCAGCAGTAATGTGCTTGCTTATTAAACATAGATACATGTCAGCTAACCAGGTGGTCTAGGTTCAAAACCAAGCGTCGATACATTTCATTTTGTGTCGGAAGCCGCAGTGCTCAATTAAGGCGATTATGGGCGTAAAAGTTAAAACAACTATTTCTTCTTCAAATAAATGTAAGTAGTACATTCACACCACTGCTAGTAAAAGAGCGATCGAAGTTAAAAAACGCCACTAACCTGTCACCTGGTGTAAACCTCTATTAAGCTAGATAGAGCCTTGTGGAACTTCCTATCTTGATATATTCGATATTCAGTAATGTATCTCGAATAGCATTCGAGCGGTTTCATTGATTCACATGACTCCTTATTGTGCTTACACTGAATTTTCAACCCTGAGATGTTAAGGTTGGTTCAAAATAATAAAGGAGATTTTTTTCATAGGCTCCAATGTGAACGGAAGTTATAAAGTTAGGGTCAAAGATTAAGTTTAACAAGAAGTGACGCAGTAAAAAAACAGTGATTTATAAAATGGCTACGATATAAGATTGAAATATATTCATGTTTCGAGTTTTACGTCATGTAAATAGAGGAATATTTGAATTGGAGTAACTTTAAATTGGAAGCAAGGTAACGTAACTCGCGAAACAATCTGATCGAACCCCTGAAACCGACTACTGGCATAGCACAGCCTGGTAACGGAATGACTCACTCGAACGATGATACATTGGTTTACTAAATTCATTTGAAGGGAAAAATTAAACTAGAAAAGTTCAGCAAGATAACAAGGATGACTGTAACGGGTTAACAAGGTGACAAGGAAGTTACAATAAGTTCCAGTTCAGACCTCGGGTTCCAGTCGAGTAAATCTTTACTCACCTCAAACTCGGTCAGAAAAATAACAGAATTGTGCTGGATAACATCGTATCTATGATAAGAAGGCCTTATAAAAATTTTAGCTTTTTTTTTTTATTAGTTTAGCGATTTAAGCTAATCATACTTCACCTGACTGAATTCAAAAGAGCTGTCTAGTGATATTGTTTATCAATCAATCATCAGTCAATCGAACTCATTTATCAAAAATATTGCCTGCCAACGACGTCCTGCTAAATCTACTAAAATTAATCACAGCGTTAATTTTTCTAAAAACGATAAATACAGCTTGGCTTATAGTCCTCTTAACTTATTTGTTTCTAAGAAGCTACGTAATGTAGCGGTCCTGTTCTTCCTAACTAGGCATGTATTCACAAAAGTCATCTGAATTGCTTTTATATATTTCTAGATACAAATGTATGTTGATAATTGAAACAAAGCTAGAAAATAGGGTCAGTTTTCTTTGAGAAAAGCGATGCCATAGGCTTTTTGACTCTGGCGTTTTACGCGATCGAATCTATAGTTAAGTTGCCAGCTGTTATACCTTATGTATAGCAGTGGCCCTTATCAAAAACGACAAGATTGCTTATCGGTTTACTACTATAAGTAACAGGTTTAGCAGCGAGTCACGGGAGTATATAGCCTTGGTCCTCCACTGTAACGATGGATATAACAGAAATCGTTGGCTATTCCATCAGTTGGTGTTTGTCACGATGAAAGATCTTTTTTCGATCGCCTCTCTCCCTTAGCTAATAGGACTTCGAGCACTGTGTCTTACTTTTCTTACTTTTAAGTCTTACTTTTAAGCCGGTAGCAAATCAATCGTTCCGTACTCAGTACTAGGTATGGCCAACCCGGATTCCTTGGGCTTAACCGATTGCACTTACCATATACACATAGTGCTCTGTAAATACCTGCATTGCATCACTAATTAGTTCTGTTTGTATTAACAATGCCTCTTGTAATCGGCTCTACCAGAAGATTGATTTGTGTTAAAAATGACTTAATAAAAAGCACAGATGTGTACTATTAACAGAGATATAACTGAAAGTAGAAATTTGCAACTTAGCCTTTTGTTTTCTCATTATATTTTGTTTCAATTGAACCATCTGTTTGCATAACACAACGTTCTCGGTAAGTTCTAATGGTCGTAACCTTCTTCAGCCTTGTTCTAACGTAACCTTGTTCAGCAGGAATACAACATTGTTTCGACACGAGCCAACTTTGAAAGTCAACATATAGCAAAGATCTACTGTCCAAGTAAAGAATCGTATGCTAAATTATTTTTGAATTGATGTCTGTGTATGTCTATGGTTCATGAGGTGTACTCACCCCATACCCATTGATATTAAGTCTAGTTATTTACATTATTGTATAGATAAGATGCTAGGGTTCGTTGCTTTCTTGTAGCAAATCATAAGGTAATTTTTCGATTGCGTTAAGTGAAAGAGATCTTGTCATTACTAGCTACAGACGCGTACTGAGGAATATCAGGTGGCACTCTAACAAACTTTCTATGAAAGTTTGTTATAGTCTGTGACTGTTATTTCAATCTTTTCAGGGTGGGGCTTCGATTGGATGAAGTGGTTTATCGCAAATTTCCACAAAGTTCTTGCACAATCCCCGGTAGTATTCGCCAAATCTGTTTGAGGAATAAGAACTTGTTGTTATCTTTCTGTGTTAATAATCATGCAACACACAGATCGTATATGAGTGACAGTACGTCAAAAATAAAATTACGAAATCTGTAAAATGTAGGAAAATGTGGATTTTTAATCCAACTATCAAGCAAAATTTAAATGTCCTCTAAAAGTTTTTGAATCTCCTATAGTATTTACTCATGTAAACACATGAGAACGTAGACACATGACAACATAATTGGATAATTGTACCGTACTCTATAGCTCTGTTAAGAAAACTAAAATGAATCTTTTACTGTAAACTCTAGGCTACATCGTAGCAGGAGCGAATAAAAAGATTTTGAATGAAATGAATGAAAATATAAAAAGAATGAAAAAACTTCCAAAGTTCGGCTTGGGGGTTTAATGGCAGCAGCTTAAGCACAGTAGTAACGAAATTTAAAATCTACTTCTACATAACTGGTATCCAGACATTTCTGGATACGGAATCGCAGTTTGATCTCTAATGATCTCTCTCTGAACCTAACTGTAGCGCACTTTGTGTTCGTTCTTCAAAATGCTACATTACTAAACCCCTATACCTGATAGCGAAACATCCCTGGGAATAGTTATCAGTAAAGTGGTCTTACATAAATTAGTCTTAAGTGCAGCTTAGCAATGTGCGTACAGCAAACGCTTCTGACAAGCACGATTCATTGTGTATAGATAAAACTGAGATGTTCTTGTGTTATATTGTATCCCTGTATGTCCATGTAGGCTTTTCTGGTGCGCTCGCGGCCCGATCATACATTCGTCCATTTTTGTCGCCGTCGTTACTCCCACCTCTCGTTTCGCTTTGCTTCGTCCTAATAGCGCTCTCTCAGCCTATTGTGCTCTGTGCGTGCGTCTGTCCCTTGCAGGCGCCGTGCTGTGGATGTAAGCCTTCCGTGCCTTATTGCCTGCCGTGTTCGTGCAGCCGGCAAGAGTGTGGTACGCTTGTGGTGATTTCAGCCGGGCACCGGACTGGTGTGGCACGCCGCTGCCGACGTAGTTTCGGAGCAACCGCCGCTGGCCGACACAGTTCGGCTTTGGCGAGCCGCAGCGAATTTCGTTATTGTCTGTCCGTTGCTTCTCCTGGCTGGTTAGTTGGCCACTTTATCGGCACTGCCATTGCCTTCATACAGGCTCTTGTCCTGTAGTTGCTGCCTTTCCACGGCCCCTGGCTATTATAGCTGACCGGCGATTCGCCGAAAGCTGTGCGCAGCTCTTTGCTGCAGCCGCTGCTACCATCGCGACACTCTTCCACAGCAGCGCTGTATTATCTCCAGCGGCAGTGAGCGTGTTACGACTACAGTCACCATACAACTAATATTACGTACCGGCTAGCTAGGCAGTCAATTAGTTGAAGCTGCCTGTCTTATAGAGCTGTTTGGCCTGTGTGCGTCCTGTACCACGGCGGTGGCGGCGGCGGCGGCGGTGGCGGCAGCAGCGACGGAGACGGCGATTTGGGAGCACAGTAGTGTACAGTGCTGCTTGCTTGGGGTGACTGTTTGGTTCATTCGCTTGGCGCTAGTCGCTGCGGCTGCTGCTGGTCGCCGTTCGTTAGCTGACGACTGGTCGGCTGTGGTGATTCGTCGCTGTTGGATGGTTGCTGCCCGCTGACGTCGGATAGCCGGGTTGCGACTGCTAGTACTGACGACGACTAGTGCTGTTGTTGCTTGTGCTACCGCCGCCGCTGACCGTGTGGTGCGGTGCTGTGCTGAGCCCGAGCAGGCAGGCAGTCAGTCCGTCCGTCCGACCGTCGACGAGTGTGTGAGGCTTCGGAAAGAAAGCGCTGTTATTGCTGCCAGCAAAAACAGTATCCTATAGAACAACCCCATCGAACTCTGGATTAGATCGTTCCACTTTTCAAGACTAGAGGAAACACGTCGGACAAGGCGTGTAAAGCCCACTGCTAGATCACCAGCTCCTACTTGCTGCTGCTGCTGCTGGTGCGAGTAGCACAGCAACTAGCGGACCAACTGCAACAGTTGCTGCGAGTATATAGCGTGCACATAACAATAATCGCAGGAACAACAAAAAGCTGCTGTGCAAAGTGACGGTGTAAGGAGAGGTAACTAAGAAAAAGACGAACGTCGAAAGCGATGGCAGCCATTCGGAAGAAGCTTGTGATCGTAGGCGATGGCGCCTGTGGCAAAACATGCTTGCTGATCGTATTCAGCAAGGATCAGTTTCCAGAGGTATATGTGCCCACCGTGTTCGAGAACTACGTCGCCGACATTGAGGTCGATGGTAAACAGGTAACGTACACACTTTATACAAACTCGTAATGTATAGACGTTCGTTCATACATGCGTACATACACAAATACAGTCGGTAGCAATTTATACGGTTGGCACAAAAGCACCGTAGCGTTGTAAATACCCGACGATAATTCGACGGCAGTTCGCAATGCCCGTGTGTCCCAGTAAGAAAGTAACGATAGTTCTGTTAATGAAGCCGATGATGAGTGTGGTGTCAATGAGAAGCAAACCGCGGAGGAATTTAGTGGCCAGCAAACTTGGACATGATTAGGACATGTCACTCGGACAACAGCAGTGGAGTGCGTGCGTGCGATGAAACGACCTAAAAACAATGTCGAAAGCAACACAGGCAGCTTGAAGATTAGAAAAGTGACGGTGATGATATAGTGGGTTACGAAATTAACTTCGATGGCTGTTTGTTTTTTCCTGGTAGAAGTCATCTCAAGCCTATTTGATATTAATGTTCTTTTTTTTATGCATACTGATATACTTGGTCACTTCATGTTTGTGTCGTTGTTTTCGTATGCCGAACACGATTATATCCGTCCTTTTCTAACACCCTGTTTTGCTTGAATATCGAACACGAATTGCGATGACGCCATGCGTCATGAAGATGCAAACCGATTTTGCCAGCAGCAATCCCGGCGCCGTTGGAAATCTTCTCTTCGCATCACCATTATGTGTAAATAAAGCTCAGCCGTTAAAACCCAACGCCCATGACCTAAATGTCAGCGAATACGCAAACGACAACCGGAAAGATATAAGTATGATTTTTGTAGTAGCCAAAACAGATGTGGCTGCTGCTGCTGCTAATACCGCCGATGAACAATAATAAACACCGCCCTCAATTACTATTAAAACATGAAGCCAAATCATCTGAGAATGTGGCGCGTGTATAGGCTATTCTGTAACCTAGGCCTCATGTGTACCATGGCTCTCTCAGATACAACCTGCGTTTATTTGTAGCAGGAATAATTGAAATCAGTTCGCACGCTATTGCCAGATGTGTGAGTCTGTAAGTCGATCATTTTACCTGTGGGGCGTGACGTATATTGCGTTACATCGTGTGCGTAGAGTTTTCAAAACGCGCGCCCTCATTGAACGACAGGCGGCACGGTTTATTCACAATCGCCTTCACACCCATAGTTAGCCTATTTCTCTATGAAGATTCAAAATTAGGATCCGATCCGCTCAAAAGCACTTCCGTGCCGGGTACAAAATGCTTTTGACAAACAAGGCTAGACTTTTCAGTTCGCAACCGCTCATTGTGTACAATTCATTAAAAAAACACTAACAAATTAAATAGTTTAACGAGAACAAACATTTATTAGTTCTACGCTAAAGATCAGGCCTTCGACGAACGCCAGAGAGGCTCTTTAGAACTATTACAGTGACTGATCTGGCGGTTGTGTTCCTCAAGGCTCTCTCAAAGCGCTTCCAATTTTCTATCTAGCTTATTTCGTAATTGTAGTTGCAGCCGCGTTCGACATTCTGCGCTCTCTTTTTGTCTGTTCATCTGACCATTCATTGATCTTTATAGTTTCGTTGATGGCGGACGCGCTGGTGATGTTCCGTTCCAAGTGCTACCGTTGCTATTGGTGCCTGATTGAGCGTGCTCGTGTGTTTCCGCGGATCTATAAGAGTCTGTTGTATGGCAGCAGCAGCGGCCTGCATGTAAATAGCTAGTGTACGTGTCAGTGTGCGAGATGAGATAATGTGTGTGTGTATTGCCGGTGTTTTGCCGTCTCAGGACGACAGCGTGTCCATTGCATAGCCATGTAAACCTCCGTTCTTCCCTCGTTTACACCTTGAATGGCTCTCCTGCTTTGAGCGTCCACCCGCCCGTCCGGCCGCCCCCCGTCTAACAAGCAAAATATGCTTTCCGATTCTCGGTCGGTCGATCTGTGTTTTTGTCTACCTACTGTAACTTCGTACGCCGTCGTTGCTGCTAGTGATCAGCAACGGTCGAGTTCTTCTCCCGTCTGAGATCATCTCTTTAGATGCTGGCTCGATCTTAGGTGGTCGGTACGTGGCCTGGCCTGACCATCGCGCAAGCAATGGCCACAACACCAGACCACTGGCCGCATCAGCTGCGGTATCCATGGTCAATCTGGCTTCAGTCGGGTTAGTAGATGGTTTCGTCATTGCTGCTCGTCGTCGTCGTTGTACTCCACGCCGCCATAGTATGAAGTTCTAACGCTTCTAGCTCTATCTATTATTTATAAGCATCCCTACCACCATGACGACGATGAGGGAAGACTCTTGTTGGCCAAGTTGCTGCTGACGCTGCTGCGGTCAGCATCCATACTCGCTATTCACGCGCAAACACGCGCTAACTCATGCTCGCAAAGATTGGGGGCTGCCGCGGCTACTGTTGCTACTGCCGCTATTGTTCTGACTTGCTGATTTTTTTGATCGCTGGCCCTGGGGCTCGCGGCAGGTAGACAGCAATCGAACGACTGCAACAGCAATAATACTGGCCGAGCAGGCCTGTCGTCGTTAAGCGCCTCTTCGATTTTGCTGCGCACGTCGTCTTCGTCGTCGCCGCCGCCGCCGCCGCTGCCGCTGCCGCCGCCGCTGTCGGTACCACTGTGTCACCAGCCAGCAACACCAGGAATGCTCTTGCTGATAGTGGTGCTACTGGCAGAGAACACGCGGCGGGCGTCGCCCGCCACATAAGATATACTAGCAGTGGCAGCGACAGCATTAGTGGCAGCGGTTAGCCCCCCGGCCCGACAACGGCAACACTCGATATCTGGCTGGCTATTTGGCTGCGAGTGCTATGAGTGGCCGCGTATGGGTCAAGAGAGAAAACGAAAGAAAGAGAGTAAATTGTGGTGACAGGCGATTTTTGCTATTGCCGCTCCTAGAGGGCATCGCGCTCACGTCTCGGAATGATATCGATATATTGACGCAAGTTATTACAAAGAAAGGGTAACAACAGAATTAATGTCTTTAATTTTTTAGGTAGAAGGTAGCAGATACTGAAATACACCCCCCTTTCCCCATGATGACATTACCTGCTGTTGTGGATTATAATCATGGCCATACTGAATTTTTTAGTCAAAACGATCGAAATGTGCCAGTAGAAACGTAAGCCGGAGTTAACAAAAACTGAGCCTACCTAGTGCTAACAAATCGTTCGGAAACAAAGCTAGGTATATTGATTCTTACCCTAAATTAATAGCGCGTTACCTGCACAACGTTATATAGAATGACTTTGCGTCTGTGGGAAGGTATCACATAATTTATCAAATTTCTTAACAGTAATCTTCTGCAGGTGCTACTAGCGTAAAGCACTATCTGATCGCAGCGATTTTTTCATCGATGTAGTGTTTATTGAAAGGCTTCGCAATCATAGATTATATCAATGTATAAACTTTAACATCCTTTAGACTATACCCCCGTCACTATTCACGATAAATTTCATAATGTATCTCTTACGTGGTGGCAGTTTTGTTCGTGAATGCTGACCTGCTCTAATCTAGCAGGGGCATTCCTGTTTTGCCCCTTAGCGGATAATAGTAATGGTTGTATACGGCTATGGCGGAAGCGACGTCAATTCAACGAACAGTGGCAGCAGTGGTGGAACACTTTGCAGACTAGTGCCATGGTTCCTGTGTCGACGTGATCTTTTTTAACACGGACTAGCCATTGTCAATCTATACCTCATTGCTCGCTGATTGCTTTCGATCTTTTTGCTCGGAATCATTGGTTCTAGTAAAAATCGTTGCTTTCATTCGTAACGTTGATTGATGCATTTTTCTGACCTACTAACTTCTCTTGTTTTGAGAGACAAGAAATCGTGCAGGATAATTCCTGAAAATCAGCAACCTTATCTGAGGTGGTTACTCTCACGAGAAAGCTCAGGAGGTTAAAAGCTGTGAGCATGGGACCCATGAATCCAGTAGGGGTGGTGGAGTACCATAAATCGCAGGATAAAATAAGCTAAGACTTGAGGTGCTGAATTTAGATACTCGACTATGAAAAGCAAATTCCTTATTTGGACTGGATTGTGAACTACCCTGCTTACTGAATCAGTACGAGCGAACATTTGGAAAACCCCTTTGCGTTCAGAATTGCATTATAGGAAGGGTCGACGTTAATAGTTACTTTTTGCCTACAGATAAAAAACAAGCTCCGCTACAGTCTGAATAGCGACATAGGATCAAATCTTATTTGAGCGTGTTGCATATTCTACCTGGTTGAAAAATGACACCGCACAACTGGTGTATAAAGTAGGTGTATCTATTAATATCAAACGAACGCAAACTTTTTTTCTTTTTGCAAACTGAAATTAAGACAGAATATATAAATTCATCCAAGACAATATCCATTTAACAAAAAAATTAGAAAAAAAGTGTCAATTGAACCGTACTACTATCACAAATTTATATAAGACAGTGTTTTGTATAAGCGATCAAGGAGTTGCGTTATGTAACCAGCAGAGCGAACTAAATGACTCACCTGATAATGTAAAAAGTGACTGCGGATCGTATACGAAGTATGAGACTGATGAACCATTCATATGTAGTGAAATGTATTTTCTCTATCGTACCTGAAACAGAATATTTTCGTGGTTCTGACAGAACCTAACACTCTTTAGCATCAAAGCAAAGATTCATGTGATCCTTAGAAATGGCACCAAGGTCAATCATATAAATTAAAAAAGATAGCTGGATTAACAGGGTTTTGAGAAAGCATACGTAGATGCATGAAGTCAAACATTTCGCTAGATGTGCCTTTTACTTAACCAGTGGTTTAAATGCATTGTATAGCGATTGATCACTTTGACGAATTTTGGATTTTGCTTTTTGCTACTTTTCAGGTCGAGCTCGCATTGTGGGATACTGCTGGTCAGGAAGATTACGATCGTCTCCGCCCGCTGTCCTACCCGGACACAGATGTCATTCTAATGTGCTTTTCTATTGACTCACCCGATTCTTTGGAGAATATACTTGAAAAGTGGCACCCTGAAGTGAAACACTTTTGCCCAAACGTTCCAATCGTCCTAGTGGCAAATAAGAAAGACCTACGCAATGATTCCACCACTATTAAGGTACGTCTGATATAAGTGACATAAAGCTAGGAGTAAGAATTCTATCTGCTAGTGAAAGTGAACTAGTGAAAGTGAGTAAGATTAGTGGGATAACTAGGGATTGTTCAAATAGTTTGATGTATTACATTATAACATATTATAAAAATAGCTTGGCACCTTTGTACTCATTAACGCTGTTTCTCGAATTTAAGTCAAATGGGCACATGATATTTTCAGTAGGTATCATCATGTATGATCTAATAATAAGATGAAATATATCTATAATAGACTTCAGCCGTTGAAAATCCACAATATATTTTGCTATTATTTGATTTACTCGACCCTCCTATCTTTACATTTATTCTATTAGAAAGACTAAAGTTAAGTGACTTTAATAAGAAATTGGGATTAATACAGTTTCGTTCCGTTACCTCCCTGATTTAATGACAGCTTCTACTTTAATACTCGCGTGGGAATCTGGGCCGATTAGTTCCGTTTTAGATGGCGTCTGTACTTGTTATAGTACTTGGGACTGTCAGCAACACAATGGGTATATGGCAATGACAGCCATGCTTTTTCATACACATATATGTATATGTATGATTGGCGGGCACCGCCAAGTATGGATCAGCTCGAGGCAACTCTCTGGAGCAATAAACAACTCTAGGAGTCATTGGCAGAGTGGAACGTGCTTGTTGCTAGAGGGTTCGCGATGAATCTGAAGTTCTGCGACTGGAAACGGATTTGAAGGGCTGGAACAAGAACAAGGTGTTCTAATTCGATGTAGAGGGCTGCCGTGCACAATCGGAACTGGCGGGTAGAGGAGCTATCTTGAAATAGACGCCACCTGGTACGCTGCAGCCGGTTTTTCCACTGTCATAGCATCGGCATACCACATACCGCTTCCAACACACGGACACACCTTTAGATACATACAGAATCGTCGTGCACTTAGTGACTGCTGACGTTCCAGCTGCTCTCTAGTATGCTGGAATGGGCAATTGGTAATCTGGCTGGTATGCAGACTGCACTGACATGTTCTACTGAAAGTGGCTGCCTGTTTACTTGCTTGCCGCTAACTTTAACACAGCAGAGACCAGCTTGGCGCTATTCTGGGTCTCCACCGGTATAGTACAGCCTCTTCGATCCCATCCTGCTCGCCCCCATATTCGCTCCTCACCGTTAACATGGATACAAATCCTTCTGCTACATGGAGTGTTCCTGAGGCCCTAGTGGCAAGCTGTTTCCGCAATGCCCAGTTCATAAAGCGGCGAATTTCCTCGTCTGTTTCCTCGTTCTTTCCTAAGCCTGTCCCCGCCCAGATTTGCTTGGCTGAGAAGGGTTTGATTCAGGGTCTTTTGTTGGCTGCAATCTTTTTTGGGTGTCTGTCCGGTCTCTGGCTCACTGGCTGTGAAAGCAGGCACACATACACATATACAGAGCGATAAGCTTTACGAACAATGATGCTGTTTGACACACTGTGCTTGCCTCTGCGCCTTGCTTAGTGGCGTCTGCATATGAGTTAGCCTTCCGTTGGCGGTTTCCATTCGAGCCTGGTCGGCTTCTGCTATGGCTACAACGACTACTACTAGCACCCTAAGGAAGGACTATAACGTCAGTCGTGTTGCTTATGATGTTTCCAGTTGCCAGTCTTGATGCAGTTCATGTTCATGTCGTCGAGTGAAGCCGTATCGGTGTCGCCACTTTGGCTGTTTATATCAATATTGTTACTATTGCAGGAATTGCGGCTGTTTCTGGTGCTCCAAGAGAAGAGTGGTTAGATGCAGGTTAGCTAAAACAGACGATGTTAAAATAAACGTTGTCTCATCGTCTTATCGGCTCTCGTGCTTAGCGACAAAAAAAACTGCGACAATGGTGATGATGATCTGGTACAGGGCCGATCAGGGTTGTAACGGCCAAAACAAATCTGATAGATCCGTGGGAGTCGGCAGCAGCTGTTTCCGAACATGCACTCAGTTTTTCGATGGACCGTTCATTACTGGCTAATGTGGTCCGCGATTGCAACAATGATAACTAGCAGTTCATATCGGCCGAGCTTCTGCTACCTGTACTGCACTAGTTATAATCACTGTATGTTTATATACGAACTTGCGCCTGTAGAGGACAATCCTTTCACTTGGTTGCCGCTTGCGGGTACTGCCATTCCACACTGCACACAATTGTTCTTTTTATATATATATGAGTTTTAATCAGAGTTGGACAGGTAGGTCGTCGAAATGTTAGTGCAAATGTGCAAAAGGTACGTCTGGTAAAATCTCGGCTGCAATGTCTTTAACAAATTAGAGAATTTTCTTGTACGTGTAAGGGAGTTTTGCGGATGTTACCTAGCCGGCAATTACCCAATCGGCTACAAACACGCTATACCAGACCATGTCAGGCCAACATTGAGTGGCCCGTTTAGCTGTGGCACCAGGGATAACAACATCCAAGTTTGATCGTATCGAACGCAATCAGGGTAAAATTGGCTCATAAAATGGGTGAAAAAGACTTACACCATGCTTATATTAGTAGTCATGAGGTCAGTGACGATTACGAGGCTATCTATATCTTGGCATATATAAGCCATCGATTGTGGGTATTCTTGAATGCAACCCGTGAATCATCTATAAACGGTATATCACCTATAAGTGAAAGTATCGAGAAAATAATGATTATTTGACAGTTAAAATAGGCTGGTTTAACATAAGTGTATGATGCAAAATAGGTGCAATTGTCACTTGTAGAAAGAATGGATTTCGATAGAGAGGGAAAGCCATTGTAATTTTTTTTGGCAAAGCTCACTCAGAGTCGGTTTATTTCTCGAAAAAGTAAATACGCTGGTTACGAGGTATGAGAAGATATCGTTCATAGATCGAGAATACGACGCCCGCGAAGTGGATTTTTTTGAGTGGACATTGATGGCTGTCTGAGCTCTTCACTGAGAGAGAAGCTATCAGAAATATCTTTCAACCCAAGTTAATTCGCAGTGACGTTCTGAGCAACGGTCTTTTTTTCCGTAATAGGCATTTAAGAATATATTACACTTAATGTACCTCTTGAAAATGAAACCGCGTCGCGAATTTTGACTTCTGTTTGAAATTTCGTTAGCTACGAGCTATACGCTTAGATTGCTGATTTACAATATTGTAGTCTTAATGGAGCAAGTTGATTACATACCCATGTATTGATCTTTTTACTTCAGTGTAGCGCCAAAATGGCCCCTAGTAAAAACTAGACAAGTTTTTTTTTGTTTTTATACTATTTTTGAAAATATTTTGCCTCAAGAAAAAAATAGCATGCCGTTTCCTTTATCGGCTTGTGCTGTAGCCTTTCCTAGACCTGTTACCAACAGTGTTAAAGGCTGTAATGGCCTACGGTGTTCGCTGTCAATTCTATGTCAAGCGATCCCTCCGTTGATTATACGGATTAACACACGAAAACAACAATAATGGGTAGTTCGGACGCTTAATTTTACTTCATAGACATCGTACTCTCATGACTTATTTGTCTATAATGACGCTACGGCTTGTACCTGTCTGGCTTTGTACGACCCGCCTGTATGCACATGTTATAGGGATAGAAGCAAGGTGATCTGCTGTTGAGCACTGCTGTAGTTTCAGTAAATCTGTCTTCTTAGCCCTTCATGCGCACGTGTGTATGTATGTAACGAAGTGTTTATATATGTTATAGTAACAGCAGTAGCAGTGTATAGGAGATAATAAATCTACGGCGTTCATCGACAATATTGGCTACTCCGGTATTGTTGCTGTATAGCTCCCATTGGCCGCCACTGTCGAGCTGCGTTACCGCCGACGCCTTACTTGCTAACAGCCATTACGACAACACCATCGATGAAGAAAAGTTAAGTGAGTGCTGTGCCGCGGGTGCCCGTTCGTAGCAGTTACAACGTTGGCTGAATCGTCCCATGCCGTAGATGTGCGGAGGGTGGACGGATAAGCGGGCAGCGCGCGGGCGGGCGGGCGGACGAGCGACCCGCCAGCACAAGTGAGTCTTGCGAACAGCAGCTGTGCGTTAGTCATATGTCATCCTTTTTTCTTCGTCACCCTTTCTCTCTTGTTCTGCCAAAGCGGTAATAAGTGGTAGGACCCCTATCATTGTCGTTGTGATCGTTGTATGGCAGTCATCGCTACTGCTGTAGTTGCGGCAGGCAAACTGAGTCATCGTGAGTGGCCATTGCAACCGACGGCCATCACAAAAGTTAAGGTCGACAAGACGACTTTTCTCTGGTTGAAAACGGCAGGCGCCGTACGAAAAATGACCCATCCATAAAGGGACGCCGGTAGACAGAAGTCTAATTGGATTAACGTGTAGATAAGGACAAAAGCGCAAATCCAGCCGAAATATTGTTGGTATCGCTTGTGGTTCTTTTGCGGTAGGTATTTAGGCGGTAACAAGCAGGTACTATGAAAGAATGCGAAACTGGGACTAATCACCCAATGTTCCGAATTTACAACTTTACGTTTTTAACGCTCCTGCGCGGGCTGAATTTAGAAAACACTGACATGACAAGGATACTCACATGTAAGTCTACTATGCGAATGTTCATCTGAATCTCGAACCGTTAGTACAGATGTGGGTGCCATCGTGGGTTACGTACAATCTCTCGAGGTCTAAAGTGATACGAAAAGGTTCCTGCAAAACTTGTCTATTGGGTTTAGTGACTGCGGCGCTGTTGCGTAGCTGTAACGCTTCGAAATGAGTCATTCACTCTATGTTCGGAATTAATAAGCGCCGAGTACGGGATATTGTGATGATACGGGCAGCAGAATATGGCGCCGCTGCCCTATCACTTATGTCGAATACAATTGAACAGTTGCATATACAGCCAACCGTCCCGAGTAGAGATCGGAACCTGGCGTTTACCAACACGGCTCTTACGAACAGTTACACTAAGGAGCGTAAAAGTAGAAAAAAAAAGCTTGTTGCTTGATCAGCAAGGACTGCAAAATTTGGCTGACATAAAATCTGACTGACCGATTTCTCCTGCATGAGTGTTATAAGTTTTTTCTGGAGACTGGAATTTTGAATTTTCCATGAGTATAATTTATGGCCTTTTTAGTGGACCGTCCGCCTGTTAATAAGGCATTCATAGACGTATAAGGTTTGATACATTCATACCAGAGCTTAAACAGACAATAGGAAGGAGCAGACGGGTTGTTCCGAGAATCAAAGCTTTCTATGGTTAAGCTGTAATAGTTAGTAAGCAAGACACTGGCGTAAGTTCAACACAGACACGTTGTTTTTTTGTGGGCTGGCCGCGTAGTCGGTGGCTACGGCAGCGCTAGACAAAATTAACTCGCTCACGATGACTCATAGACATTCAGAGGCAAAAGTCATGTAGACAATTCTGATAGTAGCTAAGAACTTGGAAATTTATGGATATATTCTTACTCTTGCTCAACGACCATTATACTCAGTTGATATGGGATAATTTCGACCGTGACACGGAACTCGACTTATTTAAGCAGTATCGATTTTGTTGTAACCTTACGATTTCTATTGTCCTATTACTAATAATAATTGTGCACCGTAAAAATCAATTAAAAATTGTCTGTTGTTCAAAATAGATATAAACTAGTATGTCACTAGAGTTTGCGAAATAAATCGTGAAATATCTTTCCCACTTTTTTATAGCCACTATAAAAATAGTGTTTGTGGTCACCGTGATCAATGATTAAACCCCTTCTCAGTTTTATAAACCCATGATACACTCTATCGTCATCATCGTAGAAATATGCCGTCGTTATAGATGCTATATCTAATGCGTTCCTAGTTTTGTTTGCTTTTATTATCCGAGACTTGCTACGATACAAACTTCTACAGGTTTTGTTTGACAAAGTAAACGATACATACCTTGCCACTGTGACTAGTGGAAGACAGCTAAAATGTATATAGACTTGTCGCTGACTTCCGAGAATAGTCTGATATCCATTCCCTCAGGTCTCAGCGTTAGGAACAATGAAAGGCTTGTTCTGCTTGGCATTAATCTGCAATGCAGAGCAGTATAAATACAATTCATTTATAGGTGGTAGATATATGTAAATGCGCTATGCTCTTAAGTCGTAACAGACAACAAGGTTGGTCTGGATTGTATTTCACTGCTTATGCAATCTAAAGCCAAGCCTTCTGCTCTCATTTGTCCTCGCACCCGTGCAACCATTTTATTACTGTTCTGAACGTGGGTGCTAGCTTTTTACTATTAAGTATACTGAAGCTACCGCGAACACAGCTCGCTTTAGATTGTGTACTTGATAAGCTTTGTTTGTCTAATGCGTTGTGTTGTGTTCAACAGGAATTGGCGAAGATGAAGCAGGAACCTGTGAAGAGCGAAGACGGCCGCTCGATGGCGGAGAAAATTAACGCATTTGGATACCTTGAGTGCTCTGCACGGACTAAGGAAGGCGTTCGAGAGGTGTTCGAACTGGCTACTAGGGCAGCCCTTCAGGTAGGCATAAAATTTCGATCATACCATTAACGCACATCAGGCGCTATGTTTAATTATACCTTAGGAAATAAATGTCAAGGAAAAGTGGTTACAGGTCCGATTCCCCACATATGGTATCAATTTATTTACGTGTTGTGTGAACAGGTATTTTTAAACAGGTAATTTTTCAGCATTTTTGCTGGACCCGCTTGATTACTGACAGACAATATTGTAATTATATTCGGTGAAATTTTTCTAGAGTAAAATTATGCCATGCAATACCATGAGTCTGGCCAATTGCCTGTATTTAGCAACAGTTCTATGAGGACTACTAACACTAACCAATGTCGTTGATTCGATGTGTTTGCTATGTTCATTTTGCAGGTGAAACACAAAAAGAAGAAACGTTGTGTTCTTATGTAAATGTTTTCTATTGCACACAAGGAGGTGCCGGCGAACGCAAAAAAGGCGCGATATTATTTGCTCGTGAAGGATGAAAATTAAAAAAAAAAACAGAACAGAAAGAGAAGTAAGCAGGCGACGAGGGTCTCTGACTGCAACACAACTGAATAAAACCACCATTATTTACTATACTATTACTGGCAGAAAATGAAAAAAACTGATGATACAACATGATCATCATGATATTGTTGCCTATGCCCATAAGAAAAAAAATAACAATGGTAATGAAAAGCTAAAAACAAAAGGGAGCTTCGGCGCAAGAGCAAATAATAACAGTTTAGGTAGATCGATTGGAGCATGAGGAAGCTGACGACAGTGTGAGAAACGCGACCTTGCCTAAGCTAGCAAAAGTATACGAAAAACGTAAGCAATGATCTAGAAAAAAGGTAGAATAATAATAAAAGGAAATTAATATCTTGGAAGCTTGAGGTAGTCTAAGGAGACGCATTTGAAAGATCTAAGTTGATATTCATAACACAGAATAGTGAATGATAATGATGAAAACAAAACCAGCAATTGAGAATGGATGGAAAAACAGAAAAAAGTTGGAAAATTGTGTGTGCCGAACCCTATATGGAAAAATGTCATACCGCGAAAGGGGTACGCACATATGATAATGGTGATGCTGTATGGTACAGAAACAAAAAAGGGAGCACCGCTGACGTCGCTGAAGACTGTAGTAGATAAGACAGATGGATGGCAAAAAATACGATATATGGGGGAAAAGCAAAATAGAAAAATAGCTGAGAACACATAGAAACAGTAGATGTGCTAGGGGGGAACCGGGGAGTAGCTGGGGCAGCAAAGAAATTTGTGCTTGAAAAATGTCGAGATTGAAAGCGAGCAAAAGGAAAAGCGTGAGAAAGCGGTACGAGAGCGCAAACGAGAAACAGAGAAAAAGAATACATGTCGAGAATTCTGATATGAAGATAAAAAATATCAATATAAAATATTAAGAAATAATAACAACCTATATTGATAATGGTGACGATGACGATGGTACTGACGCTTAATATTGATAAGTTACTATAGCGAATATGATGAATAAGAAAAAGATACACGATGAAGAGAGCGATGCTTATGATGATGATGATAAATGGCGAAATAGAGAGAAAGACAGCGAGCGAAACGACGATGATGATACGGTGATTGATGATGATTATGATAAGCTGATATAAAAGAATGAACTATTATATCTGATTATTTTTATTATATAAATATAGATGAGAAAATAATAATACTAATAAGGATTATTAATCATTATATACAATAAGGGTGAGAATGCAGGGACTCATCAATGAGTTCCTGCATACATATATATATTATATAAGAACGAGGATAATTAAAACAAGGCGGCAACAAAGGCAACAACAATAACGGCAACCTTGATCAGAAAGCAAAAACAAATAAGAACGAATCCTTATTAATACTATTATTACTACGCGTATAAGAAGAATAATTATTGTTACTATTAACACTTGTAGCAGTAGTATTATGAAAAACAAGCAACAAGCAAAACATCATTAAGCACCAAACGTGCTCGAGGAAATCGAGCATGTGACAAAAATACAGGAATGACTTAGTCTAGTGGTTGAAGTCAACGGTGGGCAACGCCATAGGCAACAAATGGGGATTTGAAGCTGTTCATTAAGCAATGATAGTGATGATAGTCGTGAACGAGGGTGGACTCGGAGGGTGTTATGGGTAAGATCTTAGTGGCCATTATATTATTTACTATTACTGAACAATTGAATAAAGGTAATGTTTTGGAACTTTAGTAAGAAAGAAATCAACACGGTGGCGGAGTTTTTGGAGGCTCGTTGCGGAATACCTTTATATATATATATACAGAGAGAGCAAGAGAAATAGAAATGAATCACAACCGATGAATGTAGCCAATAATCTACACAGTTTCGCGTGAAATATGTTATGACGGTGCGGTGCGTGTAATGATGACAAATGGCGGAGCGCGTTCTATGAAAAAGTTGGCGCCCTAACGACATCGGCCGTAAAGCGCCCGTCAGCTGCTCAGATCAACAGCAGCCGTCCTTATTCGGTAGTCGGAACTTTCTCTCCCTTAAAACCCCATAGTCACGCTATTCATGATCACTACGACGCTAAGCTTTATCTAACGACAAGTGGTTTTACAACCAAGATGATTACATACAACGGCAATAACATAAGTGTTTTTCGTCCTGTACGGCCGTTAGGCATTTCATCTGGCTCCCAGCGCGAAAATGTGTCCACGCCCGCATTCGAACCCAATAACATAAATGCTACCACTGGGAGAATATGGGATACAGTGGGCATGCATTAAAAAAATGTTACTTTCCAGAGCTAGTATGCGGTGTAGTCGTGTTGCAGAGTCAGCGCCAGTTTAAATAATGGTCATCAAACAAAACAAAAACTTTGGAAAAAAGGAACGACAAATTACTCAATCCGTTTGAGTTTTCTATAAATCAGAGTCCAACCCAGTTTTGTCCTATAGTTATCTTTGAGCTCGTAAATGTCATATCGGCGGACTTCAATGAAGCAATACATTTGAATATTGATGGGGTAGGTTCTTACAATGATCAGCCAACGTTCTGGTGGATGTCTGCAGTCAACGGTGTTTTTGTTAGATTCATGGAAATAAATTATGACATTGAATGCGTTCTATGGAAAATAGAAGCTCTGATTGGGGTTTTTAGGTTATGATTATGTGGTAATTACAGAATAACTGCGAGAAAGAGAAATAAACCCCGCAATTTAAATATAATATTAACATCAGATAGTTTTTTGGGCACACTTTTCCTATAGGTTCTCATTGACCGGTTCCGCTGATAGATGCTAGCGGATTTTTGACAAAATTATTGTACTATTGTCGTGGACGGTAAATAATTCACGTTTTGCATTTGTTTTTGTTTTTTACATTTAATCCGCGTTTTTTCTATTTTTGATTACGTCATTTTTTTATTTCAACTTTGTACTAAGCGTCGACAGGGTCTAGCGTCCGACTAAATAAGGGGAACCGATGGATACAGCAATACTAAGTTCTTGAATGTTCACAAACGTTAGGTCATTGGCATTTTGACTGACATACAGAGACGGCGATGACGAATTTATTGAAGGGGACGCACTTTTTGTGCAGTAGCATATGATACGACCTCATGAGGTATTGTGTTGGTCGGCGATGTACCTGAGCAGCAGAAACCGCTATAAATGAAACCTAACTAAACTGGCTAACACAGATGGACTAACGCATCGAGAGTGAGATCAATGTGACACGTGAGATCATGAATTTAATGAGGCAACATCGAGCTAGCATCGCTCTCTGGCAATAAAAAATCCCCAATTGCAGAGCATGGCGCTAAAGACGTTCCGATCAGATCAGGCAACATCGCTAATTGTAGGCTTCTAAACTTGCAGGGCCTGAACCCGCTATGCAGAGTTCTCTTACAAGAGAATCTTCACAGTAGTAGCAGATCAGCGAAGCAAATTCAACACTCGCATATCTCAATGAAACCGTGAGGTCGAGTCTAAATTAGTCACACATAAAACCACTAGGAAAGGAAAGGTGTAGAAGGGTAAGACAGGGTGTCACTGCAGCTTTTTCGGTCCTTGCCCGAACCACAATGGCTAGTCCTTACTGTCCTCTATTTTTAGCCGTCGTAAATATGGAATTCGGGTATACTGCTGTCGTATGCCGGGTACCCCAAAAAAAAAGCTAATTTTTCCACTACAATGAAAAATTAGGAAATATTTTTGGCCGCGACTACACGCTATCATGACAACAATATTTACAGTAACCTATTTATATAAGGTTCTCATCAGATTTGCCAAACAGAAGAAAGTGATTTCAATGACTGCTTAGCTGGTAGAATGGGAGGTTGTGGACAAAGACGGAAGGCATAGAGCTACCGGGGTGCGAAGCGGCTTTGGCTTATAGGCGACGACGTATTGAGTACTGCTTGTCACCCCAGTCACGAAATCGCAATCATAGAGCTCAGACAACGATGATGATGACGCTAAGCTAAACGGATTATTTGGACAACTTTTTTGAACTAAGAGAAAGGTAAATAAGCAAACAGTGAGTCGTTAAATGCGAGAAAAACTGATAAGTGTAGGCGGTAAACGATTTCGGATGAAAAGTCAGACATTATTCTTCATTGCGAAGTCCAAAAACGGAGTGCATACGTTGGATTTGAAAGGAACGGTTGAAACAATTGCGGTTACGTATAGCACTTCATACGGGGGTAATGCTGGAAGGGGGAGACACGGACAACAGATCTAGCACAAAGTATACACAATGAACACAAGCACACAATAGCAGACACCCCCTTCCAACCATAATATACACGAACAAAACACATATACGGTCAGAACAACAGAGACAAATTGCGTATGTTGCATATTACGTTCTTAAGTCATGTATTATTATTATCATCATTAGTTAACTACTGCTCTAATGTTCATTCATCGTACTGTTGTTATTACTGAGACATGTGTAATAATTTGTTTTTGATACTGGCGGCTTACTGTTTAGTTAGCCTCATTGAAGTGAAGCAAATAACATAAGATACACAGATCCTAATTGCGATCTAAATAAACACTTACGTCAGAAAACTACAAATTTTGGAAAAAGAAAAGCAAGGCAATGAGAGGAATGGATGGAATTGCTAAGTCTAATTCATAAATAAATAACAATAACAATTATTATTACTACGTATCTACGCGCTATGGAAGACGATTGAATAAAGAATAATAGGGATAATGACTTTGAATCAAAAGCTCTCTTTTTCTACATGTTACCGGAAAATGCAGAGAGGTCACAGTATGTACTTCTTTCAAAAAACGTTCTTTTTTTTGAATTAATATAGGTTTTTATAAAATTGAATTTGATTTATTTAATACAAGCAGGTGTAGAACATATCACTTGTGTGTTCGACTTTAAGTTGCGGATAAATGCAATGTAAACAGGTATCTAGAGTTGTCTCCGTGATAGCGCAATAGTAACCTGCTTGCCTATTAAACTTAAGGATATATGAGGTAGTCTGTTTTAAAACTGGGCGTAGGTAGGCTTCGTTTTGCGCTAGCCATTCGAAATGATGTTTGCCGGCAGCATAGGACATAAAACTCAAAACATCTACGTGTCTGAATGACAGTTTATGGCATTACTCTGTTTTTCTTAATTTTAAGTGATTTTGGAAAATTGTGAAAGTTCATACGAGTTACCTTCAAGGCCATAAGCGATACTAACTAACACACTTCCAAATCCAAGGTTTCCATTACGCCTCAGAAAAATCTCTGAAATATATATAGCTCAGGAGGTGCTCTCCGTGTAGATGTTTTGAAATTTTTAGCAGATAGCTACTTGACTTGATATTACTGAAACTAAGTAGCATTTTTTTTATAGGTAGCCGTTACCGGTTTGTTGCTCATCGGGGCATCACAGATCAATCCAGTGGCCTCAGACATGCTGCGTACTTTTATTTACTATTATTTACATAGGTTATTTCCCTAGGCAGTGGCGTAGTTACTAAATTTTACATATACTTTTTAGACACCTGGTTGCTTTGTCTTTGAGCTTCTGTTTATTGGTGGTAAGAATCATATTCAAGTAACCAATGTGCAAAAGGTACAATAGCGCGGAGTAGTTAAGTGTACGATTTTGCTTGCTTCACAAAGCTATATGCAGCCTGGATGGATAAAAAAATATGGATGTGATATATTGGTATGATAAATAATTGAATCAGTAGTAGAGTAATACTAAAAAATTGGTGTGAAAGTGAATAAAATTCAAAGTAAATTGAAACCACGTATTTAATGGAATTGATAGCGAGAAGTGAGCGGTTGAAAAATACATCTCACGTAGTAGTAGCAAAAAAGTAGTGTGATCACAGGCAACGTTTTATAAAGTATTCAGGTAAGTTGCATATAGTCGAGACCTCAACAACTAGAAGCAGAAGTAACGAATTTGGTATAGAGCAAACGCATGCTGGCGAGCGTGAATGAAAGATTGTAGCTAGTCAATTAGTGTAAAAGTAATACCCATGATTTTTTGGGCAAAACCAATCGGGTGTAGACGCACCTCATTTCATGCTGGAAACAACTTGTCGTTTGAGGTAATGCCCAATAGCAATAGCGGACATGAAAAGGCCGGTACGTAAAGACGTAAAAATAATGGTGGCACAGGGCGAGGTATGTGGGTCTATACAGACCTTGAAATGCAAAAAGTTAGGGAATTACTTTAATACATGATGCACAGATATAAGCGACGATACTGCGAGTTAAATCGGAAGATTCGAAAATAACTTCATTTGGATATTACGGTCGTTACTTACTCTAGGAATGTCTCCGTATATTCTATCGTAACTACCGGGACAACGTTATTGCCTATGTACGTTGCATCGTCGACATTCACTGATTTTTAAGAAAGAAAAAAGAAAATCAAGTGCATGACACAAGCCAAAAAAGTCAAGATGTAAGCAAAAGATTATAATTCAAAACTGTTTAATAAAAGTGGTTGCGCAGAATTTATCCTCCAGTTTATATATACATATATATATATATATATATATACATTTTATCAACAGATTCTGACCTCTGCGCATGTCAATTTTGTGTCTCGACACTCGTTACTCGCCATTTATTAAAGCCATTTAAAAACTTGTTACTTTTTTTTACTAGTGATTTTTAGCGGGCTGACATTTTAATTTTCATATTATATAATAAGTAAGCTAATGGTATTATGCAAGCCTGTTTCATTAGTAAATGATATGAACTTGGCGGAGTGATATATTGGAAGTCTCCATCAAGTAGATTTGGGTTTACCCTTGCTATTTATTACTAAAAAAATAGCCGCAAGGAATCAAATCAGAAATGCGCCAGTTGAGAGCTAAACCTTAATTTTACTAGACGAATTTACAAAATTGGTACCTTGGCTAATTTGCTTCACTTTAACATTGGCTGAGTGAAGAGGTAACCGAATCGAATTTGCCCCTAAATATTACTTCAATGATAAAGCTCGTGTGGGCTATAAAATACAAGTTAATTAATTAGAGAAACAATACATTCACTTCAAAACATATTATGCATTTCTATACAGCTATTAAACCGTTAAACTTATTATTTTTTCTACCGTAAATTGCCGTTAGTAAAAACTTATCATATATATATGTTCTATCCGCTCATCCGATTTGCGTCAAAACATTTTTTGCCGGTTCCCTGTTCCGGCTTTCCGTGCGTGATTCGAACGCCACCTTGCTACCATGAATCTAAGAAAACCGACTGTTTTTTCATTACATAGATAAGCCTTTGTGGCATGTTATTTTGTATTAAGGTATACATAATAAGCGAGAATTTCAAAATGCTAGCATTCCACCAGTATTAATTTATATGTGCTTTGTTTACAGTTGTTTTTTGGAGACTGCTTTATGATTACACCCAATGGAAAGCTCCGGTCTTAGTTGCTAATCAATATTTTTTTGAACGCGTGGCTCTAATAACTATTGACATGCGGGCATCACCTCCAACTTTAGCGTTGGCAAATGGTTTGATATACATATTGAGAAAAACCCAAATAAGACCAGTAACAGCTGCAGATTGGATAGCCAGCAGCCGACGGAAAGAAACGTGGCATGTAGTACTTAACGTTGGGGCCAGCACTCGGCAATGTGAGTCTGCCCTTCGCGGATTTCGGTAGGACACTAATGTCATAGGTCCCTTCTTAAATGACCTCCATAGTAATACCTCCTTACAGCTTAAATCAGGAGTGATTTAATATGCGATAAGTAAAGGCAGGAAATCACTCGCAGGTTTGAGAAAAAAACGCTGTGAATAGTATAGGCATACGGGCTCGCGAGTGACATTGCTTGTTTGCGCGCAATCTGTGACCTTTATCACACGCACAGTTGTTGGATATTGCTGCATCTAGGTTTAACAGCCGTCAATGATTCGGTGTCTGCTAAGATGGTGCTGGCAGTTCGTTCGAGAGTGTTGGTGGATAGGGCAGCCGACTAGTGAGCCTACAGCTGGGCCGGTTTGATTCGATTTGACCTAACGACGGATATGCAGGTGATTGAGGAACATGAAATGGGGCCACCGGATGTCGGATGAATTTTGTTTTTAGTGAAAAAGTGAATAGCTTAGCATAGGCTATACATGAGTTGTCGGCATATGTATTTTTACTAGAGAAGATCGCTGTCAGTGCGCGACAGTTGTAGATATCGCTACGCAACAGCATTTTCCAGTGCCCGCGGCTCGCCTGCCATTCATTCTACTGCAAGCGAAGAACTGTAGTACCCCTGAACTGAACAAGTATCCGCAAAAGGGGTGTTACACAAAGGTTGTACAGCTCCAATACATCGTAGAGGCCTGTATGCGTTTAGCAGTAAGAGAATACTTTATTTACCCATTAGTGGACGCGTAACATTAATACGAATCTACTGCTTGATTCATTGGTAAAATTGGGGTTGCAAAAGAAAAATTACATTCAACAGCTGCATTACTAAACCGCTGATTTAGATACCTGCGTCAATAAACATTTGTTTGTACAAGAGTACCTTTTCAAGTGATCGAAACAGTAATCGAATATGTAATATTTCATTCGTTTGTACATATGTACATTAAAATTGCGATATGGTTTACATTGCAATAATAGCTCTTGAGCGATATTGATAAATTAGTGATTGTTCGGGGACGACGGTTTACTCTTCATTGAAATACAGTAAATCTCTAATACAGTTTCACGAATTGATTAGTGCAATTTTCACGAATCTGAATATTCGTCTTTTAGCGAATGCAGATGGAAGTTAATTTGAACAGGGAAATTAATTCTGTTTTCTTACCTGGAGAATGGAATTCTACGAGATCGAGATGAAACTGTACAGTGATAGAAATGTTCTGCACACCCTTAATTAGTTGTGTGCTGTGTTATCTATAGTGCCAGTCTCGATCGATCTGTGTAGATCTTAGGTTCGTATGGTTCTCGTTTAGTCAGTCTCCTCATTGCTAAGTGAAAAATAGATCTAACAGGGTATTGTTATATATAACCTGTATATTTTATATTTGTACTATATATTTTCTTGATGATGATATTTTTTCTCAAACTCTGATTTTCATAAAAATTAATTGACGAATGCATTCCGAGTATTTGAATTTTTTTTTTTAATTTTTCGTGTAGTCAACCAAACCAAAAAAGAAAGCAATAGAGCTAAGGAAAATAAGCATAGTCGATATAGATATACACCATGTAACGCAGGAAATGATGCACACCGAGCATATGTGCACTATATATAATACTAACTATATATTGTACTTGCAGGCATTCGATCTCTGCAAATTCTAAATTTAACAATCGCAATGGGCAGAGACACAGATAATAAGGACAAGGTTCCGTTGATCGAGCACCTGTCAACAAATGGCCGGGGTAGCACTGGGCATCCTGCAGGTGTAAATCGCGCGCTCTACAAGTATATTCCGTTGACTATCATTGTCCTACAAACCACCGTAATGGTTTTATTGCTTCGCTATTCAAAAACGCAAAAGGTGCTTATTAATTACGATACCCTAATGGTAGCAGATAGTGTTTCTGGTAGTGAAAGACTTGTAGGAAAATAACCGACTTCCGGTTCAACTTGTTTATCACTTTTAAGTTACATATGATAACTGTGTATGTCATGTGCGTAAAGTATCTGAATAAGGCACGTAAAATTTATACTCAGTTTAAGCTATAAAGCTCGTGCGTGTTTCGTAATTTCTTGTTATTGTTTTGAATTTTTAACTTTAAAATGTGGTAAATCAATTAAAACATAGTCGTATTTATTCGGGAATTCATACGGAAAAAATAAATAACAATTTATTCATTTCATCACACGTGTAGTATTGGCTCTAATATGGTTTACGATTCTAGATTATTGCAATGGAATTTCACTTGTTTCGTTTGAAACCATCTTCACTTAAGAGTCGGTGTCACCACTTTCCCATTGGTTCCCAAGTGGCTCTAGGGTGGGAAGTGATCTTTGTAATAGTTTTCAATATGGACTCTTATCGATATCGATTATCTTAGACCCTCTCATTCAAAAAGAACCGTAACATGATTGATAAGTGGAACGAACGTTAGGATAGCTGCGCAGTTTAAGCTAGGTAAGCGTTTTTAGCTTAGAGCAAAATTTAACTTTAGAAACAGGTGTATTTGATGCAACCCGGACGGTTTGCGTATTGAAGTGTAAGTCTATACAAAAATAGCCATAAAAATATGTACATATTTAAAAAGCAACTGAAATATGGAAAACGATTACTTCTCTCGATGCCTACTAACGCATGGTAAATGCCATAAAATAACTTTACCTCGTGATTGTGAATGGTAATTTGAAGGTAATTTGAAGTGAACGAAAACAATTTACAGGAATTTGGTAATTCATCACTTTAAGCAATTACTTATACAATTTAATTACAAGCTTATTTTATATTTGTCATACAGACTATACAAATGGGACGACAGTTCTCTTACATCGTTGTGATATCAAAATATGGCGTCACTAAGCGGCTTTCACCTGAGCGAACGCCACACAGTTTAACGTCGAGTGCACGCGAATCATATGCACACACGTAGCTAAATTCCTCACAGGAACGCTCTATCACTCCGCAGTGTAATAACCGTTTTTTTTTTTTATTGTTGTTGACGCTGTTATTGTTATGATTATTATATTTTGGCAAAGCTAAACGAAGGCCAAGGAAGATATCTGTCATCGACCGCAATTGTTGTTAGCGAAGTGTTTAAATTGACCGTGTGCTTCGCTGTGTTATCGTACCGGGGCAGTGTAAACGAACAAGGCGTAATTGGCAGGAGTAGTGGCGGTCTCAGCGGTCTATTACGGACACTGCGTTGCGAAGTCTATGGAAAACCTATGGAAACTTGCAAACTGCTTGTACCTGCCGGTAAGCAGTTTTTTTAACACTCCTCCTAACCGCTTCTCCACCACCCTTACAGCTGGAAGTCATCGATTAGTAGAAATCCGTCGATTTTAGCTAGCGTTAGATGCAGTGTATTAGTTGCTCAGTGCAATTTGCGTATGTCATTAACATCATATGATTTGCTGCAAATATAACCTCTTTGATTTTTTTCCTGCTTCATACTTTAATTTGTAATGGTCACAAATTCAAGTTTATTTGATCCTCATCATCCGAAATGGCTGATCATTTTATTGAGGCTGTGTTAAAATAGAGGGATAAATATAAGCGTAACGGATAACCGTATGAATAATATTTTTTAAACCAAGTCATCTAGAGAAATTTGCCTGTTTCCAAAGTCAATATTTTTTTTGTGAATGTGCTTCTTCTATAGGTCTATATACGATGCAAAATAATCTACTGTTCCTCGCTCTGAGTCGACTCGATGCAGCAACGTATCAGGTAGGTTCTGATCTGTTGTATAAACTGTTCAAAAGGCTTCAGCATGAGCGTTTTCATGTCGACTAAAATAGATTTGCACTAGCGCACTTATTTCTCTACGGGTTTACAGTTTGTCAGTGTGATATAAGTGGAACGGACAGAATTTGGAGACAGCCATGTCCTTAGCTGTTTGATCGTAAGCATACATCTAATAGTAGGTACCTTAGGTCTACTAAGAAATGTTCATGAAGGCTTTCGAAAGGTTAGTGCATAGCAATCAAATCTCTGTTTGCAGGTGGTTTACAGATTTCTTAAAGAATGAGTCAGATGGGCATTGAGACGTGCGCGTCCTCTTTGCCACAAGTCTCCTTTGATATACGGCCATGTTAGTCGTCGTGAATTCTCGAACTGCTGTAGTGCTGAAATTCTTAAAAGAAATCAAAGCATTCAGTCCTCGGGTACGCTTGACTTGCCTACTCTATTATCATTATTACGACTCACCTATTTACGTGATTTGCAGCACTCCGTGTACGGAGATGAGGGTAGCATGGTTGTGCCGTACCGCTAGTTTAGCATATATCGCTACGTTAATCTTGATCAACGCCACAGGATATACAGTGGGGTTAGATTTCGTTTTAGATCTTTCCGGATCTTTTGTTCACTAACATTACGATCTGTTTTTGCGATAGGTAACTTACCAGCTGAAGATATTGACAACGGCGCTGTTCAGTGTCCTGCTGCTCAAACGACGTCTCTCGTTGCAACAGTGGATCTCATTGATTATGCTTATGTTTGGTGTGGCACTCGTCCAGTTGCCAGCGGACTATAAAATTGGCGAAGGTTCCAGTAATGAGGTGGATTCTAGCGGAATGACGCTCAGTCGGCTAGTGGGCTTAGCAGCTGTCTTACTAGCGAGCCTGTCGTCTGGCTTTGCTGGGGCATTCTACGAACGTCTACTCAAACGGTCTACACAGGAACTGTGGATTCGCAACACCCAGCTAGCTCTGTTCGGGATTCTTCTTGGGGCGGGAGCTGTTATTATCATGGACCTAGAACGCGTTCTCGAAGGAGGATTTTTGCAGGTATGAATAACGATTTAATCACATCTGTCTTATATAAACGATACACGTACTTTACTTATCGTGTATCGGAAAAATCGAAAAAAAAAAGCCTCAAAAAGGCATCATTATTACTAACTAGCCTATATTTGTGTTTAATTTTCATTATTTTTATGTATGCTTGGTTGGTTACCGCAAACAGGGTTACGATGCTATTACGTGGGCGGTGATTTTGCTACAGGCGTTTGGCGGCCTGGCGGTATCATACGCAACGAAATACGCCGATTCGATATTGAAGGGCTTCGCTACTTCGATTTCTATCATTTTGTCAACAATAACAGCATGGTGCATTCTCAACGATTTTGAGCCTTCTATGAATTTCTTTATTGGAACGACAATTGTTATCGCAGCGACAGTTCTGTTCGCAATGCCCGTGAAGAAATGAGAAGACGATGTGTCCTGACGTTTAACAGTCTCCCGTCCGACATGACCAGTTGCTCAGTTGACATCAATGTCAATACAGTGTTAACGGCTAACCTGGGCTGTTTTCGCCAGTGGATATGGTTTTGTGTGCCTCTACACATTATGCTAACCTAGTCGAGTTTCTGATTGTTACAACAGGTTAAGTTAAATCACGTTTGACATAGTGGCTTACGTAGACACTAGCATCTCCTTCCACAGTTGTACATATGCTAGCACGAATATAAGAAAGCGAGGTCGCTACACCCATTATTTCACTCTTCACTAGCCTCTCTTTATGCAGTGTAAACGAAAAGGGAAGCAACGCCGACTGATTGATAGATTAAGATCTGGCTAAATAATCGTTTGTATGTACATACTGTACATAGAAAAGGTGCGGCCTGTTTTGGGAGTGATTGTCATAACAAGCGATTGGATAAACCGACCGATAACGGAACTAGTGACGTATTTTTCATAGGTAGCCGTCCAGTTTGATATATTTAGAAATAAAATATTTAATATCCAATGTCCAGATATTTTAGCTAGCTGAGGTTTCTGATGTGCCGTTGGCCTGTCGTATCAGAATGATAGTGACTGATGTTAAGAGCTCTGAAGATGCAGATGACTGTAAAAATAACTTTTTAATAAGGTTATTTGCTTAGTTTGTGGTTATTCCAATCTAGAACATAGTGCCAAGTTTATAACTACTGATCCTGATTTCTTTCTTTTTAATTCTATTTTCCTAATATTCTATATTTTCTAGGATATTCGAAAAATGGCTATCTGGAATACATAATGTTCCTGTTACATAATATAGTGCACTCATGATGTGTGTTCTCACTTATGTGTATTGTACCGATTAAGGTAATAAATAAATACTAAACGTTATTATAAACAATAAACAGACTATTTCGAACAATATTTCAAAATATTTTGACCAAGACCCGGCAGCTAGATATGGCTATAAACAAAAACATTCGACTGATGTTCTTCTTATGAATGTTCTAATTAGGAGCTGTGGCAGTGGTCCAGGTGTATAGATAAATATAAAAAATGAATATTTCAAGAGTTTATTACATCAGGATCCATACTTTAATTAAAAGGTTGTAAATTTAGTTACCATTCGCGTGCACCCGTAGAATAAGCTAAATGTGTTTTGAAACGTGAGATTCTTTACGGTTAAGTAGGCTTACGTCTGGCTTGAACGACCAAAAGACACTTAACTGTAATCAGTTAGTTTTAGATAAATGATCTGAAACGAATGTAGAGGGCTAGAGAAATTTTATCAAAAGCAAAATCTCCGACTTACTATAAATGACTAGACCTAACATAAATATGATTTATTATCATGTTTGGTCTTCTTTATGGACCTCATCATGTAAGATCATATGGACGCATATCTATAATATATGTAATCCCCATGCCTTTGATATCTATGCTAAATGGGATCGTAACCATTTTGAAATATAACGTTTCCTCGAACTTCATACGTATATCTTTGTTAACAAAAATCAAACATTTAGTTTAGGTTTGCGTATATAAAGCAATTTTAATTCCGTACAATTGGATATGTTATTTATAAGTTTTATGTTCATATGCAAAGTATGTATCAGGAGTAAAAATAAATGAATCGAAAATTACCATTGGATAACGCTCCGGGATTCCAGCTCATAGAGACAGGTTCAACGCGTACCCGCAACAACGACAAAAGAGCAGGTGACCGGGGGCATGATCACGAATGGAAAGTTGTTTATCGAAATTCCACAGTGGCCAATACTGCGCACAGTGCGGTTACAGATCATTTTATTTTATTTAGAGAGTTAATCCCTGCTTATTCTAAAGAACAACGCCTTGCAAATCTGTCTGATATGTGTCATGCTGTTAACATCATGTTAACAAGCTGCAAATTATTTGTGTCGCGTATTATTGTATTAACTAAGGAAATATATAATGAAGTTCTCGACAACACTATCTAGATGTAGAGGCAAACGTTTTCTAAACACACCGTATGATTTAGGGAAATTGTTTCTAGTAACGAGAAGCTGGAAGAGTCATTCAGAGTACCAATTATGCCAAGTTTACTTCTGCTATGAGTGAACATCCGAACCTTTCAAATGCAGCTTTGCTATATTGGAAGGTTCGTTTTGTATCGAAGCCGAATGAATACTTTATTCCTAAACAAATGCCCCCCCAATGTGTATGTTTGAGTTGACAGAACCTGCGTTCCTCAAAATGATCTCTATGAGAATTTCGACTTTTTGCTTGTTAGTTTTATTGAGCCGGCGAGTCGCACGTGGGAAAAACACAAGACGGCGTTGTCCCTCTCCACATTAGGGGGCCGTCTGCTCTAAACGCCGCAAGCCCAAAAACAAGGATATAGAATGGTGTCCTTCTTTTACCAAACGCAGATCCAAAACATCAGCTGAAAGTGAAACACCCCCGTATCACTAAGCTATTACAGTTAAAGCTTCATAGTTTTAATTTTTGTTTTAGTCAATTATTAGTGTAAAGCCATCGGAAGGAACGGAGAGTGATCTATGGTGAAAACAAAATTTGGTTGCTGCGAGCTGAGTTATCAGTAGTCTCAACTGGATCTGTTGGAAGACTTAGAAGATGGGCTTTGAAGTGAGTTGTATTGTTTATATATAAATTCATTGTAGCAACATACCGGTGATTTGAAAAAAATTAATACAAAGACGCTCCTAAGTCGAATACAATCAGATGTATGTGTTTTCTAGAGCTTCAAATATGTTATACCTAAATGCCAGTCTTATTAAAAAGCTTGCAGGAACGGATTGATAAGACTTGGCATTAATTCATGCGCTGATATAGGCCATGCCCTCAAAAGTCTGCCATCCGGTCGGGAAGTGGAAAAATCTACTCTTTAGAAATTTTCGAATTTTAGAAAAAAATACTTCGTCATTTCCGACATGGAGCTGTACGCCCAAAAAGAATATTAAAAAAAAAGTCATTGTTGGTCCCTTAACTCAGAAAGTTATTGGTTCCTTTGTAATTCTGTTTCTGTTCTGTTTTCTTGAATACTTTTTTTAAATTTTTAATTTTTGAAATTAAAATAAATTTTTATGACCCAGCGTTCCCATTAACATACAGTAGCTTTATTAAATAAAGCTAAGCTATGCGGTTAATTCAGCCACCTTTATTAAATAAATAGTGGTTAACTTCTGTGGTTTTTGCCACTTTCTTCAGTATAAAGATGAACTCTTTTCAGCTTTTAATGTAATGACATGTAATGCGATGACATATTACTGGGTGCATGAAAAAGACGGTATTAATATTTTTATCCTACAATTAAATTTAAACAAGGTGGCGAAACAGTTCGGGAACAACTATCCACAGTTCCGTGCACAATCATCTTTGACCTGTTTCGTCTATATTATTAAATTATTATTAAATTATGCGTAATAGCCTATAAAAGCGAAAGTAAAAATTATTAAGCTGTTCCGCTTATTACGACGGTTTTATAGGACGTACGTGAACAGCTGCAGCAGTTGATGCAACGGGTAGATGGTTTAAATGCTATCGTGTTCTCCGATCGGGACGGAGTTCCGGTAGTCAAGGTAGGACGTCGTTAAAGCTTACAAAAGTCAATTGTATTTCGTCTTGCAGAATTGATCACGACTACCAGTTGAAAACCCCACGACTAGTTAAAATAATTTATATGTCCGTTTCGGGGCAAATACAAATCAAAATTTTTCCAAACAAAGGTTTTGTACATCCATACAGAGACGAGTACACTTAGTTGTTCTAAGGTTAGTTGAGTTTGACTAATTTGCTTGAAAATTACTTTGGTAAATATAAGTATTGAGTTGGTCGAGTATTTCATATGCTGGTTTAGGTCTGCCGAATAGGACAAGATGCGTTTGGAAACCAGATTAAGTCGGAAGCATTGTCCAGTTCCGTTTCAGCTATGACTCAAGCTGCAAGACTTGGAATGGGTAAGATTATTAATATCCCGTTACAGAAAACAGATTCCATAGGTAAGTATTCCAGTATAACAGAGAGTCAAATTAGTAATGGTACAGCGATCGATAAGATGACAGTTTCGTTAGTGATGTCGAACAAATTTATTTAACCTTGTAAGTGTTAAGATTTCGGGCACAAACGTCAAGAGGTCGTGACTCTCACTTTTTATTGATGTTAGGTCGGAGTATAATTTTCGGTGTTCTACCACCTCGAGTGTCTAATACACCAAATTTTAGTATCATTATTTATCTCAAGTATCCGCTGTCAGTCTCCATAAGCGTCCTCTATCCCTCAACCAATATGTTTATTCCTTTTCGGCAATAATTTTCAGGTCTGGTGTTGCAGAACAGGTCAGCTGGGTTTTGAGAGTGTCTTCCCTATAAATTGTACGGTTACGAATTACCTTTGTCCGTAATCAGAAGAGGTGATATTTCATCGGAGCGAAGTTTGGATAATAAGATCTCCCTCAAGCTCTTAAAGCGTGGCTTTTCCGATCTTTGCCGAGTGCGGCTTGGCATTGTTGTGAAGAAGGATGACTTGCCTTGTCGATCGAGTTTTTTCTGTTGGATAGCCTTGTTTACCAGGTGCAAGTACGCCATATAAAGGTCATTGTTAAACGTCTTCCAATGCACAAGACCCCTCGGCTCCTACTGAACGGAAATTATCGCTTTTTTTTGGTATGGGGATCCGGCTTAATTCTAAGATTAAACGTATTTATTGCAGCTACCCATTCGTTTCTCTGCTTTATGTCGGCTCGAAGACGTCATCTCTCGCCACCGATGACAATTCGGCGTCAAAACCTGTCATTGTGGATTTCTGTTACTTTGTATCGGACGAGTCGTTAACGGCCTTCCGAGCTTCTTGAGAGCTTCCATTATTCAATTGCTAACTCCTGACTACTTAGCATAAAGCCTTACAATAGTCTGATATTTTTAATTTGTCTGCTTGCTGTACACGTCACAAATATCCCAGGCTATTTCGGCAGCCTGTGATCTCTATTAGAGTGAGTCGAACCTTTTCCGCCTAGAACTTTCCATCTTTAGTGCCTGCACTCGGCATAGAATTTCGCTCACTGCACAATGAAATTATAACAGATTCACGGATGAGAGAAAGCACATTTAAATAGAGTAGGCAAATGAAGGAGCAGTAAAGGGAAAAAGAAGACTAATCGAAAACCAACTAAAAATACTTTTATTCTAGCTTAATGTATTATGTAGTATTAGGCTAGCAAAATAGAAGCTTCTCATTTGATATCCGATTCGTGCATTTATCCCAATTTCTACAGGAAATGTTAAACGTATGGTCGTTTGTAAAGAGTCCAATCAATTAGTGTGCTTCAACATGAAACAGGTAAGAATTACTAGTGAGTCCTACGATGGAAGAAGTCTAGGCTTCTACTGTGCTGACGTTCGCATCCATTTCTTATGAAAGGTGAAAACTTCTGATCTAGACGTAGTTCTATTGTTATACAGCAGCTTAGCTAAATGAAAATTTGTACTGCCTTTGTTATTCATATGCACCTTTACATTCCTGATTCTAGGTCTGCGTTCAGTTATTCGCGTCGTCAGCGGCCACTACGGGAATGTTACTGTGTCTTGAAAATGAATTGTCTTCTCTTGCAGAAGATCTTGCTAGGGTCATTGAAACATCCTAATCCCACATAAAGAATATGCTGTACGTATTTTCAATGATACTACGAATTAAACATATTTTTTCTCTACATTAATGTTGAAAATTATGTGCACATGTTTACACACACGTATGCATACGTGTCAATAATAAAGTGCAGTTAATTTTATTCGAATTGATATCTTTCATCGATGGTGTACTTTTATTTAACACGCTACGGTATAAGGTAGATAAATGCTGCTATGCACGACATATGCTATAATATTAATAGATTATTGCGTATGCCAATCTTTTTGTTTATTACTTTACCTTTCGGAAGTCCTTTGAAAGCTATGACTATATAAAGCTATAATTATAGAATTATATTGTTACTCTAAGGAATATATCGTCCTTCAAGTGACAACATCTGTTGTAGGATATTTGGGCAAGTATTTACTTTGAATTAAAAAGAGAAATAAAACATGTCGCAAATGTTGTTTTTTTGCTACCGATATACCTAGAAATGTTTATAGCCGTTAATAAAGTTAAAATTTCGTGATCTGGCCGAAACAATAATAATCATAATAATAGTGTGGTTTGACCATAAGCTTCACAAGTTAAAAATTAAACAAAGGGCAATGAACAAAAACGGGCTTACGCCTATGGCTTTGCAATATCGTGGTAGAAAGATAAAGTTATATTTCCTGAAAAGCTCGGTTAGGATTAATGATCAATGGTTAATCCATAGGCTAATTGAAACTAATCAGTCGCAAACTTCACGATCTATTATATATCTTGTTATATTATTATGTACCGTAAGCATACGAAACCAAAACGAAATTAGGAATAATTATAATTAAAAAATGTAAACATAAAACATAATCCATGAAAATTCCAAAATTTAGTAATAATTTTGGTTAGTGAATTTTATGAACCGTCTTTAATATGCAACCGCCTAAGCTTTTTGCGAAGGTTTAAACCAATTTTTATAATATAGTAGTATGGTATTTTTCTTGTATCTTGTATGTTTTTGTGTCAATTTCAATGTAAATTTCAATTTATTACAAAATGAATCTTTTAAATTGAAGATATAATGAAGCAGAAAAAAAAGAATATTTTGGCAGCAAAGGTCGTGCAACTGTATGGGTCTCAGTTGCTATCTGTCTCTTGAAGTAGGGACGACTGAAGATTAAAAACTTTCGTTCTGTTTTCGTGCGACTCGCGCATTAGTTGGTCACGAAACAAAAATTTGAATTTACTAAGTAACATTAATTAGCAGACTAGCTAAAAACTTTGTTGAAGTTAGTTCCCATGTTATAATAACCTGCCAATTCGATTCGACGAACATGGTTTGCTCAGAGTCACCTCTGACTAAAGAGTAAAGAAACCATAATATATTGTAATTTCATATAAAACATGTGGCATAATGTCTCCGTCAAACATGTCAAACAACAAACAAAAAATCGATAATTGTTGATTACACTTTCCTCTAAAATAGCAATTCCCCTCGCTACTTGTCAGCGGTAAGCAATAATAATAGAGGGCTCAAAAGAAGGCGAAGTTCCTCTCTGAAACATTCTCAACTTCTTTAACTATTTTCTATTCGTTTGCTTTTCTTGCTAATTGTGAATGAGTTGTTAAGCAGTTGGTCTGGTTAATCACGATTACTTGAAGTAGTTTCTTGAGTGTACAAGTATGTCTTTTAACTATATAATTAAAATGTAGTACATTGAAGAATTTACTTTTTTTTTTTATAGCATTTGTAGATATAATAGCAACATCCTAATTACTGTTTAAATTCTTTCCCTTTATTTAGAACATCAAGCTTCATTACTCTGTTTTGACTACACACAACTCAAATAATGAGTATCATCCACTGCATCGACATGCGTTACTGATCAATTTTTATAGCGGTAGTAGCCAATTGGTAACTAAAGAAAGCATAATGGGAAAGCGAACAGCATTGCAGATTTGATTTTCTTTATGTAGTTTTGGGAATTATAATTAAATAATTTTACCTCGTTTGAGTGAAACAATTGCTATATATTTTTACATAGAATGAATAATGGTAATGATAATAATTTTAAGCATTATTATCATTGTTATTTGAGGTACGAGGATGATTTACTCGATGAGCAAGTGAGAGACCTGAAATCACATTTGTGCAGTGATCCTGAGAAGGATAAGTTCTTAAATTCCAGTCCCAAAACTGTTTTTGTAATACATTAAAATTAACGTATGCAATATTTTTACACACTATTGCTATTATTTATAATAATAACAATAGTAATGTGCATAGTTGTGTTCCATTATATATACTGAACGATTGTTGTGTTCTCTACGATTTGTTTTAGAATAATAATCAATGGCGTCTTCAAACCGGAGTTATTTAGATGCGAAGATTCCACTTCGTTGCGCTTTTGGATATTTCGGACAACGCCAATATAACGGCGGCATCCCGTCCATTTAGACGCTATTCGACAGACGTCTGGCCGGCCTGAGTGCCAGGGCCAAGCAAACTATTCTCCAGCGGTAGGAGAGGAAGGCGAATGTGTCGTTTCTAAGCTGGGACTGTTGTAAGGAGCAGCAGCAGTACTACAGCAACGGTGGATAGCAGAGAAGGTGCTGTGTTTCATTTCGTCGATGCTGGTGACTAGTAGCTCACGGATACGAAACGAAGAGGAAGATCTTACAAAGTGAAATTTGTGTTCTCACTTTGTGGCGTTAGGTAGTGCTGCTGGTTAAATAGGCGTGTTTCATTAGGCAATGAACAAGTTCCTGGCCTATGCAGGCCCCAGCTACGTGCCTGTATCAGGAAATCCTCTTGCACCGTAGCCGTCTAACACCTTCTGCTGCACATCCTAAAACGTATGACATTTAACGAAAGAGAAGTAGATATAAAATTCTTGTGAGTATAGGATTGAGCCGTTCGCCAATGGTGTTGCAAGTAACGTTGTGAGTCGATAAAACATGTGAAAAAGGTCAATAAGGCTTCGCGCTCCTAGTTTCGCCTTTAGCGTTTTAGGTAGCAAGAATGCAAGACGTCGTGAGTTGACTTTTTGAGTTGGTAGTTTTCGATATAATTTCGAAGGGATGAAGAAATGTATTATTACCCGGAAAGATATCATGCAAGGGGATAGCTAGTCAGCATCTTGAAAGGCTGTAAAAAATTGCATTGTGTTCTCGTTGATTATGCCGAAAGTGGCGAAAACTGAAGACTATACGACACTCAAACATAGCTATAGTTCAGCGTAGTATAGTAGCCTAGTTGCTCTTAATTTCAGATAAAACATTTTAGCTTAATCCCGCTTGTATTTCGCACAAAAGTGACACAAAACATGTCACCAAATTGAATATATGTGTATATATTCAGTTTGAAAGGTACATATATCTTTCATCAACGCCTATCTATTTCATCTCGCGAAGGGGTCGATAGTGCTTATTGAGTTAAGCTGGTCGATTGTTCGTTCAACTGCTGGCCTCCACCCACCAAAGCAACCTCTTGAAAGTCCCTTTACGAGCATCCACCTGTCGCCAGCTGTTACACTCATCTTGCACTGGCTGATACAAGGCGGTGGCCTACTAATCGCTGTTCTGCATTAGCCACTCATGCTAATCTGTTGAACGATCCCACATTTTTCACCAACAGTGCGCATTGCAAAGCGTCTTGCCGTCTGTGTGATACGTTCCAACAGCGTAATCAAACGCTGATTTAACGCCGAGCCAATTCGATTGACTGCGGGCTATCGGTGTGCGTTATCGCCGCCTCCATTCTAATCTGTACCGCATAATATATATACATTATTTTTGATAGCGTGCGGTTAGCGATTTCCGCTTGCTAGACAATCGTTGCTTTGTTGGCGATGAAATTTTGAACCTGCGGGGTTCTCGAGTCAAGGCTATCGCACTGTTCTATGGCTTTGCCCGTGGCAGCGGCTGACCGCGGTGGTCCATGCAAACGGCCGTGGTTGGGTTCATCGCCACTAGCCGCCCATTCGGTTCTGCAGCAGCGGAAACAGTTACCCGAGAAGTCAGCAGAACAACCAGGTAGCCAGCCAGCCAGCCAGCCAACCAGCGGCAGCGTCGCTTTCGTAGTCTGAATCGTCAAATGAAGGCTAGCTATCCCAGTTGCCACTCTAGCAGCGCCGCAACTAGTAGCGCTTCTTCTAGTGCCCCTTTCTGCTTGCAATTTGCTTTGTTCAGCTGTAGCGTCATTGGCACTCATCCCCCATTGCAGCGGAGTCCGCCAGAAGCCAATGCACAGTAGGTGATGATGATGATAAACGCAGCCCATTGATAGCCGCGCAGAGTTCTTTATTCTCCAGTATATAAACGCCATGTTACTTACCCGTATAGATATATTAGCGATGTAGCGTATAGCATTTCAACTCTATATTACCCGTCTCAAAGAGAAAAACATAGCAAAAATAGACGTGTTCAAAATATAGTGTGCATCTGGTTTCCGCAAGGAGGACAATAAACATGAAACAAGGAACAAGAAGATATTACACTGTACACTTTTATAAATCGTCTCAATGGTCATCTAAGAATACTGATGAATTATGGTGCTGTCTCACGTTCAACATAGATAAAAATGTCATTAAGAAAACGCTTGGTTTTTATGATTTAGCCGGTTTACAAAAAGTTGTGTTTCGTCTGGTTGCACAACCGTATAATAAAGTATAAAAAGCCTATTTCTCAACATGCCAGATTTTACATGTCTATAGATAATTGAGCACGTGCAGTGTTTCTAATAGAACGAAAATCGCTAACAATATTTTTCCACGTTCACCTACAAACGGACCACATTATGTGAAGTCTCTGTTATCGGTTTTTCGTACATGTTCGTACCCTAGAGTCTTAACTCAGTCAGACAATCTGCGCACGCCTTTGTCGAGTATGTTTTGCTATACGTGAAAGCGGAGGAGGGTACGCTATGTGCTTCGAGATTAGCTAGCAGTATGGGCAACGTATGGCGCTCCCCGCCACACAGCGAACCCACCAAAGCGGAGAACTCACAACAGCTCGTTGCAACGAAACGAGAGTCGAGCTCTCGATATATAAGTACATAGACGAGCGTATAGCACCAGCAGACATGCAGGCTTTGAATGATCGTGTGACGTGCTGGATAATTTGGCAGTGTAACAGCCTCGACGTTCGCAGCTTCGGTTCTCAGCCCTACCTTGTATCTCTGTTCGCTACCCAGCCAGGGGACAGTTTTCCCTTTGCTGCTGCTGATGCCCTTAGGATAACATCACAACCAAGGCTGGTGACTGGCTTTCGTGCTTGGCGGCCCCTTGGCACATCGACAACGCTGAGCAGACTAGAGTGGTTGTTAGAAGATCCATATCAAGTGATCAATAAGGGTTCCCATATGGCACAGTACTATTAGCGCGTTTTTATTATTTTCAATCTAGATCTATATCTTCATTATTTTGCAGCTATAGTAAGTGATTATCTCTCCATCTAGCCCATATCGTGGGCTTTCACCAAACAAAGCAATTGTTATACTGAGTATAGCGAATATAACAATGGTACGTATAATACGTTACGTCCCAGTAGATGGAACGATCGATAATAGTACTCCGTGTTCTAACGCACTGTTTACAACTCTTATTTAAGGACGTAATTTGTGAAAGATAAGATAATTTGATACCTCTTGTAATCCTTAAAAGATTGTAGCACAATCAGTGCGTTTTTTCTCTAGCCAATATATCATGTACAAAGAACATCAACTGACAAGTCGACGACAACGCACGCGTACGCACGTAAACATGTGCAATCAATGAATTTACTGATTCCATCATTCCCTGAAAACGGTCCCCTTTTGTTGATACACATCAGGCCTTGCTTACGATGGTAATACTAACGTGTAATGTTAAAAGGGCAAATTTGGATGCAGCCCGATGAGTCGTACGATAAGGATTTAAAAAAGTACGAAAGCTGTTCGAAGTTACTGCAGTGCCACTAAAGAACCCAATGCAAGTATTCGACATGAATAACGAAGACTAGATGTCCCAGATGCCACCGCTGGTTACATAGCCGCGGTAAAGTATCGAGCGAGTTTCTTAGTGAAATCTAAAAATTTGTACCATTACAAATCATAGGACATAAAATAGTACAGGGGTTCGGGCCGAACGATTGGACCACGCGTACACCGCTACTGAATCTGTACCCGAAGAAAAGTAACATAAAAGCTGGATGTCATGAGCGCGTAATTGCTAGTATGGTACGTGTCATACCCTATGCCGAAAAATAGGAAGTTTGCCTATTTCGGTGGTAACTTTCGCTCATTATTCCACCCCTCTTAGTTTTGGGTGACTGTGCTGTTCAGCACTTGATCATTAACTGGGGAGACTTAACTTTCGTTTGAGGTAGATTCTAGTTTCGTAAGAATTGATTGTGTGCCTTGATTGGCAAAGCGAACTATAGCGTTAAATTTCAACGAAGAGTCAGTCGTATTCTGGCATAAAAAATACAACAAGCTAATCGGTAAAGTTTGAGTGCAAAGGTAAACATATTTAAGGTCATGAGACTAAATGAAAATCATTTGAAGCTAGTGAATAATAATAGTAATATTATTCTATAAATAATGATTAGCACTATTCAGGAATAATCAGTAGCACCTGCAAATACGGTTACATGATGTCAAATCATAGAGATAGCCGCTTGTGGAAATATTTGAAAGGATGGTAGAGAGCCGAAACCGGTTGCAGAACTTATGTCTTATGGGCTTGACATAAGCCCAGATGTGTTATAAATTGAAAATATGTGGAAAACGAGGGGGTGACTAAAAACGAAGGAACAAGATAAAGAAATTAATAGAACAAGGGAACTGAATGACTAGAAACAGAAACTAGAGTACAGGATACACAACAATCTGCGAGAATCTGCGACGAGGTAATGACAACAAGGCTTAGTTCAATAGATTAATGAGGGAAGCGCAAAGGTATAACAAAGCAACTGCGCCGAACAAAGTCACGACTCCAATCAAGCACCCGGTTTGACCGCGGTTGACCCGGCCTGAAATGTACCTGTCAATTGCATCTGGTCTGTAGTCAACAGGATTCGGAGCTAAGCGGTGTCTATTTTGTCCATTTAAGTTTGGATGTTAATAGTTAATCAAACGCGGTCGCTGTATGGAGCAGTTTACTGTTATACAGGCGGGTACCACACATAGCAACAGCTACTTGCCCATTATATTGTTCAGTGTAAAGTCCTCTCTATGAGTAAAACCTAAAAGACCATGACAGCAAAAGGTGTGCTACATGGAAGGCGTCGCGAGAATTGGACCCTTTCGTCTGTCTACCTACCAGTTCTGTACTTCCGCTAGAAACGTGCTGTTGTGCTATATAATATTTTGAAAACCGAAATCCTCTATTATCAACGTGTTCGCAACAAAATGCTTGCATAAATTCTACCAAAAATAAATTTCGCTTGTTCAACTTTTGTGCTTAGAGAACACAAAAGTTCAAGCGTACGAAATTAACTTTGCGTCATGTTCTTTGAACATCGCTTAACCGCTCTTAGTTGAACTTTTTCTGAACGAATACGTTACGCCTACTCAATGTACGTACTATGATGTTGTTACTATCACTACTCGTAAGATACTATATTGGTTTGGGGGTATATTCGGTGAGCGGTTTTTTCTTCTTCTTATTCTTACGAAAAAAGTTCTGTTGTCACAACATTCCTGTTGTTGCCAGTAAATCCGGGTATTTCTATTTAATGCTGCACAAATTCTCTTTGTGCAAATATCTGTCGCATACAACGACTGCCGATGTCAAACAAGACGATTTTTTTGTACGAGGACACTTAAAAGTGATATTTAAAAGTTAAGTATCGCTTTTTCCATCATAACTCTGTGTAGGAAGCGACGCAGTATCAAACGCAGGTTCTCAGTGCTTACCGGTATCTGCGTTACTAACCATTACTTGATTTCGGTCTCGTGATGACAGGCCACGGAATCTAGATGACGCCCGACATTTCGACTTCTACGAAATTTGTGGATGTCGGCCGTTTCGAGCGTCAGCCTGCAGACGACTCGTTACTGTCTTTTTCGCTTGAAGTGCCAGAAAAACTATAAGCAAGCGTAGTAGCGTTATTCGTGTGATGTGATTACTTCTGTAATCGTGCTTTTGATTATTTGATCACTCCAGTTCGTTCATCGCTGTGACGATTAACGTTATATTAAAAGGGAAGCCATGTAAAAACTCAATCATAATTATTGATTAATCTTATTGTCAACGCGAATTGGGTGACTTCGAATATCAAAAAACCTATAGCAACAATGATTGGTATAGTCGTCAGGGCGACTGGAATACTTGTGTGCCAACCCGAATTGTTCGTTAATAACAACTATTGCATTATAGATCATTAATATGTAATTAAATTGCACATCGAAAAATTCTGGCATCGTCTCGTTGTTATACCTATTTTGTTGATACAGAAATAATCAGTAAGTCTTTATAAAACTATTACACCAACTTTTATTTCCTATTCTCTTTTTATAACCAATTACGGATTTTTTTTAATTTGGTTGTTCGAAAATTGCGCTCCGTTATTAATTTTGGTCTTTAAAAATATTTTGAGATTACATCGACATGACTTTTATTACCTCAAATAGGCTACTCGCAATTCGATTAAAACTTGTTGGGCAATAATACCTACTAACAAATCGACAATCCTGCATGTGAATCCTGTGTTATGTGCACAGCGCAGTATAGAAAAGATTGTTCGTCAACATAAAGATCGTGCAATTTATCATATAGGGAGGTTATTTTGGGTAACGCCTGATAACATATTTCGCCGTACTAACCACAATGGAGCAATGGAATATTGGAGCGTACAGCATGAAGTACTAAATAACATTAAAAAAAACTTTGAAATCTCGAGGTTATATATGCTATAGTAATCGTTCATGTAATCATGGCTTATTGTCGTAAAAAATAAATCGAAAGCGATTTCATCTTGACTTTGTAAACGAATTTGTTAAGGCCATTATACATTTTGTTAATAAAATCTTCACAATTGCTATTTGCCTTTCACAATAGGTTCATGAGCGCTCTAAATGGCCTTAAGCTTGTCATCTGCTCCGAATGATCAAGTATGTAAAGGTTTTAACATGGCCAAATAAAGCAAATAATTAATATAATCACCTTAATATTGTCAATTATACCTTCTCATGACACAACATCGATTAAGTCAGCAATACAAGATATTACATAACCGTGCGTTGATAATGAACAGCATTAGTTAACGACGACAGTCAACTGACGATTACAACATTTGGAAATAAGCTTTCAGTTTTTTTTATATATTTATTTTTGTTTATATATTTATTATGTATATAAATTTATCAAAAAACAGTAGTTTTAATTATTACCCATACATCTAACACAGGTTGGTCTTTTTTATCAAAACGTTAATAAAGTAGACGTGCATGCGCACACAACAGATAACTAGTTGGAAACGATAAAACCTCCATATCAGTCAAGGGTGGGTAAGGATGACATTATTCAAATCTTTATCTCAACCTCACCATAGTTCTCCTTTAATTTCCTTTGTTGGTAGTCAACCATTGTACTGTCAAGAACGTAAAATATCTTTTCGTAACCTTTTTTCAAACCCATAGTGGTTTAGTGCACGCACTCGGACGGAAGTTGTGTCAACGGCCAGGCAGAATTGACGTTGGGCCGCCCAGCAACACACGAACGAAGAATGAGAGCTAGAATGAATCTCCCATCCTTTTAAAGACTCATTGTCATTTGCAAAAAGACACGCTATTAGGGTCTGAACTAACAACTGTACTGTTGCGCTGTTACTACCGCTGATATTGGAGAGATCACTGATAAATATGTAAATAATACGCCGATGACAGTTGTAGTCGTTCTATGATGACGGCCTTCCGCTCAGTTACATCTAAGATTGTATAGAGGAGTAGCCAGACATGGCTTGACATAACCGAAGTATATCCGCATATATTACCATATGGTCAGCTGAAGTCGTTCGAGATGTACCTACACTGTTAACACAAACATGGAGATTGGGACATGTAATATGGAATGACCCTCTATTATGCAAAAATAGGAAGACACCTGACCCCTAGAGTCCTCAAAACTTGCTAAAATGCAGAGGCTAGGTGTAGAATACATCCAGCGTACTCGTTATCTATATATACAAGATTTTTACCTATATAGTTCCTGTTAAGTTAAAGGTTCAGGAACGCTTGCAAGTAATACCTCTTAGCGCTACATTGTCCGTCAAAAATAAACCGGAACCTTTTTGGGAATGTTTTGAAAATAGCAAAATTGGCAACCTGTACAAAATATCAATTAGATTTAGCTTCAGTTCATTAGGTAGTGCGCATACTATGAAGGCTAAACTTCTAGGACCATTGGACGTTTGCCAGAACAGAATATTCTGTTTTTAAATAATTTCATTCCGAATTTCCGTATCTAATGTATAGACTGCTTGATCATAATCTTATTCAAATAAATACATGACGTACACAACGGGCCGAAACAACAAATCCGACTTCGGTAACTGAGACATCTACTTATTGATTGGACTATACATCAATAGTACAAAAGTCGAGTTGTTTGTTGTGTTTACATTCTATGACTGTGGCTGATTCCACTAGGTTTATGATAAAGCCGAAGAATTTTATACGCCGGACGGCAGACCGAAGTGCCATTCGCTGTTAAAAGTTATCAAGAACATCTTCGTTACGGCGGTCTTTGGCATTGTCGACGGTTAGAGCAACATTGCGAGAAATATATTTTATTTTTATATTGTAAAGGATATAATTATTTACCACTGGTTGTCGTCTCATAAACAGTGAGTCTTTGTTTGGCGAAGAAGTGCGGATACAGCATCGATGTATTAAGATTTTGTCATGTATTTTCCGAACATATACTAGCATCCAGTAAAGGTGCAACAAAATTGCAGGCAGAGGTTGCTGTATATCGTCGGTATTAATATTTGCCATGAATGAAGTTATGCAGAAGAGGGTAGTTCGGACTAGGTACTCCTTAAATTGAGAAATAGTTCATTTTTCACGATTATCTTCAGGTATAAGCAAGATACATTAACTGCGATTCTCTATACTAATTCTATTTTACCTAATTTGCGGTGCCGACTATATCATTACTACCATATTGTGAGCCGCCTTCCCACTAAGAGGCCAGCGTTTGGATTCTCTTTTGATAGGATTTTGGTCAAACGAAATGAGCTCAGCTTCAACGGAATCTGTTCTAACAACGTTAGTGAACACAACGGCGATTACCGTATTGAGTAATGACACAGCAACAACTACGACAACAACAACAACAATAGCAACAATCGGTGCTTTAGGTGGAGTCGGTGCGATGGAGTCGACGTCCTCACCAGCGTACGACCAACAGCCGCCCACCTTCCTACAAACCACAGGAGCACAAGCGATATCGGGAGCATTCGTCTGGGCTGCGTTAATCATCACATGCCACCAGGTACATTTGGCAGTATAATTTCACTACATACAGAATGAAGTAGACATCTAAAATAAAGCATAGTAATGAATGGCTTTCGTTGATTGATTGACTAGCTTGCTCGGTGTTCAAAGGGATTAACTGTTGTTTCGTTGTTACCGCTTACAGATCTACCAGCACCTGCGCTTCTATACGCTGCCATCAGAACAACGATGGATCATCAGAATCCTGTTTTTTATTCCTATCTACGGTTTCGACTCGTGGCTCTCCCTTCTGTTCTTCAGAGAGAACTACTACATTTATTTTAACTCGGTACGCGACTGGTATGAAGCGTTTGTGATCTACAGTTTCCTGTCACTCTGCTACGAATACCTAGGAGGGGAGGGCAATATCATGTCGGAGATCCGTGGTAAGGCCATCCAGTCCTCCTTCTGGTATGGGACCTGCTGCCTTCAGGGTCGAACGTACACGATCGGTTTCCTCCGATTCTGCAAACAGGCCACACTGCAGTTCTGCGCAATCAAGCCGCTCATGAGCCTTATCATTCTCATACTGCAGCCATTTGGAAAGTATCGCGATGGCGATTGGAGAGCTGACACCGCCTATCTTTATATCACCATTATCTACAACTTCTCGGTATCGCTCGCCCTCTACGGTCTCGTGCTGTTCTACTTCGCAACGAAAGACCTGTTGAAGCCGTTTGATCCAGTGTGGAAATTCTTCACGGTCAAATCGGTGATTTTCTTGTCCTTTTGGCAGGGCGTCCTTTTGGCCATTATGGAGAAATACGGCTTCATCAAAGACACGCCGTCGATTTTTGGCGGTCATGGCAGTAACGACACAATGCATAGCGCGGTTTCGGCCGGCACGGTATCGGCAGCCTACCAGAATTTCCTTATTTGTGTGGAGATGTTTTTCGCTGCAATCGCTCTGCGTTACGCGTTCCCTGTCCGAGTCTATGCTCACGGGAGTGGTATGCAGACCGGACGCACAGTTACAATGCAGTCGATCTCGTCGAGTCTTAAGGTAAGTGGAATCCATTTGTAGAAAATGGCAACAACAGCGTAAACAAGTCGGCGATAGCAAATGGACAGATTACTGGTTGTCACTTCAGACTCGAATATACTTTGTTCAGAAAATACGACACAGAAAAATATCGAAGGCATGGAACTAGCTATTCAAACCCTCTGCAGGGACTGACCAGGGTTAGAATATGTATCGGCTTATGTCGCCTGACCATTTAACGATATACGCAGTTTACTCTAAAGATTTACAGTAAAATGAAGGTGCCGAAGCACAGGTCAGCGCCGATCAACTATGTTATATGCCGATGCCATCAGTAATACGAAAAAAGTCTAGTTATTAGTTTCGAAATGTTATTGTTTGTAAAGATTAACATTTTGGCTATAGCTGATATAACAAGTTGTGATTAAGGCAAAGTACATATCTGTATAGTGGCTTAGAACCTATCTGTGACACCTGCATACTCGGTTATTGCCACGAAGCCTTGGCATTATATGGCATTTTTACATTTCCACAATGGCAGACTTGAAGCTTTTCATAAATACAAAGGATATCATGAAGTCGATATATTTATTATTACAAAATGAATTGTTATCACTAAACAAGTTGTTTTGAACAGTCGTATATCGTTTTCTACGTCGTCATTGTGTTTTGCCCTTTAGGAGACAATGAACCCGAAGGACATCATGAACGACGCTATTCATAACTTCCATCCGCAGTACCAGCAGTACACACAATATACTGCCCCACAGGGCGGTCATGGACATCATCCACAGCAAGTTATCTCACCTCAACAACCGCCCGCGGCACTACCTGCAACAGGTTTGTTAAAGATAATAATTAATATCGTTAAGTCATACAGTTACATAATTATCACAAATACGTAGATATTTAAAAGACTAGGGTATTATGAGATGTTGATTTATTGAAGCATTTCCCATTTAAATATTCCCACGCAATCGTTTCCTGCTTTTTACTTTCTCCAGGCAATGAGGCTTTAGGTGGAGCGAGTTCAGGGACAGGTTCAGGTCTTGGTGCAGTCTCTGGAGGCTCCGTTTCAGGTGTAAACGCTGGAGGCGCAGCAGGCGGCAGTGGAGGAGTAGCCTCAATAATCCGTTCAGGTATCAACCGCATGGTTGGCCAAAACCCACCGGGACATACTGAAAAGACGACGCTGCTCAGCTCAGATGACGAGTTCCAGTAAGTCTCACTCAGTCATATCGAACCCAGCGGCAGGTGCGTTAAAAGCCAGTCCACTTCCGCAGAAAATAGCAGGCGAAACATGCAGATCAGGCAGAAGCCGCCCTGTTCAACCAACCATGCACAGATTCAGAACGCCTTTGCAGTGCCTGCCTCACTATCTTATTACATCTGCCAGTCTTGAGACGTCGTCCAGTTGCAACCTGGCACATCGATGTTCACTTGATGCGCAAACACGTCTACACGCGTGTAGTAATCTATCATAGAGTATGTTTGTAACAAATTCTGCTCTGCAGCTGCCGCTCGGTGATGCATCGAAGTTTGCGCCTTGCATCTGCCATGAGTAATTAACTCTTCGCACACCTTCAATAACCACAGGTGATAGTGCGCACGTAATGATCAGGGTACCACAGCCGTGACGTTTTAATCTCAACAACAATAGCAGATTTCTTTTAATGGCATTCATCAGATGCGAACTTGTGCTAAAAGGAAAGTATTCCTATGACCTCTATACTACGTACCCTTTTTCTCTATGTTCCTGTAAACAGACAAAACATGTGATGCACTCTAAAGCAAATGTCGGCCGTACTGTGAAGAAATGGCCTTTTTTTTAATTGCTTCTATTGGGCTGATCACTGATGTAATTCACATTTTTTTTTTTTTTTACTAGAAACTGTGCTACAACGTGTGATTAGAATACACGTAAGCCAAAGCTAAAACTGTACTACACATTGAGCAGCTAATCAACAGATTACTGGTACAGATTAACTATTTTACACTTGTTGTCATTTTACAATGAACGCATTTATCAGTTAACAGAAGTACCTGGAACAGTAATGGAACATTTTTTTGACCAGAAAACTTTAAACATCCTGAACATCCTCTCGGTGCTCTTTAATGAAGTTCGTTTTCGAGACGTTTGGCCATTTTTGTTGTTATTGCGGAAACGAGAAATGCGAAACGGTTTCTTGTAGTACCCCTATATCCGAGCATCATATATACTCCTCTTCATTAAGGTAGCCTGCATATGACTATTCCCTAACTCTATAACTACCGAGCGAATGGTGTATTACGCCATCAGACAAGAGCTCTATTAAAACGAGCCGATTGCTGCTGATGTGTGTACGGAAAGCAGAACTGATAACTCGCTTTTAATGAAACCTCATTTGACTAGGTAGGCAAACACCAACGTATGTTATGTATCACGAATGCAACCCTCGGCCTGCGCGACAGCCAGCTAGCTTTCCATACGCACCAACGTAACAGATCAATAGCAATTAATCAAAAAAGCGTATTTTTCTCTTATGATTGAGCGTCAACTTTTGTGACGGCGATCTAAATGTCATTTTTCATAATATATTGACTTTTACTAAAGCGAAATACTTTTGTTATTCAGAAAAAAAAGTGACTGTTACGAGCGATTATCAACTCTAATATCTATCTGTTTTGTCATATTTATCAGTCAACCCTGTTACACTGAAGTGGTCAGTATCATGATAGTTATAATCAATGGAATTAACGATATGATGACAGCTTATTCAGAAATATTTGATCTTAACAAAACTGTTTCTATTTCTTTGTCTATTCTCGGTACGGCCTCAGCTTGCTTCTGCCATTTATTAGGATATCATTACAATAACACTGACAAAAATCAAAGACACACTATTTAGTATAAACAGAATCTAATAGCTGACAAACAGTGTCTCCAACGAAACATTCACCAGTGAGAGCGTACTTACTCTGAAGTAGTAATTTTTCTTGCGGTGAGGCACAGGGGATGCTGACTTTCGGTGGTTATTTATAATTTTAAAAAGATCTTTAGTTAACTCCCTGCTCTCGTACATATACACAACTTTGTTGTCATATTGTTGGCTTGCACTTTGCAAAGCTGGGGCTCGAGTAACGATCAGAAAACATACGATCTTCGTTTTTGTAATACATTTCATTCGAATAACGTATTCACACAATAATATCTATCATCCAGTTTTGTAGATGTTTCTACTTCACGTTTTTTCAAAGATTGTTCCTTTAAAAAAATTTTTTTTCATGGTTCCTATTTAGTAACTCTTTCTGTCTGAGATGTGCAATGTTGTCGGTGCCACCGGCTGTCGTATAATAGTAAAATAACTGAATAGGTGCAACCAGATAATCCCGAAATGCTGAACGTTGTATCCGTAATGTTATCTAGCCAAAGCCCACTTAAAGGACTATGCTGAGGTAATCCTGCTCTGCTGAGTCTATACGCGCGCAGCGAACGTCTCTAAATAACGACTATCAAACAATGATTGATCCCTCCATTCTCAAACAACCATACAGCACTATCCAATGTGTTCGTGGGTGCGCTACTAGGAAAGTTATAATCTAAATACACAGTTGAATGACCTCAGCACTGTTAATCGATAGGCTATAATTTCAGAAAGACCTTACGCTTGATACGATCCTTGCAAGAAAAGCCTTTTTTTTCAGACTATTTTATTCCGCTTTGCGTGTGTGAATGATCATCGCCTGCATGTGTAAACGGGTGTCTACATGAAGTATGGGCGAAGCATGCCTCGTAGCCCTACAGCCGTCGATTTTAACTATCACTTACAGTTGGTTACAGAGCAATCCGATCAATTATAGACGCATCAAAACATTCGTGGCTTTTCGTATCAACAGTGACTGCATCTTGTACTATCTATGTGTCAATAGTAAACGCACGCGTTTACTTCGCGCCCGTGCAAGAACCTCTAAATCTGAATACAATACAATCGCAAAGACAGCAGCTGAACTCGATCTAAATAGATTAGAAAGAGACAGTGCCTACAACTACGAAGTTTTACAACCCCCTAAATTCAGGTCGGATGATGAGTGGGTTTCGCTCAGGAGATAGCATCTAATACTGGCCAAGGACCAGAAAGGCGGCTTGCAGGTCGACCGAACGGGGTTAGACGACCCGTCGCAATCTTAAAAACGTGAGACGGGTTTGGAGCTGCATCACTTCGATCTCTTACACCGCCAGCCAACTGCCTCTCAGCTTTCACATTCATCGTTGCACAACTCACCTGCTTCCTATCGCACTTGGTGGTGGGTTTTACAAACTATGCACGCTTCAATCAAACCAAAACGACTTGAAACTGCTCGATAAATAGGCTCCCGCTTACCTCTACCCTAACACATTAATCGATCAATAGTTCTTGCTACTTTTAATGTGTGACACAATATTAACACTACAGATAATTGGCTGATCTACTACTTCAGTGTCTAACATTGACTCTTGGCAATTAACGATAATCCCGTTGATACTCAAGCCAGTGTTTCAAGGTTGCGATTAATTTGACTCTATAAATATTTCTATCGATGTTTACGTGCCTAAGCACGCGGCCGATCTGACCGCTTTTTCATCATACACAAATACAGGAAGAGATTTCCCTTAAATTTATTAAAAATACACTCCTGTAACTTAAAGAAGGCTGTGGATCCTAAAAAATAGCATGAAGTCGCAAAAGGTTAAATAGAGAAATTTAAATTGAAGATTTTGATGTAAATTGAAATTTACCAGGTTTTTTTATGACTATAATAACTCTTTCTGGTTTCGCCAGTTGACTTTAAATTAGTCAATATTATTTCGAACTCGAGTTGCATAGACGTTTGTAAAAGAAAAACATGGCGTTGAAAAATTGGGATGACCTAGTTTGATTAGATATTTCTAGAAGATGTCCGGAAAGTATTTGACTTCAAGGGAGATACTGGTTGACGTTCATCCTTGATTGGTTGTAGCATCTGACGTGGAAAACGGATCGGTGCGGCGGACTGTTTTCGGAGGAGTCCGCCGAACTGCTCAGTGAAAAGGATCTCTGAAGGCCCTGACAATTTGGTCCCGGGCGTTCTTCTTCTGCGAGAAGCATAGACAAACACTTGTGTGTGTGTTTCAAGCTATAAGAAAAAACTAGAGTGGTAAGCCCGTGTGTCATGTGTGCATCACTTCGCCGGCTTCCTGCAGTTCTCAAACTCAAAGCCTTTACTGAGATGAAGATAAGGTTTTCGGCGACCGGCGAATGCACCGTAATTGAGATATATCAAATTCCCTATTAATTCGATAGATTACGCTTCAAACAAATGGATAAAAAATTGTTTTGGGTTTTTGGGCTGAGCCTCTCATCTTTTGAGACAACACTAGTGAGAGTTAATACTGATGTTCACACGTTTATGGTTCCCGAATAAAGTACATGAAAACGAAACCAGAAAGACAAAACCTATGTAAGCAAGATCCATCGCTGAAAAACGAAAAGGGAAATGTCGTGCACTGAATCCCTTGAAAGGAGCAAGCACAGGCACGGCAAGGTAGCTGTGCCGTGTTTAAAACGTCCGTTAACAATTCAGCACTTTTGCTTAAGTTCGTTTCGCTTAAAAGCGAAATTTAGATTGTTTGATATGTTCAGTAAGTAAATATACTGTAGTATCAACGAGACCTACGTAGAAAGTGACTTTGCGGTAACGGGCAGGTGCTATGTTTTTTTATTTTGGCGGTAACTCAATGTTAACATTATACTGCCGCAGTGGCAGATTGCTGTTTTTAGCAGAGTGAGAGCGTTGACGCTACAAAAAGAGAAGTAAAGAGAGATACGATGCAAAGTCGGACATTGGATCGATGTATGATAGTGCACGTTCGTTGGCTCCATTTAACGTAGATTTCTCATTGAACGAGTTTTTCTCGTAAAATAGCTTTTAGTCTCTACTCATTTCCATTTTAATCCCAGTTTTATCCTACTTGCGACCGGATCGTGGTTCCCCATAAATAGATGTTTACGTTTTGGTTGATGATCCTTTTACTTTCGTTAGGTTTTGCACGCACAGTAGTTTTATTAATAGATTTATTGTAGTATTGACCATCTTATTAGATTATTTCTTTTACCTGAACTTTACGAACGAGTTTCTTTTTTGCACTTAGTTCTATTTTAATTCTTCAATTGATCTTCATTCATTCATCTAACATGTAATTCTGAAGCGCTATTGATGTGTTTTGTTAAACTATATTACAGTACTAAATTAGATTAGAAAATATTTTACGCATGTTTTTACCATGTTGCATTCGTTGCTCAGTCAAGCTGTTAAGTATGTTTCACTCATCGACCACGTTACCTGTGCGTTAGGTGTTCGGCAGAAAATGTGCATGAACCTGAGAGATACTAATGGCGCCACCTGCCTATTGATGGCGGCAGCAACAACAACAAGAATAGCTACAACGACGACGATGATGATGATTCTGATGCTGATAAGGCGGCGGCTGGTGACATTTGTAGCCTCTCGTCTAGACGAATTATTCGCCCCATGCTGTTCTTCATCAAAAGCCTATCCGTCGAACCAGCGCCTTGACTCACTGTCGCGGACAGGTCACACATTTTCAATGGGGCTTTGAATGGAGGTAGTCGACTTGTATCGAATACCTACGCCTGTGCAAAAGTAACAGCGAAACCTCAATCAACGTAGTCACCATAAAAACATTGATTATATTTGGTTTTGACACTGCGTGTCAACCAACAGTACAGTGGTGTACCTACATAGATATATACGTTATACAAAGGGATCGACATATGATTCATTGGGTAAGTGAGGCAAGTCTCTGTCTGCAAGTACACGAATGTATCTGTTTTTGTCTGTTCCGGCATTTGTGTGAATGTGAATATTGGCTTGCATAAACGGCACTCATAAACGACCTCGTCCTTGTCAATAGAATGGATGGAATAAACGAATTGTGACTGAATGGTCAGGAGCGATAGAGAGATCCGTACAGGATGAACCTTTTCTGCCTATTCTCCCCTTATTTAATGCCCTCTGTCGGCTAGATGCTCAAATCCAAGATCGAAAGCCGTTGTATTCTTACAGTTCGCAGGAAAAGGGGTTTGTTGCACCCGAAAGACAGTGTATTCTCAATCTGCTTATACTCACCATGTACCGACCACGCTGATGTTGTATAGAGCTAATACAAGGAGGACACACGGAAGTTTCTATCAGTACTGCTGAAATAAGTAACAGTAAAATTTGAGGTAAACATGACGATGTTCTTATAGTGATTCTTTATCACCATTAACATAGTACCTTACAGTGAACGACGCTGTCAGGGTGTCTCTTTTTGTGAGTTTTATTTAACACCAATAACTATATATATATATATATATATGTACGCACCCAAATTATAATGCAAATTTCCCCCTCGCCTTCTTTTGGTTTTATGATATCAACTTGATTGATTGAGTACTGATATTAAATGATGAAAAATATAAGACAATAACTGCAAGGCTTCCTTTAAAAGTACTGGTGTTCAGTTGCAGCTTTTTCTTCCTTGTTTTTTTTACTGTGTTAGGAATCAGAAACGACAGAACTACTTTTCCAAAACCCGCATGCTCCTTAAAGGAATAGTTGCACTGAGAATGACCGGGAGCTATTCGTGTTAATATGACTATTGATGCAGTACGTATTCGTATTATCAACTGTGACGTGGTAAGCCAAGTTCTGTCTCTATTCTTCTCTAAACTATTGTGGTCCTTCTGACCTCCCAGACACCCACGCGGTACCTATTTACTCTACTAAAAGACAGAAATCACATTGTTTTCGTAATGTTTAGATGGCACGTATTATAATAATTGGCGTCACTAATATGTGGTCATTAATTAGGATATTATTTAATCATGTTTCTTTAAAAGCTCTTGAAAATGCTGGAAAGGTTATAATTCGTAAGAATACTTCGTTCATGTGGCAGAATGTGAGTAGTGTCAAAGGAGTCTGAATATGCTGAAAACTCATTTCTTTTAGTGCAATGTAATGAAGGGTACGTAAGTAATGTAGTGGAATGAAGTACGGGTTGGTCGTCAGTGGGTGGGGAGACGCCGATGTATATATATATATATATATATATATATATAAAGAAAAGGTTCCCGCCTATTTTCAATAATTATCAATTCTCTAGGCCTAAGAACGCCGTCACATCGTAGGTATGCTTCATATATAAAGAAAGAATATCACTTTTCGAAAGTTACTTGAGCGAGTTATATATATATATATATATATATATATATATTTCTTTTCGGTGTTAAGATCAGTGTTGGACAAAACTACTGTGCAGAATAAATGTATTACTATTTTATTGGTAGCCAGCATTGACTTATGTCCCTCTACCTTTCCTCTTCCTGAATGTTATTATATATAAATGCCAATTTTATAAACGGAATGTTATAGATGATCCTAACCCCGAAATAGGACATTTGGCGATTATTATTACAGATAATATAAAGCGTGCTACCTGGAGAGAAATATATATACACACATATATA